GACTCAGCATTCTCACGACCGTGGGACAGGTATATGAACCCTGTGCCCTTGTATTAATACCGATGGACCAATCGTAGTTCTAGTATTACAGGTAGACAGACGCCTGTACTTGTATATAAGACCGACAGGACAAGCTGGAGTCCCCATCTTGTCCTGGTTACACATCAACCAGTTTTACCATCTACATCTGTGCGACAGATCGACCTTGGTCCGCAGACAGCGGTCAAGCGTTCATAAGACAGCTCCACTGGGCCGACCTCTGGTCATCGCTGTGACTGGAGGTCGGACCCCTCACGATTGACTTGAGCCCTTGCGAAGGCTTAGTCACTAGATGACGAACCGGATGTACGGTGGCACGACTGGCCCCCGTGACAAAATTAACGAATTGGTGTGCCGCCCATGGGATTGAGATAGAGATGAGTGCACCATACTCTCCATCCCAAAATGGAGTTGCAGAGCATCTCAATTGAACGCTACTTGCCCTCATGAGATCAATGATCTATGCGAAGGATCTACCACATTATCTATGGGCTGAGGCTGTATCACATGCAGCCTACATCAAAAATCGAGCACCCACCAGCGCGCTCGACCATGCTACCCCTGAAGAGAAGTGGAACCAATTAAAGCCGAATATATCTCATTTACGAGAATTCGGCAGCATCGTTTGGGTTCTCACAGAGGACATCGCACTCTCGAAGCTCGCACCAAGAGCCAATAAATATGTATTTGTTGGCTATATAGACAGGCCGAATGCTATTAAATATTACGATGCCAAAATGCATCAAATAAAAACGACGCGAAATTACCACTTCACTAACCGGGATCCATCTCCAAATAATGCGACATTACAACCGCGTGAGGGAGAAGGACCCGATGCCCCACAATCGAGGAATGCAGACATGCAGTGTGAGGGGGAGTCTTCAGATTCAGGGGGAGACGCACTACAGTCCTCCGTCAATAACCCGCTAAAGTGCAGACGCGAAGAAGACGAGAATAGAGATGCACCAAATAAAAATAAGCCCAGATGAAGCAAGCGCATAACTGTCATACCAGATTACTGGTTGCTAAATGATCCTGACGCTGACGCCAAAGATAATGCGGACACAGATGCTGAGGATAATGATACCGCATCAATCGCTGATCTCATATATGTGGCGATGAGCGAAGAAAATATGAAGGCTAATGAGCCTAAATCGCTCAATGATGCGAAGAACTCACCCGAATGACCAAAGTGGGAGACGGCTGTTCAAGTGGAACTTGAGCAACTACACAACATGGGCACTTGGGAATTAGTGGACTTACCCCAAGGGAGAACTCTGGTAGGTAACAAATGGGTCCTGGTAAAGAAAATGAACAGAGAGGGAGAGGTAATTAAATTTAAAGCGCGTTTAGTTGCTAAAGACTACTCACAGATTCCGGGAATGGACTACATGGAAACATATTCTCCGGTGGTCCGTCTTGAGACAATCCACGCAATTCTCGGGCTAGCCACAATTCTCGATTGGGATATCCAACAGATGGACGTCAAGGGCGCGTACCTGAATGATATCCTAAAAGCGGAAATTTATATGCGCCAGCCGGAGGGATTTAGCGATGGAACACACCAAGTATGCCACATGCGAAAAACCCTCTATAGACTCAAACAAGCCAGATGTGAATGGAATATAATACTGAACTGCAAATTACTCAACGCGAGATTCAGACGACTATTCGCGGACCCATGCGTGTACATCAGGACGAGAGATGGAAAAACAGAGATCATCACTGTATGGGTGGACGATTTATTACTGTTCACAAATGATCGCGACCTCATGGACCGCCTGAAAAAAGAACTCCAAAGTATGTTTGAAGTTACCGATCTAGGCGAGCCCAAGAAGATCGTAGGAATAGAGATCGAGCAAAACTGAGAAAAGAAAACAATAAAGGTATCACAAAACAAATATATTGATTCTATCCTATGAAGACACAGACTCGAGAACACGAACCCGGTAGGGATGCCTCTCGACCCGAATGTCACCCTCGAGAAAGATGAGGATGACGCAAATGAGGTGCCAAGCCGAGACAGCGGATATGCTTCGCTGATCGGATCTCTGATGTATGCGGCAGTAGCCACGCGACCAGATATCGCGTATGCTATCCAAAGATTGAGCTTGTTCACAGCTAGGCCAAACCTGACCCACTGGACAGCTGCCAAATGTGTGCTCTGCTATTTAGCAGGCACACATGAAGCCAGAATAGTATATGGCCCAGCGAATAATGAAGGGCGCGATGCAGATGTGCTCATCGGATACACAGACGCGGACTTCGTGAATAACATTCGCGACTGTAAATCTATTTCAGGATACGTTTACAAAATAGGAAGAGGCGCAATAATGTGGAGTTCGAAGAAGCAAATGATGGTTGCTTCTTCATCCACAGAGGCGGAATATATGGTGTCCGCTCTCGGAGCAAGGGAAGCCATCTGGCTATGAAATCTATTTAAGGAAATAGGCTTCGACCAGGAACAGCCGACGATTGTCTACGGAGACAACATGGCTGCGATCTCAATTGCTCATGATCCACAGTATCACGCGCGCTCAAAACATTTTGATATAAAGTATCATTATGTGCAAGAAAAGATAAACGACGGAAAAATGGAAATAATCTACTACCCTACAGAAGATATGGTAGCCGATATTTTTACCAAACCCCTCGCAAAGCCAAGGCACCAAAAGCTTATGAAAATGCTTGGGATGCCCATCGACCTGAGGGGAAGTGTTGGAGGAAGCAATCCAAGGGCACCCATGGAGCCCACCACAGCGGGGAATAATTATGTAAGGGAACTTTATATAGAATGCATATAAAGAAATCTATTTCGGGAACCTGGCTGAGTAATCGGGTCTTCCCTTCATCCGAGACATCATCGCAATATTCTCTGGGATTTTACCTATTATTCTCAACACCTATGAGTGAGGGAAGGGATGGAATCATATAGGTCTGCTTCAATACACGCCCTCTTAGCTGTAGTACACGATTTCACTCATGATAAGCCATGCCGAAGAGATGTCGGTGATCCGGCAATGTGCCGGCCGCAGTTCCTGACTGAAAATGGCAGACATGTCCTTGACGCGCTCTCCCTGGTATGGTGTGTTTTACAAGATACTGAAGTTTAAAAGGCTTGAACAGTACAGGGATGCTCTGGTTCAGTTCTGTGACAACCAGGGATTACTATTGGTGTGGGCCATAGGGGGAGATGTTGTGACATAGTAGATTAACATGTCACCCCTCCCAGTTTGCAGGTACCTGAGACCTCCTCCGAGTCCATCAGGAAAACCCAACTTTCTTTTATGGACTTATTTAGACTTTTGGGTCTGACAACCCTTATTTAAGGTCATAAGTGTTCAAATAAGTCTCAATAAGTCGAATTTCAGACACTCAGGGAATATGCCTTAAGACCTTTTTGTCCTTATGTCCTTAAATAAAGACTATAAGTCCATTTAAGTTGTTTAAGTGCCCTTTTAAGGAAAAGTGGGGTTTTCCTGATGTCTGTTGCACTGCCAGTTCCTCCACTTTGCAGTTCAGAAGGATGAACCTACCACTGCACATGCTGGTCTGTCCATATGCTCATCTCCGGGCTTTCAGACAACACCTCTGTGCGCGACGCGTCGTGGATGCCAGATCTATGCACACGTTTCTGAGATCAAATTTTCGGAACATCCCGAATTTGTGTACTGCAGTTTGACCCTCGCCAATTGAAGCAGACTAGGGTGAAGCCGAGTGTAGACTCTGTTTGGATTCGATTGGCGCCCTGTGGGCGCCTATGTCACATCACCCCTGGTCTGCGCTGGAGTTGGCCCCATTTGTAACAACACTCAGTAAAATCTTGTAAGACAATTGTAATGTCTCGGGAGATGACCTGCGGATGGGAGGGAACATTCCGAATCCCGCATGCACGCTACCAATGACAATCTCAAGGTTCACAGTGGTGCCGGGCGGGCTGCACTGGCATGGACCATTGAGGGATATTCGATGCTCTGCGGTCGGCGTCGACAAAGACGAGCACGGCGCTGCCGCAGAGTGCCATTGGGGGGTCAGCGCTTCAGCGTCGGGCGCCGGGCACAGATTCCTTTATAAGCTTGAAAGGTTTCTAATGTGGTCAACAAATGTCTCTAATGCGACGTAAGTGGGCATATGAAATGGACTACAAAGATAAAAACTAAAACCACGCCGATTGGGGCCCCGGCAGGGCACGGCTGGACGTGACGTGACACAAGATCGTATTGGGCGCCAATGAATCCGAACAATCGACCGCCCTCTCGGGCGAAGCCTCCTTCGCTCCTTTGCTGCGGCGACAATTGCGCTATCTCAACCAGTCTCCGCGCCAGTCTACCGGCCCGCCATCACTATGCTCACCGAAGTCAACGATATAGTCAAGGATGCTGGCATATATTGGTCCGTTCTCCACACGGTTCCTCGCTGGTGGCGTGCGGCTATATTCAACTTCTCTCTGGTGGGTCAACAGGTACGAATGGAGGATTCGAAGAATCTGCGACAGAAGATGTCCGCTCTAGGCCATCCGTGGAGAACATACGAGCGTTTCGCCTCGTTGTCGTCATGGTGCGTTCACTTCAATATTCTCAGAGTCATAATTGGGTTTATGCTAAGCGGCGGACACATGGCGCTAGATATCCCGAACGTTTTCGGCTGGATGTGGAACTCTTCTCCGACAACTGCACGAATGAATGCATCCTGCTGAAGACGCGGTAGAAACTTTCAGCCATTGCTGTAGAGCCCACGTGTTCTACGGCTCAAGGTCACTCCTGAAGCGTGCACTATTTACTGATGACTACAGATGCAGTCGCCGTTGCCGTCAGCAAAATGCATCGAATTTTGTAAGATACGGCCGATGACATTCTTGACCTTTCACTCGACACAGGGTGGATAGCCGAGATGGGCATGGCTGCAATGTGCCCGATCTCGTGCCGTTCGCTCGTCTGTATCCTGATACATTAACTGCCTGCATGCCGAATAGCGACTCGCCAAATGATGACATGGATGCCTCGACTGAACGCGTGAGTAAATACGTACAAAACCTTTACATATTTGACAGGACTGTTTGACAGCGAAGCTCCGCCGCACCTCTTCCACGATGCTGGTAAGCGACTCCGATGGTTACAATATCGGGAGGTACACCTTAACTCAAGCTTCCAACAATCTCTGCGCTATTCCTCCATGTCTATGGGCGAAAGCTCAAAGAAAACTATGGCTCAGGACGTGCATGCCTTCCCCTTACTGGATAGCTTTCACTCCGCACTGGGAGATTCACTCCTGGGTCGCAACTTCACCGACGTTCGGTTCTATCTGTTCTCGCAGCGCTTGCAGTCGGGGAGAGTAGGCACCCCTCGGGAAGTATATGCGAACAGCGATGTGTTGAAGGCAGCATCGCCGTACTTCGAGAGCTGTGAGTATACACCGGAAGACGTCATACAAGTGTTGATCCTGAAGTGACAAAGTGCTCGCTACAGTGTTAGCGGAAAGCAACGACGGGACACAGCCCGAATCCCCCTCAGATCGACTGCTGTCCACAGATTCGTACGCGTATGAGTTGGACAGTGATATCGACGAGGAAGATGACGGCGACCCTCACGATGATAGTGGAGACATCAGCCGAGCCTTGTCACAGCATGATGCTCCTGATGGCGGAACGCTATCGTCTCAGCAGGTGAGCTTCCGTGTCGGCGTTATTTGTCAGCCTACTTACCATGTGCAGGATCTAGCAATACTGCCTAACGGGTCAGCGCCGCTCTCACCGACATCCAATGTAACAGTCCCAGCAGCTGGATCTCCGCTGCGCACAATCGTGATCCCGGACGCAGCTTTCATAACGTGAGTTGGACCAGAGGCATGTCTTAATTCTCACTGAAAGATATCCGTGCTTGCAGATGGCAGTCTCTCGTCTTCTACCTGTATACCGGCACTGTCTCGTTCGCCCCTCTGAGGTCCCAAGGATTGCAAGTGCGGATGGTCGAGAAGGAGCAGCATAGTCGCAAATTTCCGCGACGGCCTCCTCTGTGCTCGCCAAAGTCAATGTACCGCCTGGCCGACAAGGTAACGCTCGTATTCGCACACTCTGAGTGATTAGTAGCTTGCTGACGGTCTGATGCTGGTACTACAGCTGGGAATTGACCAGCTAAAAGAGCTAGCTGCGGCGGACATCCGAACCAAGCTCTCTGCGGATAACATCCTGGACGAGCTGTTCTCCTCATTCACAAATCAGTATGTCGCTCTTTGCTTTGATACCTGAACTTGCATGCTAAGCTCGCATATATTAAAGGCACCCGCAGATTCTGGATGCTGAGCGCGACTTCTTTTGCGATAGATGCTTGAACGTAGACATCATACCGGCACTCATCCAAAAGCTCAATACTGTCGCTGGCGGTCATCTGCCGCATGCGGGGGCAGTTCTCACATCTCTCTTCCGGGCTTGGATCACTATGGCACAAGTGGCGGAAGTGCGACTATCGCTCGGTACCCCTACGCAAAAGAACGATCAGATCACGGAAGCTTTTATTATTACGCCACAGGAGAACATGAAGGAGCAAAAAGCCTTGGATACCACAGCATCGGAGGAAGAGAGTGTGGAAGCCATTGCACCAGCATTCGGGAAGAGCAACAAGAAGAAGATGGGGAAAGGTCGACCAACGACCTACCGCTAGTTAGTGCCTGCTGGTGGAGTTTCGGAGAGTGCTGCTACCGGAATCGACACTGCGTCTGCGATTCCAGCCGTGCTTGCAACCGCGACGTCTACTTGAATGTCTCATGTATCTTGTGATGAAGCCAAACGTGCGTGCATCGACCATTGTTCAGAGTGTGTCTAACTTAAAGATGCTGCACGTAGGGCCCACTTGGTCCGTTGTTAGTCCGCTGTAGGTGCTCCTAAGATATGTGATTGGCTATCATTATCCATAACGCTCAGTGTGCTCGTTCACGAGATCGTCACTCCAAGCTCGGTCCAAGATCCCCCCCCCGGAACTGATCGACCTCATTATCGACTTCATGTTGGAAGGCAAAATGCCATGTCTCTTCTCCGTCTCGATGTGGACCTCCGCACATGGATATGTGTTTGTAAACAATGGTTACGGCGCTGCCATTATCATCTCAGCCGAAGAATATACGTAAGCTCCCACGAAGTATTTGAGGCATTCGTGCGCAAGTGCAAGTTTGCGAGTTTTGCGGACTCTTTGAAGTTGGTCTGCTTTCTTTGTATCGAGGAGCATGCCATTAGGTTGCAACGGCTGGGCGCATCGGCTACCGGTTCTTCTCGGGCGCTCTTCCTCCTTAGTCGAGTCTCTGGAACTGTTCAATGTCGATTGGGCTATGTTCTCCCTTCATCTCAGTACTCTGCCGCTCGGCTTTGCACAATTCACATTCTCTCAGCTGCGATCTTCATGAATGGAAGAGGTCAGCTCAGGACAGCCGCGGGAGCCACAGTTTCCTTACCAAGTATCTGGGCGACTTCCCCCACTTTCCGAAGCTGAAGTTCACTTCGATCAACATGATTACTTCTTCTCTCACCTTTTCTCATGCCTAGCTCAGATTTCGCCCAGACTTCCAGTGCGGACGTTGCTTGTGTTATGATCGGGAAGTTGCAGCGTAGTTCAACTAGAGGCTGCTGGCCCTATGCTGGAGCGCTTACACCTGAACTTGGGTTTACCAGAATAGTTTCGCAGCTTCTGACTGTGAGTCAATGTTTAATCTCAGCATGAAAGGCAAGCGGCTTACATCCTTCACAGGGAAACTGTTCAACATGTACGAATGTGCTGCGCTATGTACGCTGAAGGTTCACGACCTATATTGCACCCCCACTTTGCTGCAGATCCTTCACACTGTCTCATCCACTAGCTGCATCGACAGTCTCCGCCTTGATAAAGACTATAACGCTGCTGAAACTGTTGGCGGCACTGGCGAGGATATGAAGCCCAGTGACATCGAGGACGAGTTGACGACTATCGCAATGCTCGTAGCAGAGCAGTAATTCTGTGAGCTACAGCAAGTCACATTCGACATTACTACAGAGGCCTGGCAAATTTCTCCTGCGTGGAGGCAGATCATGAGGGATCGTAACAGTTGTTTGCGGCGGCGCGGCGTTAATGTTGAGTTTTCATACAAGATTTGGGGTGAGTTGTTTCCTGTTCACAGGAGAAATATCCTTACTTTGTATTCGGTCAGAATATATTACGGATATGGGGTTCAACCTGAAACAGACAACAATATTTCGAGATCTAAACCATAGTACTTAATTCCAGCACCTAATCCATTCTCGTCGCGGGCATACACGGATGCCATACCTTTCGCGTGCATCGATAACTTCCGAGGCTCATCACGCTAGACGGACTCACCCCTCTTCCAACGTTCAGCTTCGTCTCAACCCAAGAATTAACTGGATATATGGGATCAGTGTCCCAGGCGGTCGAGCATCATCTGCAGCACCTGGAAGTAGCTTCTAGATGACTCTATGTGTCGGTGGGCGGCCCTGCGCACAGTTAAGTTTCACGAAGCTGACGCTCACTGGCGGAGTATGGCGAGGATTCCCATACGTGGCCTGGTGGTTCGCATTGAACGGGTTTTGGAGCGCGGGAGGGGCGTCGTGAGGAATGTTACCTATGGCCGAAGGGATTCGAGCTCTATCTATGGGAACGGCAACCTCGCCGACAAGGAGATGCAGGCAGTTTCGACACCTTCAATTTGCATCTGTACCGCCGGTTCGAGTCAGGTATTCTCAACAGCGAGGATGTGTCCTACAAGCTGCTGAAGATCCATCCGACTACCATGAGCCGTAGTGCCTGTGGATGCGTGGAGTACAGGGACATAATCCACTGTCAAGAATCTTGCGCCTTCCTAACCCATACAGTGCCTAGTTCTGCACCCCCAGCGCACTATTCTCACACACGTCTTCCCCCGCTGCCTCCCCCACATTACAAATACTACTTCTCCCACCTGGACAGGCTTGTCCCCTCTCCGCGCGCTGTTCGAATCACTTTCGCGTCTTTCTTGTCCAACCCACTGCATCGACCGTGTCACCGAGCAACCATTTACCCGCATCACCCAGCTAACCAGCATACTCGACTCTTATTGTTCGCACTCTCCGACAGCTCCGTTTCACTCGTTTTCACTATGTCGTCACCGTTATCGAACATGCGTTATCTCATTCAGGTGGCGCTGGCCTTAGAAGCTGGCAATTAGGTGCATTGGCCTACTCTTGCTCAACCACGGGCTGGGGAGGATCGCGATATAATAACTGTCGCGTCCGAGTCTGCCATGGGAAGTCACATCGCGGCCATCGATGGGCCTTCTGCCAGTCTGTGCCTTCACGTCTCTATCCAAAGGCTATCTAGTAAATTTGTGTCCACAGAAGCTGCTACGCAAAATTTGACCTCTTGTGCTAATATGCCGACATGCTTTACACACAGCAGCTCTCGTCTACTCCAACTGCGTTGCCGCGGTTACTCGTACTGGGCGGTGATACTCAGATTCCGCATACGTTGCTGCAGTCCTTCGAACCTCTTCAGCAATTAGCTTGCTCAGCAACCAGTATCTGCAGTCACTCCATACCATACACGGAGGTGTATATCGAGCTCACCAATTCAACTATCTTTCGACGCGCAAAGGGCGGCTCAGCCTCCCTCGACTTACTGGGGATCGGACGTTGTTCGGGATTCGGCAGCCATCCCGGACAACATCTGTCTGGGAACACGCCCCTCGGTATGCCGGACATCGAAGCATGCCGCACGGTTGACATGATGCATTCGAGCGCCCATGTATATAAGTGAGCAATTGCAACTTCGTGTCGCCATCAGTTTTTCCTCAACCATGTTCGTACGCTGCCCTCCAGCGATAGTACTAGAACTAACACTACCTCTTATCCAGGAGCAACACTTCATGCACTGCAGTACAGACCTCCGTCAAAACTGCGCTAGCCGAATCTCTCGCACATGGCGAGTTTGCCGACGTCCGGCTCTTCGTCTTCTCGCGTCGCCTGCGCTCCGGTAAGGTGTGCGCACCGAGAGCGTTGTATGCCAACAGCGCCATACTGAAGGCTGCCTCACCGTTCTTCGCTGGAAGTATGTGTCGCTTTGCAGCTTTTCTCTCCTAAACGGACTGATCGGGCATTGCTCTGGCGATCTCACATTAGTGCTCGCTGGCGGATTTTCAGAGAGCGACATCGCAGGAATCGACACTGGATTCCCGGCCAATCAGCGGTCTGTCATAGATGCCGATCCATTCGCAGAAGAAGACAGCGATTACGAAGAGGGGGAGGATGATGAATACAGAAAGGATAATTCTACAATCGCCCGTGATGCGTGCGATGAAGTAGAATCGTCTGGATTGACTTTGGTACACTCCAGTAATGTTGCCCAGATAAGTGTCATGCTGACTCCTTGTTATTTAGAACTCAACTCATGTACCACAGGATACCCCTGCTTCTCTTGTCTCCCCGGCTGTCATCAAGCAATCAGGAGGCCAACCGCTTCGTACAATTATCATTAAGGATACAGCACTCGCAACGTAAGTATCCGATTGTCATCTCATAGTCCTGTGGATCCATTGTCTGCCTATGTAGCTTGCAATGGCTCGTCTATTACCTGTACACGGGCGAGATAGCATTCTCGCCCCTCCACTCGCAAGGAGCTGAGTGCTGGGCTGTCGAACGCGAGAGGTACCAAATCGAGCATCCGAAGTGCCCGCCGCCGTGCTCGCCCAAGTCCATGTATCGTCTGGCTGATATGGTGAGTTTGTTGCCTGGGTTTCTCAGCCATATTTTCGGGCAATCTTTGAAACTGATCCTGGCGTCGATAGCTTGGAATGGATGGGTTGAAACTTCTCGCGATAGAGGATGTGCGATCAAAGCTATCCGCAGAGAACATCCTGGACGAGCTCTTCTCGCCGTTCTCATCGTGGTGCGTCCGGGCCTTGTCTGCAAGTGTTCTCACGCAACTTAGCTTCACTGACTCATCGGATACACATCACCTAGGTATCCCGAGATCCTGCAGGCCGAGGTGAAATTTTTCTCGTCGAACCGCATGGATCTAAAGATCATCCCGAAAATGCGGAAGAAGCTTGCGGCTATCGCTATTCAGCCTGTGCCGCATGCCGCAGTTGCTCTGGCGTCTCTCTTTGAGGCTTGCATATCCGAGCCCGAGGGTGCCGCCAAGACAGTGACATCATCCGTAGCAGACATGGACAAGGATCGAGTTGCTCCTGCGGAGAGCGCACCTATAGTTATCAGGAGACTCCCTCGAAAATATTAGCTTCCGCATGGTGAAGGCGTGGATGGTTTACGAGATGGGCATGGCCGCTGCATGGCCGAAGACGTTAGGGTGCTTCTCGGATACATCTTTACACACTTGCATGTCTCCCATGTCGACAGATGACCGGCTAGGTTATCACATCGGTGCTTCTCTGCATTGCGTGAGTGAACACGTACTACATTTTTACATATTCGAGTGTGCCGCTGCTTGCGATCGAAGCATTGCCGCACGCCCTCTTCGAGGCAGGTGAACACCACTCTCGGGCTAAATTATCCCGTTGTGTTTCGGATTCTGACTCAAATTTGAGCAGGTTCCGTGCCCACCTATGGGTAAGCGACGGAAAACACATCTGGAAAAACCTCAGAGGCGGTAGCTCCAGGCGACCGATCATAGTGATCGGTATCACGATGGCATGCCTGTATCTCGGGGCACTTCTCCGAGCATTCACTGTAGCTATTGTAGCCTTCGCTCGATGATCTATAGCAGTAGCAGGGGCATGTACAGTCAGCCATGGCTTTGTAGACTATATGCTGTACATGGCAGTATGTGATACTCCACGCATTACCACCTCTACCACCTACCTCCGCCTATGCATATTCTTTCCCCTACGAGCCTTCGCCGTGCCCGATGCTGCCGCCGTCACACTCGCATTCCTCAGCCGCAAGCACTGCATGCAGGGACATATGGGGTGGCGGGCTGGCGGACATCCATCCAACGAATGCACGGGTGCGAAAATGTAAGGAGCGCGATACGACCTTTGTGGACCAGCCGTTGGGCCTTACACCTCCGCACAGCTGCCGGTACTTCTGTAAAACATATGACCATCAATAAAAGGGTTTAAGTAAAATGTCGACGCCTTTTTGTAGACATTGTCAGTAGTCCAAGTGTTATCAATACTGGTACCACACTTCAGAACCAAGTGACATGGCCGCATGAGATCATCGACATGGACAATCTCCGCATTACGTGCACGATTGCGAGTGGACCGACTGATTTGATACATGTTGACTATAGAGTCTGGTTGCAGCCGAAACTCAGTGAACCACTCGACATATGCGAGAGGGTGCAGATAGGCTATTGTGAGGTTGATCACTACTACTCACTCGGCTGTTAGGCCATGGGTCACAAGAGCATGAGGGGCTCATGCGGTTGGGGCCATATATTTATACTACACAGTAATTCTAGGAGATTCCAGTATGTTCTCCGACATACCTATGTGCTGACTAATATATGTTTCCTGATTGGGAAACCACCAGCCCTAACATAGGCTCCAAACTGACGTGGGAGGCGGAATATGGCACGGACTTGCCCTACTCGTAGACCTGTGACAGATTCAGCAATGCGCCAGCAACATATTAAGAGGGACGTACCTTTGAACCCACGCTTCTTGATTGCGCTGCAATCTGTGTAAACCAGTGCCATGTCGAAGTGTGCACGTGAGCCCGGCTTGCGCCCTGTGGATGAGGGTGGAACTGAAGGGACAGCACGAATTCTCATGCGGCTGTGCTTGTCACTGATAATGGGATTGAAAGGCATCTTGATGACCACCTGGTTGTAAACATCGAAATGGTCCTGTACACCAGGAATGATCATGTTACGGGGTAGGTGTTTCTGCAAGAATGATTTCAGCACAGGGAGAAAGTCGCCTGCTCCATGCGCTTGCTGCAAGTATTCAACTGATGTCCTCGGTTTCGGGCATGTCTTTGCAAGCTTATGCACAGGCTCTGTATCAACTGATATTGATGGTGGTGGCACTACATCAGCCTCCTCTGGCTCAGTGTCTGTGTCATACCCTTCATCGACCTGAACGGAAATTCGTTGCACAGCTGAAGTTGTACTGTAAACACGGGTGGCCCACGCCAGGTACGTGCTGCATTGGTAGATGGCTTCCTGGCGCTGGAGCCATAATGCCATCTGTTCCTCGTAATCTCGCCTATTGCTTGCCCAGTAGGCCTCCTTGGCATAGTCGATGTGCAAGCGTTCTGGCAGCTCTGTGTTAAAGCCATCAGGAGTACTGTATAGTTGGATGGCATTGATGTAGTGCTGCATTGCATGAAGTTTTGGAATGTTGAAGTGCGAACACACCTCGAAGTCGATCAAGATCTGCTTGTGGTCATGAAATGTTTTTAGACATGTGTCAAGGCATGCAAGGGTGGTGGTGGTGTGAAGGCGCAACTGGGAGTAATAAATAAAGTCCAAAAGCGCCCATACAACTGTGAGAACTTTCTTTGGAACAGCGCCTGCCAACAACGCGACAAAAACATGTTGCATCTCCTTGTGCTCGGTTCCCGTCCATTGCATGATGGTAGTAATCCCTTTCTTGAAGTGCCTTAAGCCCAGATACCCTGCAAGTGCTTTGAATCGCCAGTCAATCTCCTTCTCTCCAGCAATGGCAATGCACCAACTGACCAAATGGTCCTTGAAGACACCTTTGTGTAGCTGGTGCAGGAGGTCTGGGGTGAAGCACGCAAAGATGTCGCAGTGGGGAAGGTCATGCCAAAAGGGTTTGTACATGGTGCGCAGGCCTTCGCCTTTGAATGCAGCAGGTTCCAGACCTTTCTTCTGCTTTTGCAAGGTGTCATATGTCTCGTTGGGATCTCGAAACAGCAGTGTATCCAGCATTTCACCGTGCTCCCGCAGATTCACAATACAGCGGGGACAGCGGTTTTCGCTGCAACAAGCGACGAGACACTGTTCTGGGTAGTCAACGACATAGGAGGCAACAATGGGGTAGATTTGTTGGATGAAGGAGTCGGCACATATCGTGTCCACCCCATTCTTACCGGCTTTCACTAGCGGCGCGAGAAGCAGCGACATGCAGTGGGGAAACAGGCGGTATCCCACAAGAGAGCGTGAGTCTTTTGTAAAGCACTTTAGTTTTGACACAGGTAGGTAGCCTATCAGAATCATTGCGCGTGCAGATGACTGACATCTGGTCTCCTTTGAAATGTTGCCAATGCTCAAGTACACAGGCCACACAGATTTATCCCCATGAAACTGAGTGAGTTTTGTCTTGTCTGAGGACAAGATCACTGGGGTGACGACCGCGCCTTCAGGCAGTTTATCCTACAAAAGGTAAGTGTTCTGTGCATGTGCAGAGATCATGATCTGATCCAACCTGTGTTTTCCACCACCAATCACCTGTCCACATCTCGTCGTAAATACGATGAGCTCCTTCCTTGTCAGCGAATACCTTTTCGGGAGTATATGCCATTGAATCCTTGAAGAGCAGGTTCCCAATCAGCTCCTTGATGCACTCGACTGGGTCGCAAAGCCAAAGTTCCACCTCTTCCTTCAATACCTCACCGTTCTCTGCCGCAGCATTCCCTTGGACAACAACTTTCTTGCAGGACCACACGGGACCAGTAAGTAATTCATCGACCTTCTGAAGAAATGCGCGAGTATTGTGGAAGGATGGCTGTGTGCGCTTCTTCGTCTGCCTCATTTCAGACCATGCAAAGTGATGTGCAAACCCACTTCAGGGTACCCTTCCGACCTAGCTCTTAGCTTCAACATAATCTATATTGTGTAGTGGCTAAGAGCCTCTCAGGTGTCAGACAGACCATGGTACCAATACATGTTCCAGGACATTATATGGGATTACCCAGGGCGAAGGCAGGGCAAAGGCTGGTCCAATGGCACAATTATCATATGGGATGTCCTATAGTACTAGGGCATTGATATTTATATCCCAGTATTACTGGTTGTCCCATGGTGCCAGGGGTACATAGGGATGTCCCACTATTAGTAAAACATGTATTTTCAGGCTATTGTATGGTAGTTTTTTTATACTTTGTTCTACAATCATATTGTATAAGCTCTAATTATAAAAACAGTGACTAGAATACTGTAAATAAGTGCCTTATTTGCACTTTATATATGGTGAAATATTTATAGAAAGCAGGATATCCCATATCAAGTATTGTGCACATATTTGTAATGTTATAAAGACTATATTACTATTGGTAGCATGTACAACAACTTCATTAGCTCATATAACAACTAATACAGGTCAAACAACAATGTTTATTCTTGTGTTTCAAAATTAATTTTACATTTTCTGACATAATGTTCAGACTAACATGATATAATCTTTGGCACATAGTATGTATCATAGCTATACTACAACTTTCACCAAGTGTCTCAAGAAATAAAACTACTCAGTCTACTAATATACTAGCAAAGGAGATATATTCTTGTCATGTCTCCTATCATATACTGTATTTGAATGAAAAAAGAAAGGCATTTGACCCAAGACTTCAGTCAAGTCACACTCAGAAATGCATTCACTGAATGACACCTTTGTATTATGGGATGTCCCTTTATGTAATGGGATATCCCTTGTAAGGACCTGTCACTCTTAAACCTTAGTAATTCAACTGTTAGTATAAATCTCTAGATAATTATAGTAGTTAAATAGAAACTTCAGGCTAAAAAAGAGACTAAATATCTGTAAATCTTAAAATAACATCTTAGGATGTCCTTAAAATGGGAGATCCCACCTTATATAATATGCAAATAAAGTGCTTGTTTATATCACTATAGTCACTGTTTTCATAATTAAGGCTTAAGATAATATGATAGTGGAACAAAGTATAAAAAAACTACCATACAATAGCCTGAAAATACATGTTTTACTAATAGTGGGACATTCCTATGTACCCCTGGCACCATGGGACAACCAGTAATACTGGGATATAAATATCAATGCCCTAGTACTATAGGACATTCCATATGATAATTGTGCCATTGGACCAGCCTTTGCCCTGCCTTTGCCCTGGGTAATCTCATATAATGCCCTGGGACATGTATTAGTACCATGGTCAGTCTGACACCTGAGAGGCTCTTAGCCACTACACAATATAGATTATGTTGAAGCTAAGAGCTAGGTCGGAAGGATACTCTAAAGTGTGCAAACCACTGGCAGAGTACTCACAATTGGTAAGTCCAGATATTCATCTATCCTGTTCTGCCCCAGATGCTTCATTAACCACTCCGCCAGTTGCCATTCCTCCTCGTCTGAAAAGGGGGCATACTCGCTGGTCTGCATTGCCCGTGCTTCCTCATGCTGCCTCTCGAACACCGTCTTCCCCTGCGCTTGGACTGTTGCAACCGGATGACAGCTGTAGTTGGTGTAGAAGTGCCCCGCTGAAATGTCATCTTCATCAGGTACATCTTCAACTCGCACACGCTTGGAGGCACGCGCGTTCGATTCCTCGGTTTCCTCTTTATCTGGAGATGGCTCCCATACAGGAGCAGGAATATAGCTGTCAAAGGTGGAATTACAGTTCCCAGGGGGACCGTCAACTAGCGATGCCATGACAGGTTCCTCAGGAAGCATGTGGTAAGTCTCTTCTTCCTGCTCCTCTGTGTCGAAAATGGAAACTGTCTCTGTCTTTTTGGCGATGGTATCCTCCCATTTACGGTGACATTCTCGACGGCTGCTGATGTGTCTCTTCAGCCCACCCAAGGTAGGTAGTTCTCTAAAACAAAAGTTACAGTGGTGCAAAGCTGACATGATTGAAGCAGGAAGCCCTCCCAGTCTGCCAGATACCATCAGGGGGCCGAACGTGTCTCCTCAGACTGTGGCGCCAACTCCTGTCCGTGTGCGTGGCTGAGATGGTGACATCGATCCCGTGGAATCCAGGGCTCCCAATGACTCCGAAACTGGACATGGCGTGACCTTGTTGAATCCAGTTCAACCAACTGCATAAGGTTTGGAAGAGCGTGTTATTGACGCGTTCTTTGCCCTGGTTGTAGGATAAATACTCTTGTCAGCTTCCTCAATTCCACAACCCACCGCTGTTCTCCTCTCTGCACTCATCTTCCATTGTGATGTTGACCCAGTCAGCATGTGCACTTCCCGCTCACCAGCGCCATCTCACAGAGAAGGAAAATCAACGCGGTAAGTATATCTTAAATGTTCACCGTAGGATAGTCTCTTACTGGAATACTCTGACCTCTACCCACCCCTTCCAGTTACCAAGAAGGTGGATGCTATACGCCGCAAGGTGGAGAAAGTGAAGAAGGCTGAGAAGGCAGAGCGTCGTGCATGGCTTCACCAGCAAGAAGCGAATGGGGAAGAAGTCAACGAAGACGAAATTGAACAGTCCGATGTGGATGACGTTGAAGACTACATGGTAAGTTGAGTCGATACATGTTGTTACTCAACTTACTGGTGTTGATGACTGCTCAGTTCACGGACTGCACTGTGACCACAAAGCTCTCTGCCAAGAAGGATCTTCCTTATCGTGCAGACAGACTCCCTCTTGCTGCTACCACCAACAAGGGGTGCAGGAACACAGGTATGTACTTCTGTCCGATATTTCTTCAAAGCTCATGATTCATCTGATTCATTTCAGATGAGACTCCCCCACTGGTTGTGCCCAGCGGCGATGATCGCGATGATGATGATGAGCCCGTTGTCATACGTCGCCATGTCCCGAAGGCAAATGTCACTCGCATTATGATCGAGGACAACGTGGATGCTGTCACCATCACACTGTCCGCTTTCAAGAAGTGCAGACGTGATGATGATAATGACAATGGCAGCGATGGCAAGCGTGATGGCCCCATGCAGCCTAAGTATCAGAAGGGCTCCGATAGATCAAGCCACCCGAGGGCAAAGGACTTTGATGATGCCACTCAGGAGGTCCTCACAATCGCGATTGCGATCTTTCGGTGCATGGTTAGCATGAAGGCTTCCTTCCCGGACACCAGTACATTCGAGATTGAGATGGTGCAGCAAGCCTGGAAGAAGGCTTGCGAGCAGACAGGCCTCAATGTTATAGTGATGACCACGTTAATCAAAATGGTATTTCATCCGTCTTTACTGGTGCATTGGCTGACCTTCCATAATAGATCACGAAGCGCACATCTCACGTTCGCGGTGAGTTGAAGACGAAGGTCTGTGGCATTATCCAGTCATTCTACGACTTCCGAAGTGGCAAGAACAAGAGCACTATCTCGCGCAACTGCCAGCACACTGAGGACCTCAAGGATGGATATTCTTTTGTATATGAGGTCTGTCTACTCCTTTTTTATACGCACTTGTGTCTGAGAATCTTATTTTCATCTTTCATCTCACTCCACAGGATTCGGCCACGAAGAAGGGCCTCTACAAGTCGGAGATCATCCAGATGGTGATCAACGACATGTGGTTTGCCAACAAGCATGATGAGGGTGTGCGCTATCACGGGTACTTCAACCCAATGCCCGTGGTGACTATTGCATTGGTCCTCACTGCAGTAAGTGCATGCGTTCTTCATTGTATTGTTGCTTATGTCTACAATGTCTAGGTGGAGTGCGGCATCGATGAATGGGCCGCGGGTATCAAAGAAGATGTCCCGTTCACTGCCGCCAGCTATAAGGAAGTTTATCAAGCCCACCTTCATTGCCTACATGACTTTGAGAAGCATACCATCAATTATGGCATCCTTCGCAAGCGGTGCAACTTATGGCATGGCAATGCACGGTACACCCTGAACCTTCCTCTGGCTGCTGTACAGTACTGATGGTTGATCCGACAGCTTCCATTCTGGTGCCGAGCTGATCAGCAAAACGACAGTGCCTGCACTCGATGTGTCTGCATTTGAGGCTGCTATTCGCGAGTGGGAGGAATCCGAGACTGACGACAGTGACAACGAGGCGGTATCTGGCATGGAAGGTGCTTGATAACAGTGATGACAAGTTATCATTAGAATCTAAGAAAGTTGGCTGCTAGTATTATTACTACCTTAGCCTAATGAGTAGAATGCAAATCATATCTGTTTTATGAAGCAAAGTAAGCCAGAAGGGAATTTAGTCATGCTACGGGGGAATGAACCGGATATTATATTGATATGTCTTTCTACGTCGCACTACTCAGCTACTGCAGAACCGCTGTAACATACGCTCGCGGGGAGGTATGCAAGCTATAGCCTGCTATGACATTCCCGTGTGATCCTACAATGGGCTACGGTGTTGTCATGTGATGCTACACGATGCTACAGATTTGAGGGTTGACAACACAGATATGTGGACTACTACAACTATGGACCCCTACAGAATCAGGGGAATTTTTCCTGATGCAAGCAGCACATGCAAGCGTTGTTCCCTCCAGGCAGCTTGCACTCCACGCAGGTGGACTCCTCTTGCATGAAAACTTCACCGATGCACGGTTCTATCTTGAAGTTGTTGTTGGAATTTCTGGGTGTTGAGTGAGCTCGCAAGCCGAGGAGGGTTAGGGTTTGTCGATCAAGTACTTATGCCGTGCTTTCGTGTTTGTATTCCTTACGCGATTGCCCCATCCTCACTCGTCTCTTGGGGTCAAATGTGCGCATTCTTGGTTGAAACATCTACTGTGCTACTGGTGATTTCAATAGTTGTATGTTCTGTTTCTTGTGCATCTGCCACTACTGTGCTCATCTACGTTGATGAACTGGCTAGCTGTTAGATGCGTAGGCCGGATTGCTAATTCTTGGGGCCAAAGCTGCCGCGGATACTCATTCAAGGCTGGGCTAAGTCCGATAAAATTGTTGACGACCTGTTCCCCGTTGCAGGAAGGAATGCTTCAACCATCCTCTGTACAATACGCGCTGGCCGAATCCGATTGTATTTACTCCGAGATGGAAACAAGGACTTTTTTTTCTGCAAGAAATGTTTGAACACGGACTTCCGACGTGTCGCATCGCACCGCAACAGAAACTTGACGGTATCCTAGAGGTGACTTAGGCCCACTCGATGACCGTCTCCAAGTTGCTCGTCGGCACTGATGAGAGTTCATAAACAACGTGCAGAATACAAGACGACGAGCCGCTGCGACTCTGCAGTATATGTGAGCTTCGGTTCGAAGTCCAACTCGCAGGTATTTTTGTGAAAATGAGGACTACTTCATGCTGAGTTTGGAGAAGGTACGCGCCATAGGGTTTGTAAGTGTGCTTCTGTGCGCAGTGCTTGTATTCGAGAGGCGAATATTATCGCAGAGATCTTGTGAGTCTCCATGAATAGGCATGTACCCGAGTCGAATTGTTATTCTATTCTACGCGCTGTGCACTGAAGCGAGAATTGGCGCGTATCATGATGCATTAAGCGACGTTTCCAGGTGAATGTTGAACCAGAAAGTTGTGCGCCGCAAGCTTGTGCCTGTCTCGAACGTTGACCGTTCAATGCTGAACTGCTGAATACCACACCTTCCTCATCCGTCAATATCCTCTATCCCGTTAATCATTATGGCACCAGGGCCGCCAGGGCTCAACGGCCGTGGCAATTCTTCGTACGCTCATCAAGGGTCGTTCCCGACTCCTGTAAAGGCTGTAGCTTACATAGGGCTGCATAGGTATGGCCTACCAGCATGGCTCGCCGAGGAGGACGAGCTGATCGGCTGTAGCTCTAGCTCGAGCTCGAGCTCGCGACAGCGGCATGTATTCAAATTTTGCGTCGTTGTTCAGGGAGGTATTTGGCTCACCCAAGGCTCCGCGCAGTATTTTGAATGTGGAAGGGAGCCGTGGTAATTCACGAATGGTCGATCCATTATTAATCTCGTTGCCAACTACGAATTCGAAACCGTACGTAGAGCGAATTGTCATTTACCTACCGGAGTCTGAATTGGGAGGCTCTCGTATGCAGGTTCGATAGCCTAAGGGTCCGTACTCGATTTCACATCTGAGTTCACATTCACGGTGCTCATTCCTCACACTTTCTCGCACTAGCTAGAGAAACATCAATCTGGAAAGATGCCACAACTCCCTGTCGAACTCGTCGTCGACTTCCTGTGGACGACCACGAAGCACTGCGCAACTGCTCTCTGGTATGTCATTCATGACCCAACGCAGCCGCTACCACCTCTCCAGGGGAATCTCCCTGTTCTCTCGCGAAGAGTCGAAGCCCTAGTGCGTAAGGCCAGATCTCCAAGTTTTGCGGCATCGCTGCAATCCGTTCGCTTTCTCTCCGTCAAAGACAGCTTCTACAACCCCGCTCCCTGGGTGCACCGCCTCCCGCTCCTGCTCGGCCATGCTTTGTCCGCACTCGACTCTCTAGAAGTGCGTTTTGTAAACTGGGCAGCGGTCCCGCTCCATCCCTCCACGCTCTCGCTCGGGTTCTCCCAATTTCGCCTCGTCACGCGGCTGGAGCACTGGTGCCGGTTCCGCAACGCGAAGCAACTGTGGCACCTCATCTGCGCATTTCCCCGGCTGCACACGCTGTACGTCACCGAGCAGCCATCGTCGCGCGCACAGGCGCGGTCGTTTCGCCACCAGGCGTCTGGGCGGCTCCCGTTGCTGGCTGATGTCTCGTTTGGAGGGGACGTGTCGCTGGCATCCCTCTTTTGCACGTGGCTGGCGCAGATGGAGCCGCGGCCTCCGCTGAGGGCACTGACTTGCTGGCCTGAAGTGCAGTTTGCGGAGGAGTTGGGGACGTTGCTGCGAGAGTTTGGCCAGACGCTGGAGTGTTTGACGCTGTATTTAGATGAGCTCGATGTCACGGCTTCTGATTGTGAGTCCCTTCGTCTCCTTGGTCATGATAGCGGGTTAGTTTATACTGTCGGCAGTGGACGTGTTCAACGTACACCACTGCACTGCGCTGCACACACTCAAAGTCTGGAATCTGAACAGCTGCATCGCAGTGCTGCAGATCTTGCGCGTCATCTCGCCTGCGAGCCGCATCCAAACTCTCTTCCTGCACACGCTCTCGCCAAGCCACGACACAAACGAAGATGACAACAATGCATATGATGGTGGGGAGGGAACGCTGGAGGAGTGGGAGACCGCCGAGCAGCTCTTGTCCCACGAACGATTCTGCGAGCTGCGGCGCGTCACGCTCGTCGTCGACGACGAACTCTCGGTGGCCGAACAGCGGTTCGTGAGGAATTTCATTGACCACCTGCGTGGGCGCGAGATCTACGTTGAGGCTTCGATCCATGCGGAAGGTGGGCTTCTCCGTTCATGTTATTATAAGAAGGAAATGCAGTGTATGACTTTGAAAGTTCGCTCAGAAGGTCTCTCGCCCACCATCTATTGATGTTTCGCGCTGTTCCGCCGTGGTATTCGCCCTGAGGACGAGCCGACATCGGGATTTCTTTTATTTTGGTTATGGCATACTGCTATAACCCAATGGTGCGTCTCAGGACTTCTTGTATTCAGAATATTTACTTTAAGCGGCTTCGGGGCAGCGTGCCTGTATTTCCGTGAGGGATAGGGACTACTGAGTGTGGGGTCGTAGAAGGCACGCGCGGTGGGATTTATAGTTTTACTTTTGTGAGCAGTGCATGTTTCGAGGGACAACTATTCTACTATGCACCGAAGTGAGAGCTGACGCGGATACATTAAGCGAGCACTCTCAGGTGAGCGTCGAACTGGAAAGTGGGTAGGGAACACGTCACGAACCCATCAGAGTCTTAAGTGGGAGGATCTTGTATGCAGGCTCGATAGCCTGAGGGTATGCGTACGCATCGCGCGGAAGTTTACATTACCTTGTCTATAGTGAGGAACCTGAGTATCGTTGTCTTGATTTTGTGGCTTCCCGTTTGGGCGAGGGGCTCTGGCGCAAGATCCTCCCAAGTACTTGCTGCAAATTCTCTGCTGCAGCCAATCGTCCCGTCTGCGACTAGAGACCAGCTAGTGAGTAGTGGCTAGTGGCTCCCCGCACAGGCAGAATATATGATATCAATATACCCCACCGCCGATAATCGCCGGTCTCTCACTGCCTGACATGATGGGTAACGGCACATGTAAAGCTAGAAAGCGATCGCGCCTCCAGCGCTGACGTGCGTTCTCGCGACGGGCGGCACCTGCTCTCAACGCCATGAAGTGTGCGCGGGGGTGCATCGACGAGTTCCTCTGGATGTGCACAGAGAAACTGCAGTCTGCACACGGCACGCTAAGTGAGGGGGAAGACGACGCACAAGTATGATCTGAGAAGGCTTTCTGTGCCCCGCGCCAGCGCCGCGGCGTAACATGTGCGCGTTCCTGAGCGTCTTTGGCAAGATCGGTTGAGCGTGCTGCGTGCGGCTTGGGGACTGGGACATCAATGCCCCTCGGATTACACGAACGAAGCTTGAAGGGGATATACTTGTTGGACGAGGGTGCCGACTTACCGCACTGAACGCTAGATCCATGTGAACGAAAAAAAGAGCTCGACAGGTTGGCCGTAGGAGACGCCACTAGATCGCACCAGTAGATAACACAGCATGTCCATCGTTGCAAAAAAGGGCCAGCATACGTCGGCGAACTCGAAGGGAGTTCGTGCTCCAGCGGAGGAGCGAGAAAATGCGGAGGAGAGTCGCCTCGCGAGAAAGGAATTTAATGTGGTAAATGGAGAGTAGATACTGCATCAGGAAAACCCCACTTTTCCTTAAAGACCTTTGGCTCTGAAAACCCTTATTTAAGGCTATAAGTTCTCAAATAAGTCTCAATAAGTTGGATTTCAGGCACTTAATGTAATATGGCTTATGGCCTTTTTGTCCTTATTTCCTTAAATAAGAACTATAAGTCTGTTTAAGGCAGTTAAGTGTTCTCTTAAGAGAAAGTTGGGTTTTCCTGATGTGGCTAATGTTTCTGCGGATCGCCCACAGTGGTGCATGATAGTCCTTGCACTGCGTCACACATGGAGATAGATGCAACTCCTCCCATATGCGGAACGCAGGAAGGGTGTATGCCAAGAGGGAGAATCCACCCAGATCGATCGATCGCTCCGGGTTCGTTTGGATGTGTGCAGTTCATTGGAAGGCCCACAATAAGATACGAAAGATACTTCACGGATATGTTGCCAGAGGCCTGATCGAGAAATTGGAGGAGACAGAATCATACGGAGAATCATGTGAGGGAGCAACTAATAAAGTTGCAATATGCAGACTTTGTAGGGGACTCAAATAACAGGACAGAAGAGCTGAGCAACACAGCTAGAGTCCAGAAGTGAGTCACTAGATAATATTGAGGACAAAGTACTCTACTCACCTAGAGTCCAGAAGTGAGTCACTGGGGACTCAGAGTGGACTCTAGGGGGTTTATATCTACCTAGAGTGTGGCTATACAAACCTGTGAGTAACACAGGATTGTGGCTGTGAACATAGGCAGGCATAGCTATGCATAGCCTCTACATGGCAGTGCATAGTGCAGCCTGATCAATAAGTATCTAGGTGTACAGCATCTTGCATTGCTCTGAGTCTAGACACTTGAGAGACTGATGGATTATCTAATCTAACAGCAACAAGGTCGAGCGGCTGCAAACGGACCTGATAGGAGGTGAAATAATACACAGGTGCCCACTTGAATTCTGACACATCGAAGCTGCCCGGCTGCACATCCTTCACCACTCTCACTCCTCCATTGAAGACCTGTTGCTGAACCCACAGAATGAATGAAGCGGAGAGCCCCACGTTTTTGATACCATCCCAGTATGGATACTGACCATGATTTATCTGAGGTGCAAGAATGCGCGAATAGAACGGAGTGACAATGAACCTGAAGTTGAACGCAAAAACAAGCCGAGAAAGTGTGAGTAGTTATTGGTCGTGGCTCCAGTGTTCCATGATAGTGCATCGCAAATTTAAGATAGCGTGCACATCTGTTGATCCCGGAAGATGGTGCACCGAAATACTTCCCCTATGCATACAATATATAGGTGGTTGGTGGTAGGTGAAGAGGTTATAAAGCACCCCATTCAGATTCATCGATTCTGGTCAAGGTATGTTCAGAGGAGTTATTATGCTTGGAGTGCGGGTGCATAGGCAGTATCGTGGCTCGTGGTACACGTAAAAGATTCTGCAGAATGTCCTTACAACGCGACAGATACAATACTTCTCGGAGAAGCATGAGAATCACGAGTAATCAAACTTGTCTGCTGCAAGCACACGAAAGAATGTTAACACATGAGAGCCATGGGTGCCTACACCAACTTACCGTATCATAAATCTGTCCATCATGCAAGACTTTACATCTACACTATCTCTGTTCTATGAAAGGAAATACGGTGAACTCGTGCAGCGCAACGAAAGTAGAGAAGGCTCCTACATTCAAGACAAGATGTAGAATGTCTGGTAATACCCAAGCATGCCGTCGTACGAAGTATTGTAGCACACATTATGCTCGAGCTGCACAGACTCTGCGCACCCAGCGGTAGCCATGTAGACCTGGTAGGTGGACAAGCAGTAGAAGCAAACGTAGGCCATGATCGACCCGTACTCCGAAACATTGTTGTTCAGGGGAATGCTATAGCAGACGTTCTGGTCGGGCCCAGTTAGGAAGTCGCAGGTACCGGCACAATTCACGCCGCTGCAGAGGATGACCATGTTATAGTCGGGATAGTGAGATCCGAGTGGGGGGCGCTCCCAGGAGCATGCTCGACAGATACTGCACTGCGACGGCCAAGCGTGATGAGCGTGGCGAACGCGAACGCAGAGCAGAAGAGGACTGCAAGGGTTTGCAAGTGCATTGTGGGTGCTGTAGACATGGAAGATGGAAGACACAGAGCCCAACATCGGCCTGTATATATGCGTGCAAAATGTACCCGTAAGGTTCTTAGAGCAACTTGAAGGAAGGGCCATCATAGAATCTCGTAGATGTGGCGTGCAAGGGGCATCATATTCTTAGACGTTGAGGTACACGCTGTCCGGCAGATCTGAGAGATTAGCAAAGTGACTCAAACCCCTGCCCAGCTGACTTGAACCAAACTTTGCAGACTCTATGGACATTCAATAACCCTGAGCGAAAGATACGAATCGAGCGCATGAAGAGGTGCAGGAGCCTGAACGCCGCACAGAATGCGGACTAATAAGCGCCCGAGTGGTCATCTTCATGCATAGTAGAATATTGGAAGCCAGCCCCACCGTTCATCAGTCTGTATTTTCTCCAGGTCATTTTCTCAGTCCCAAGTCAAGTTTCACTTCGGGAAGAATTCTCGGGCTGCATCGTAAGTATTTGCACCCAAGTTGATTCAAGATGTCAGGCCTCAGTGCTAGCACTTGACAGTGTCACGGCATGTTGCCGTTTGAGTGGAAGTGCACTGTATCTACGCTGGTTGCGCGGAGGTTTATACGCTCGAATGGTACGTCCCTCTCCAGAATCCCACAATGCTTCCTTGCATTATGATCTTGCAGATCTCAGTGTGTACTGCCCAGGTCGATATTCACGATGAATGCTTCGAGCGTCCCTGGTCTCTTCTCATCCAGCAAGCTGATTCGTGTAGGTAGCTGGAGGTCGCACTGAAGGTCTGAGGTCACTTTGTCTGAAATAGTGCCTTTATATGATAATCCAATTAGATGTTCAGGTCTAGCTCTACACTGGTGGCCCACATGCATGACACCACAATGGGAGTACGTTGGAGAATTTAGACGAATAACCCATGTGATGCAGGTTTGCTCTACAAGGGGACATAACGTCGACACAATTGTCAGCATCGCGCCGCTTCTAGGCGCAGATTCCCCCCTTCCCGACTTCGGGTATAGTCTTGCTAGTAGATTCCCCTGATCTCTGAATCATGCATGAACTTCGAAGAGCTGAAGCAGGATGTAGCCGCAGATGTCCGATCGGGTGTTTTCACAGAGAATAATATCAAACGATCAGTCTCTTCACGTATCCAGATAATGATGCGTCTGAATAACTTGGCTAAGTTTTGGCTGATTGCGCCATGTAGACTCCTGAAACTTCTATACGAGGATGACCTCTTCTGCGACAGTTATCCAGATATACAAACACCCTTCGGATACTGGACGGGAGCCTCGGCATTGTTGCCACAGAAGAGTTACCCCGAGAGAGAGAGAGAGAGAAATCTGTGTATTTATACTGCAAGCAGGCGATCAAGTGCGCCAAGGAACAGTCTCTAATGTAGGTAAATACGCACTGGTAAGGGGTTGTCGATAAATGGAAATGTCTTTGCTGCCATGAAAGCAGCGGTGTCTCATGAGTACTGCATTGTTCGGGTGTGGGGAAGTGATGTCAACAGTGGGAGTCTATGATGTGAATAGCAGGGAGCATGAAAGTAACATAACGGAAAGCATAGGAGAAGGGAAAAAACCGTAACCTCATCAACGTCATTCAAGTCTGCCTGCCCCGGATCCTTCCACCTGAGGGATTCGTTCATTCGCGCGGTGTTCTTCGTATGACCCTGCGGCTGGCCCACCTTTTGAGGCAGCTTGTACTCTAGCGGTCTGGCACGTAGTTAGCCATTTTCCTCGCTGCGGCAGGTCGAGGGTACTATTACTGTTGTTCATTATCCTGTATCTGTGCGAGTATAGTGTCACCGGTCTTTGTAAAAGCACCAGTGAGAGAAATGAACTTAGCTAACACTGTTATTCCCTTCTTTGTCCCAAGTATGTCACAGAGGCGCATATTAGAGAAGGGCTTCGATAGGACGTGGCGATGGGCCTCGTATCGCTCGCAGTCGAGAAGTATATGCTTTCGAGTCTGTAGGCCTGCACCGCAAGGACAGGCTATGCTTTCGGTGGGTACGAAGCAGCTGTAGTATTCACCGGTGAACGCATGTCCCGTACGGCACTGTGTGACGAGTCTGAAAATGCGTCGATTCGTGCTGAGTTCGTAGAAGTGTTTGCATGGTCATAGTGATGGTGTGAGGTGGTTGGCAGGGCCGAACCATCCGTTGCATAGGTTGTCTTCGTCATTCCTCCATGCGTCCCTCCATGCCTCTATTGCACTCTCCTTCGCTGCCCTTCTCATGTGTGCCCAGGTTGCCTGCTCCCCTCCTGCGGTTTCCATATCTGCGGCATCCTTCGCTAGTTGATCTGCCTTCTCGTTCCTGTCTATCTTGTGGTGTCCGGGTGTCCACCGTATCACGACCTGATTCCGTTCGTCTGCCTCGAGGAATTCTGTTACTGCCTTGCAGAATCACATTGAGTGTGCTTGTCCTGGGTGCGTCGTGTTGGCTGTGATTGTACCTATGGCTGATGAGTTGTCAGCACAGAAGAAGATCGTCCAAACAGGTGTGTCTCTCGACATCGTGATAGGGATCGCTGTTACCGCCCCCTCCGTGAGAGCCTTCAGCTCCGCATCGTATACCTCTGCCTGCATACCCATATGGTACTTGCATTCTGCTACTGTGCAGTCCTGGTACAAAATGACCAGGCCTGCACCCGTCTTGGTACCATCTTCTGTATCTAGCTGTGAACCATCAGTGTAGATGAAGAGGAATTGTGTATTCATCTTGTTCTGTCGATACCATTTCTTGTGGGATTTGGCCTCCTTCTTCTTGGAACTGTCTGCTGTGGTGTTTAGTATTCGTACCTGACCAGCAAGTTCTGCCCTTATGGCGCAGTCTTCCCATGGGGCTTTGAGGAATGGTATAAGTCGCTTGCCACCGGCGTCTGCGTGGGCCGCGACTGACTCGAGTAATGTCGGAGGGGGTATTCTGTGGCTGCGAGGATGTGAGTGATGGGCCGGTAGTGGTGGTACTAGCATAATCGGCTCGTTCCTTCGCCACATTGTGGGGAGGTGTTGGCGGATAGGGTGGTTGTGGTTGAGTTTGTGAAACCGTATGGCGGTGTTCTCGTTGATTAGATCTAGGTGCTGGCGTGCCGGCATGAGGCCCGCAACAACGCATAAGGCTGCGCACTGTGTGGTCCTGAATGCTGCACAGATGCGCCGAAGGGCCTGGTTCTGAACCTTCTCGAGTGCGTTCGCCTGCCAGGCTTTGCCTTTCCACCAGGCGACACTGGCGTAGGTGATGATTGGGAGTACGCATCCTACGTACAACATTCGCATATGCACCTGTGAAAGTCCTCGGACTGTGTTGGCTAGCATGCTCAGAGCGTTAGTTACCTTCATCGCTTTCTCGGCCATGTTCTTGACATGCTGGTGGAATGTGAGTTTCTGGTCAAGGTAGACCCCGAGCCAGCGAACACTCGCGCTCAGTCTTATCTCGACGTCCACTCCAGGGTCCTCCCCTGGGAGTCATATGCTTGGATTATCAAGCTTGCGCTTGTGGTGGTAGTGAGCCAGTTCTCATTTCACCAAGTCTGCAGACAGGCCCACCGCAGTCAACCATAGAACTACAACAGAGTATGCAAAACTTAGCTTGACAATGTTGTATGCCAGGCTGCGAGATGACTGAATGAGCTTGCCGTCATCGACAAAGGAGTATAGGGAGGTGCGGGTGGCTTTCTGGTGATGGTCTTCTTGAGTGATTGGTCCCAGCCAATTATCGAAGATCTCATTGAGTTCGCTTGCATAGAAAATAGCTAGAATAGGGGAGACGAGGGAGCCTTGTGGTATGCCATTAATAACAGCGATCATCTCGTCCATCTGTCCATCCAAGCAAACGGCTGCTCGACGATTGGATAGGAATGACGCAACCCATCGGATAAGTGGGAGAGGAAGATTTTTCTGGCGAAGTACTGAGAGGAGGCGCGAGTGATTGACGAAGTCGAAGAATCCTTTGATGTCGAACGTGAGGGCGGACGTCACGAGTTTGTGATCTCGTGCAGCATCGATGTCGTGCACTACGGTAAGTATGGCATCTGTGGTTGAGCTGCCCGGGCGTGCCCCGAATTGTGAGGGAGATACCAGGTTGAACGCTGTGGCATAGTGGGCGAGGCATTGTGCCTGTAGTCGTTTGAGTACTTTCCCCAAGCAGTCGAGGAGTTGGATAAGCCGATATGCTCGCGGTAATGTGTAGTCTTTCTTGCCTGGTTTACGAAGTGCCACCACTATTGAGTCGTGCCAGATGCATGGATGGTGTCCTACCCGAACACATTTTGAGAGGAGCTTGAAGACCTCATCGGGTATCGTGTCCCATGTCCAGCGCAGAGCTATTGCGGGTATCTTACTGGGGCCTGGTGATCTGTGTGGAGCTGCATCGAAGATCGCTTTCCTAATCTCGAGTCGGGTTGTCTCATGAAAGGGTAAGTCATTTGGTCTTGCATGATGAAGATCAGGAGGGATGACGTTGGCTAAGGGAGGTGGTGGCTGAAACAGTTCATCCCGTAGCGCTCGGCATTTATCCTTGTGTTGTATTGCCAGTGGTGAGCCTGCCCCTCACTGGATTGCTGGCGATGGGTATTGACGAGTCCCTTTCGTCCATTTGTTCACGTCCCACACGTTCTTGGATGTAGCCTCCTGCAGTGTCATCTCGACCCATTCTCGTTTCGCTTTCTTGATCTCCCGTGCTAGTCGATTCGCTGTCGCCTTGATCCGCTTTGTCCAATGAGTATTCTCATCTTGATACCGTGAAAGCCATTCTCGTGCCTCCTGCCGCTGTGAAGACAGTAAGTCCTTGAGTGCTGTCAGCTCCTTGGACCACCATTTCTTTGACTGCTTGCATGGTTCGCTCTTCGGTACTACCTTTTCTGTGGCAGCTATCAGGGCTTCGTTGAGCGCCTCTGCTGCTGCATCGAGAACTTCTGGGCTTGGTACCTCTAGCTGTCGCAGTGCCTGCCAGGGATCTAGGTCCCTTGTCATCGCTGTCCATAGGGCCTCTTTCCAGTCTGCTGGGTCCACTTTCTTGAAGTTATACTTGACACCTGTAAGGCTAGGAATGGTTTCTTCTCCGTAGTCTAATTTCCACCTTAGTGCATAGTGGTCCAATCCACATGAGAGGGTGTCGTCTACGCACCAATCGTGGACTGTGTCCTGCAGCTGTGCTGCTCCGTTGACCAACGTGAGATCTAGGGTTGAAAGTGTTCGACCATCGTGTGATTGGTATGTGGGTATGTTGCGCTTGTTCTGTAGAAACCATCCTTCCTCCTGGAACCACTCAGCTAGGTTGTTGTTGCGGGCAGACTCTGCCCGTGACTGGTCCTCTCACATTTGGTGGTGTGAATTCCAGTCTCCTGAGAGGACGATCGGGATGTCGAGTGGGAATTGTATCTGTCGTAGACGCTCCGCTGTCCATTCTCCATGATCGTCGTGAAGAGGTGACTGGTTGTAGATGTTGACTAGCAGTGTTGGCGGGTGAGCATGTTGTTGTACTTCGAGTACCTGGATGTCGAGGTCTTGCGCAATGTCCGACCTTAGCGTAACTGAGAAGTCATCGCGTTTGGAGACATATGCCATGACACGTGGTCGAGCTTCACCAGTAAGGGTTTGAGTGGGGAGTATGGGTTGCCAATGGGCGTGCGATGCAGTGACTCGCTGGTCATTTCCAATGCTGTCAAACCATGGTTCGGTACAAAGAATGATGTCGACCTTCCCAATGAATGTATTTAGTGCTGTGTGAGCGGTGACATTACGTCTATTCATGTTGAGCTGGATGATGGAGATGGGTCGTGTTGTTGTCTCTAACATGAGACACGGTTCGTGGATCCTGTCGCTATTAAATGGTTCACAGGTGCAGCATTCCAGCCTGCCAGAGAGGACATTGTCGATTTCAACAGCAGGGGAGCTCCTTGAGGCAGGCGCTCCTCCATGTTGGTGTCCTCATCTGCATCAATGATCTCAGTTGGTATCTCAGTGAGAACGGTGAAGCCATTTGTTATGAGGATGGGGGTGGATGGAAAGTCATTACGGTCTGTCACTACCTGTCTCATGGGTTCCTTGTCCTTCCTCGCCGCTGCTTCTCGCAGGGCATTCTGTGTCGCTGCATAGGCCTCCTTCCTCAGCGCCTGAGATGGTGGAGCTGGTCTCAGGATGCTCTCTCTATTGTTTACAGTGCTTTGCGGGTGTGAAGGAGGTTCCCGGGCCGCCGCTTCTGCCGGTGTTGGGTTCACTGCCCTGTGGGCATCTGTGGGAGCATTAGGGATGGCCGCCATCCATTTTTTCTTTTTAGAAAGCGCTGGCCGTGTTCCTACACTGCCTAGGATCCTCGGGGCGCTCCTGATGGTCTCTGCCTTATATCGTACCCGGTACGGGCAGGCTTTAAAGTCTGCTGGATGGGCGCCATCACAGTTCTTGCAGTGGGCAGGGTGATGCTCGCAGTCTGTCGTGGCATTGCACATGTCGCATTTGTGAGCTGAGGTATGATGCTTGGCACCGCAGAAGCAGCAAACCACTGGTTGCTTGCAATGATGTGTCGGATGGTCATATCTCCAGCAGTGTTCACATGGACGGAGTGGTGGGATGTCGACATAGATACTAGCCTTGCTGAACCTGTTAAACAAATATGCTCCGCCTCCTGCCAGCAGCTGGCGTGCATCATCTTCTGAGGCAAATGCGAGGATGACAGAAGATCTCACCCCCAAGGGTCTGGCTGTCAATTCATCCTCGCTGGCCATCTGTTGGAGGCTTCGGGATGACCTTATTAGGCAATCCGGAGCATCCAGGTAGTCGGGCGATATTCCCCGATATCTTATTCAGCATCGAAGGATACAGTAGCTACGAGAACTATGTGGTATGTTCTGGACTAGTCTACTGGTGTAGTATATAAGGAGGGACCTCTTGCAGGTCCCAGTAATTATATCTCTTCCCCAATCACTCACTCGGAAGAATTCATATCAGCTGCGCTAATAGGTTATGAGCCCCGATAGCTTATAGCTTATAGCTTATTCTATTCACACCTACTAACCTCTACTTACTCATTACACACTCTGACTATCAGTAGTTACAATGTCTGGTACTACTGAATCTCGTGACAGCCTGTCGTCCTTGTTCTGAATCGAACAACTTCGTGATGACAACTGGCTTCCGTGGAAGCGCTGTACAATGGCGATCTTAAGGGAGCGCGGTGTCCTGAAGTATGTTGATGGGACATCGGAGAAGCCGAAGCCAGTAGATGCAGCGACACTAACACCGGAAGAGATGGCGGCAACCAAGAAATGGATCGAGGGCGATCAGAAAGCCCAGACCGTTATCGAGCTGCTGTTGAGCGACTTGCAGATGATACACATCACAGACGCTACAACGGCTGTGGAGATGTGGAACCAATTGAAGTTAGTAAAGGAGGCGAGTGGACAACTGGGGATAATGGCATACCGAAGGAAATTCTACCACACAGTTGCCACAGAAGGCAGCGATATTGCGGCGCATATCACGGAGCTCCACCGGACACAGGAGCAGCTACACACAATGGGTAGCAAGGTGTCGGATGATGAATTTCGAACGATCCTGATCACATCGTTACCAGAGTCTTGGGACCAGTTCACATCTGCATACCTAGCTGCAACTAGTCAGAAGGACACGCTGCCGACATTCATGCCGCTTGAAGCCTCATCGATCACCGGCATTGGTGACCAGAGCATACGCGCACTTGGGCGCGGCACTGTGGAAGTCAATAGCAGGATAGGCGATAAGACTTTTACCTTCTGTCTGAAGGATGTGTTATACGCACCAAAAGCAACGAATAACTTAGTGTCGCTCACCCGTCTGGACGAGGTGGGCGGACACTTTGATGGTGGTGATGGAGGGATAATGCTACGGGAGAGTGGCGGCCACGCCATCGCTGAAGGCCGGAAAATCGGCCGTTTGTACTTGCTCGATATGCGGGCCAAGATCGCGACGCCGATGAACGAACACATGAATGTTGCACATGAAGATAATGACTCGTGGGAGTCATGGCACCGAAGATACGGACATCTGGGTATCACTGGATTAGAACGGCTATACAAGGAGAAGATGGTAGAAGGACTTACCATTGATGAAAACTCAATGCCACTCACGCAGTGCGAAGCCTGCGTACAAGCTAAGCAGGCACGTCGTGCATACCCGAAGGAGGCGGAGGACCGCTTCCAGATGCCAGGCGAGTTGACGCATAGTGACGTCTGGGGCCCCGCATGTGTAGTATCGATCGCCGGATCGCGTTACTACATATCGTTCACAGATGACTGCACGCGGAGGTGCCAAGTCCTGTTCATGAAACATAAAAGTGAGGCTTTTGAAAAATTGAAAGAATACCTCACCTTTATTGAACGACGCTTCGGGCACCTGCCAAAGATCGTGCGTGTTGACAATGGGTCCGAGTACATCAATAAAAACCTGAAAGGGTGGTGCTGTGAGAAAGGAATTGAGCTGCAAACAACAGCGCCACACTCACCTTCGCAGAATGGTGTAGCCGAGCAATTTAACCGAACCTTGCTCGAGCTTGCACGCGCGATGTTGATCACAAAGAATCTTCCAAGCTTCCTCTGGGCAGAAGCTGTTGCATATGCAGCATACCTGCAAAATCGAGCGCCGACGAAGGCACTGCATGGGAGAACCCCGGAAGAGGCATGGACAGGCAATAAACCCAATGTTGCACACCTACGAGAATTCGGATCAGATGTCTGGATTCTGACGGAAGGTCAGAACCTCTCAAAACTCGAGCCAAAGTCGAAGAAGCACACCTTCGTGGGTTTTGCTGATGGCCCGAAGGCCGTGCGCTACTACGATGCAGGTGCATGCTCGATCCGAGTCTCACGAAATTTTGTGTTTGCAGATGCCCCGAAACCAGCGAGTAACGTCCCTGTACACCAGTTCAATGATGGGGACAGGCTGCCGCTCGAGGGGGAGTCAGAGGGAGCTGTCAAGCAGCAGCCTCCCACATCTGCATCAAAACCAGCATCAGTACCTGTCAAAGCTGATCAGTCTAACAAGAAACACGATGGAAACCACATTACGGAGGAAGACTTACCTCCCAAGATGCAGGAGAGCATGCGAGAGCGACCGACATTCTTGCCTGCACCCCCGAAGATCCCTCTTTGTCGTACGACCCACGCCATGCAGGATCACGACTATCAAAAGATGGATAACCCCCACGCGCAGCCCGTGAAGTCACGCGAGCCGCCGGGAGTGCTGAAAGAGAATGCACTGGGTGAAAGTGCAAAAGTCGCTGTGACACCCGAAGACTTCAAAGAGATCGCGCAGGTGCTGTATGCGACAGCGCTGGCATCGGGCGACAGAACGGCGAGTGCAGGAGATGAACTGTGAAGCCTCACGAAGGCCCAAGCCTCTCCGGAATGGTCAGAATGGGAAAAGGCTGTAAAAGCGGAATATGATCAGTTGCAGGGCATGGGGACTTGGGAGCTACAAGACTTACCAAAATATCGAAATGCTGTGGGCTGCAAGTGGGTCTTCCAGAGGAAAACCAACAAGGAGAGTCAGGTTGTCAAGTACAAAGCCAGATTGGTGGCACAGGGGTACTCACAGATCCCAGGGATGGATTTCCTTGAAACCTTTGCCCCTGTAGTTCGTCTTGAGTCCATCAGGGCCATCCTAGCATTAGCAGTAGTTAATAACTGGGAAATAGGCCAGATGGATGTCAAGGGAGCTTACCTGAATGGAGACCTCCAGGAGGAGATCTATATGCGACAGCCGGAAGGCTTCGATGATGGAAGTGGACGCATTTGTCGACTCCGTAAGACGCTCTATGGACTAAAGCAGTCCGGGTGCAAATGGAACCGCAAGCTGCATCGCGAGCTGATGGAGCTCGGGTACAAGCGGCTGGAGGCGGATCCATGTGTATACCTGTGGGAGCGAAAGGAAGGAGAAGTTCAGATTATCACGGTATGGGTGGATGACCTACTGTTATTCACCAACTCTCCGAAGCTCATGGAGGAGCTCAAGCGTGACCTGCAGGACCTCTTCGAAGTCACGGACCTTGGTGAGCCGCAGAAAATTGTTGGGATTGAAATTGAGCGAGATAGGGAAGCGGGAACACTTCAAATCTCGCAACAGCACTACATCGAGAGCATTCTCAAGCGATACCAGTTTGAGAATGCCAACGCTGTAGGGATGCCGCTCGATCCGAACGTGGTGCTCACGGTAGAGGACAAGAACGAGGAGGCAGACAACCGTTTGGTGGGAGGTTACGCGTCGATGGTGGGATCGCTGATGTACGCAGCAGTGGGAACAAGGCCAGATATTTCCTATGCTGTACAGACGCTGAGCAAATACACAGCATGCCCACGACCTGTCCATTGGACAGCGGCAAAATGCGTTCTACGGTACCTCGCAGGAACACGTGACTTGCACATCACGTACACGCAACACGATTCGGACACGCTGAATGGAAATATAATAGGAGGATATACGGACACGGATTATGCATCAGATCATGACCGAAAATCAGTCTCGGGTCATGTCTTTTACTTGGGAGGTGGAGCCGTAGCATGGAGTTCGAAGAAACAAACAACAATGGCAACATCCTCGACAGAAGCCGAGTATACAGCACTCGCGCACGCGACACGTCAAGCAATATGGCTGCGAAACTTACTGGCAGAACTTGGGTTTGCACAAGAAGAACCCACAGAAATTTATTGTGATAACCAGGCAGCGATCGCGATAGCACGCAACCCGCAGTATCACACGCGGTCAAAGCACTTTGACGTGCAGAATCATTTCGTGCGCGAAAAGGTGGAAAATGGTATTATTCAATTGTGCCACTGTCCTACAGATGAGATGGTAGCAGATGTATTTACTAAGGCCCTACCCAAGCCTAAGCACCAAAAGTTCACATTGGAACTTGGGATGCTTCCGGCTTGAGGGGGAGTGTTGGAGGCTTTGGGATGACCTTATTAGGCAATCCGGAGCATCCAGGTAGTCGGGCGATATTCCCCGATATCTTATTCAGCATCGAAGGATACAGTAGCTACGAGAACTATGTGGTATGTTCTGGACTAGTCTACTGGTGTAGTATATAAGGAGGGACCTCTTGCAGGTCCCAGTAATTATATCTCTTCCCCAATCACTCACTCGGAAGAATTCATATCAGCTGCGCTAATACCATCCATCTCGGACATCAGCAAAACCCAACTTTTTCTTACAGAGCTATTTTGACTTTTCGGTCTTACAACCCTTATTTAAGGCAATAAGTCTTCAAATAAGTGTCCATAAGTCTGATTTCAGACACTCATATAATATGCATTAGGCCCCTTTTTGACCTTATACCCTTAAATAAGGATCATAAGTCCATTTAAGTCATTTAAGTACCCTTTTAAGTAAAAGTTGGGTTTTGCTGATGGAGGACATGTCATCTTCGACTCTCGGAACTGTGCGTTGTATGACAAGAATTCCTGTAGGATCTCATCAGGGCTGAAAACGGGGAAGGTTTGGTCATCTCCAAATCCCTCATTGTGTACAAGGACTCCAGTAAGCTGGACCTTCCACCACTTTGTGTCTGCTTCGGCACGCCAGCGCCCAGTAGTCAGGAGATGGACAAAGTCCCCGGTGTGAGGTGCGATCTCGCTAGCCATGATACCTTCACCGGCATAAATGATGATATTTCCTTGTGTCGTGTAGTCCATACCGTTCACTGCGAAAGCTTTAGGTCGGAGCAGGGGTGTGAGTATGGTGTTGATCTGATCGCGTGTGCGAACCGATATTTTTCGTTCTCCGGGTGGGAAGGGGTGCTCGAGTGTGATAACAAGTCTCGATTCATGGTTCCTTTTGAGTGGGCTGACCGGGGGAATGAACTTGGGCCTGTACGTCGGACCTGGAGCTGCAGCATCAGAGGTACTGCATCCACTCATTTTCGTCTTTGCGTGTGCTTGTGGTAGGGACTGGAATCGCCGTTGTCCCTCGCGTCCCGGGGCATGTATTGAGTCTTGGAGGGTGGCTCCTGTGTAAGAGAGATCAGCCCACTCTGTGTGACTCGAAATTGTTGCACTCGTCTGGTTCTCGATGAGTCGTTCGATCATGTCCTCCAGGCGAGCTAGTCTACGCTCTGTAGCTTCTTCGCTGGTGCTCCGGATGGGCTGGTAATACAGTCCTGGGTCAATGAAAAGAGTTACCCCGAGCGGCTTATTTATGGAGACTTGCCGAGATAGGCAAGTGGCATACTATAGCGAGAAGCTGAAGCACCGTGTCGATCTGCTTTGACTCGTTCTGTCTTACATTTGCAATTTGGAATATACATATTCTCATGACGAAACTAGCAGTTGTTCTAATGTATGATGGTCATTGTTGTTGTTGTCTCCAGAGAAGGTGGGTGATTCAACACTTGATGCGGAATTGCGGATTGACCGTTATGGTTCAACACTCATTCACCCTCCATTGACAAATGATGAGGCGTGTCATCACGACACTTGTGTCACTGATCGATGCCACGAGCCCCATCTTCCACATCGGGAAAAAGAGACTCGGAAGCGACTGTATGGGGTGAGTTTTTCGCTATATGTCTGCTCGACCACACTTTCGTCCGTACCATCATTTAGTCTTGGCATCTATCCCTCTCAATCGGTTTACTTGTAGACATTGAAGACGCATGGCTGAGGTCAGCGAACAGTGGTCTGCTATGATTTCTCGCAGATGCTCATCTCCAGCTCAGACTGTAGCAGGAACCTCCCATCCGCTGCACCTCGAATCTGCCCTCGCCGGGTCACTTGTGGATGGCGAGTTCGCTGACGTCAGGTTCTATCTCTTCACGCAGCATGCGCGGTCAGGGAAAGTGGGAGCCCCGCGTGCCTTGTATGCAAACAGCACGATTCTGAAAGCTGCATCTCCGTATTTTCATGGTCGTGAGTCCTTTGGTGTCGGCAGACTTGTTACACCCATTTTTGACTCTGTTTTCCGCTTCTCTACAGTGTTAGCTGGAGGATTTTCCGAGGGAAATGCGAACAGAAGGGATAATGGCTTCCCCGATAACCAGTCAATCATCGACACATACGACTATAATTCAGACACAGTGATCTCGATGATGAGGAAGACGCGGATGAAAGAACGAGCGCAAAATCTCCCGTGCCCTCATGCGAGACGCCCATGGGAGAATCTTCACCAGCTGTCGTAAGTCGGCCTTGCAAAGTTACCCTTCAGGCTCTTAATTCATAGGTTGCAGAGTTCCATCAATTCTGAAAAAGATGCTGCGCTGATCGTGTCGACCACCGGCCAGTCCGTCCGTACCATCTTAGTCAAGGATGGCGCACACACCACGTACGTGCACATTGCTTCATACATATTCAGAATTCACGACTATTCCCTGCAGTTGGCAATGGCTTGTGTTCTACATCTACACTGGGCAGATCGGCTTCGCGCCCTTGCGCTCACAGGGCACACGCCGGCGCATGGTCGAGCGGGAGCGCTACCGCTCTGAGTATCCACAGCGGCCGGTATTGTGTTCGCCCAAGTCCATGTACCGTCTCGCCGATAAGGTGAGTTCTCTGTTGTCGCCTCATGAGAACGAACATGGGATAAATCGACACTCTTAGCTTGGTATGGATGCGCTCAAGATCCTGGCTGCCAATGATCTCCGGATGAAACTGTCCTCGGAGAACATCCTAGATGAGCTATTTTCACAATTCACTTCCTGGTGTGTCGCTCTCATGCCTTTTATGGTTGGTGCACCCGTATCGAACTTACAATGTGTGCGAACAGGTATCCGGAACTGTTGGAGACACAAGTCGAGTCCTTCTGTGACAACTGCATTGGCAGCGGCATCCTCCCCGCGCTCGAGCAGAAGATATCGGCCATCGTTGCTGGCCGGTCGCCCCACGCGGATGCTGCGCTCACTCGCCTGTTCCGTGCATGGGTCGGCAGGGCGCCAACACCCAAACGTATGCCCGCATTGTCTGCCGTACTACAGAGCATTCCAGGGGGGACGAGCCGCAAGCGGAACACAGAGGTAAAAAAACATCTGCATCTTCTGGTAAGCCGGTGTGCAAACCGCATGTCCATTTTCCTCCCTCCTCCGTTCCCAGTTGGGGGCTACATAGGTAGTGGAGATGGATATCTCGCTGTGGCATAATATAAACGAATCTCGCTTCTTAAGGCTAGTGCTTTCCTTCAGGAAATCCAGGTTTGTGGGACTACCAGTAAACCCACCTCTTGTCATTCATATCTGTCTCACTGCGGAAATCGGACTTGGTGTGTGTACGTGCACGGCCTACCGATCAGGGATGTGAATTCACGAGCTGTGCTCTCGGTATGCATGCACCGAGCGCACTCGGTTTCACGGGCTGTGGAAATCCAAGCTTTGCATATTGCAACGAGGAGACACACTGAGAATGGTTCGATGGTTTCATGTCCGCATCGACGTGGACCTGCATTACGTAGTTTTGGTAATTCCCGATTGTGAGAGGAGCCTTCCATGCATTCAACCCACGCAGTTACTTGATGGCATCTGGAATGCACGCCGGTAGTAGGACACATCTAGGGACATCAAATGATGCGAATAAGGATTTGTGAAGCACACGGCAGATCAGGACTCAGCAAGGAGGGAAGAAAGAGGCAGAGGAGACATGCCATTGCATAAGGGATTCTGAAGGATTGAATGTACACATTGGAGATACTAAGTAAAACGGCCATCACGGCGACATCGCAGAGGTTGTATATCCCTGTTCTGAAGCTGAGAGGAGCAAGAGGAAAGAAATATCGACATTGGCGATGTCTTCATCGCCCGCGAAGTGTAGCTGTAATTGAAAATAGGTGGATTAATTGTGAATCTATGCGAATCCGATGCACCAGCACCGACACAGCATTCCGCGGCTCACGAGGCTCCAGTACTCTGCTGCCCTTTATACACAAAAATTGTTAGAGGGCCCACATTGGCGCGCACAGTAAATTCGCTTACATTCAACCCGAGGTATAATATGTCTGATAATACTCGAGTTCGCCGCCGTACGAAGTGTTATAACGCACATTCAGCTGGAGCTGCACTGGCGCACCCATGCACCCAGCAGTGGCCATGTAGATCGGGAAAGTGTAGTTGCAGCCAGGGCAGATGTACGCCATGATAGACTTGTACTCTCCGAGGTAGTTGATGGAAGACATGTTATAGCACGTATTGAGACTGCCCATTGAGACGGAGTCGCAGAGCCCGGTGCAGTTCAGGCCACTGCAGACGATGATCGCGTCGTAGTCGGGGTAAGTGATATCTGTGTGCGGCAGGCTCCTGGCTGCGCCTAGCCCGAGCACGGTGACAGTCCGAAATGCTAAAGAACTGTAGAGAAGGGCAGCAAGAGCTTTGAACTGCATTGCGGATTCGGGTGGGAAGGGAGGTGCGAGAACGCGTGGCTGTCTGCAGAGTTAATACCATGAGTATATACGTATACGTTCGGAGTACAGCCAGACAGCTCTTAGGCACGGCCTCGAGAAAGAGACTCCCGGGGGGAGGAGGAAGTGGAGACCATTCGCGCACCTTGAGTGCATGTCGCCCCCGCTTCGACGGGCCCTGGTTGGTCCGTTCATGAGCCATATGACGAGAGCGAAAAGCGACGACGCAAGGGAAGGGTGTCGGCAGCGATTCGGTGTCGTCGGAGCAAAAGCGTATACGGGTGAGCCACGGCACTGCAGGGAACGACTGCGCGCACACCCGCGCCCGGGAGCACCGGACACTGTTCAGGCGCAGCCGGGGGAGGACGGGGGCTGCTCGCACGGGGCATTTTGCAGCAGCAAGGGAGGGGGGGACGCGGCTGGAGCGCCTGCGTGCCGATTCGGAAGGTGGTAGGAATATATAGGTGGGAGTCGTCAATCCGTTAGAAAAACGGGACAAAAAGGACGGATCTGTGCACGTGCGTGCGACCGCGCGGTGAGGTACAGGGCGGCGCACCGAGCGCGCGCGAAACGAGCGATGCCGGAGCCTGACTGGGACAGATTTAGATGTGGGGGGGGGGGGGGGGGGTGGGGGTGGGGGGCGTTCCCCGAAGACCTACGGCGGAAGACTATGCAGTTCCGTTTTGGGCACGAGCGCGTTCGCCCCACCGAAAAAAAGGGCGAGAAACGAGCGTCGCGGTTTCTGCAGAACGCCCGCCATCCGAGAGCGCGCGCGGACGGGACGCTGCCGTACATTACAAGGACTCGTCGCAGCCTATCGTTAGCGGTCCCCGAGCGCCCGGAGAGGCCGCGAGCGCCGCTCTGGCACTGGTGCAGTTCATGCAAGCGCGGGGGGGGGGGGGGGGGCGCGACTCGCTCCTCTCCGCGCAAGGACGAGATGCGAGAGCGCGGTCGCAGCAGCGATTCGAGCTGGGGCTGTCGCGGAGAAAAGCCGGAGAGGCCACGTCGGGACTGAAGCTTTTGAAGATGTCGCAACGCGTGGCCGAGTGAAGACCGCTGGCGCGCACGCACACTGCGGGAGAAGCACCGGCCGCGGCAAGGGAGGGGGGGGGACGCGCCACGGCTTCGTGAGCTGGCGCGCCTGGGTGACGATTGGGGAGGACGGGATAGGTGGGTGGTAGAGATATCATAAATCCGTTCCGACCGTCGCGCGCAAAGGATAGGAGGATCGCACAGCTACCTAGACGCGCACAGGCGCCGCCGTGACGATAGGAGGGTCGCAGAGTGCGAGCATATGGACCTCGGGCGCGTGCACATACGCATGTCCGTCCACGGGGCGCCGTGAAGGCGCGAAGGTACGGGACTCACGTCGGCCGAATGCGCCGAACACGCAGGGGATCCTATCCGCGTTGGGGCGTTGGGGCATTTCGCGAACGCGAGATGCGGAGAGGGAACGGCGACTGGGGAGATGAAACCCGGAAAGGAATGGTGGAGTGGGCCCTGGGGCCCAAGAGTCAGTGGATGCTGAGTGGAGGACGGCGTACACGATGGAGAGCGGATGTACGTACGGAATGGATTAATTATGAGGGAGGCAGGGAGGGAGCACAAGGACGGCACAGGGGAGCCATCGCAGCTATTGCAGGCCCGGGAGGGGGGACACCAGCGATCGGTGGACAGAGGGCAGACGTTTAGAGCTGGAGAGTGGTGAGTGGTCGAGGGAGTGGAGGCTAGATCCGATTAGATATGGAGATGAGGGGCGATGTGATTGGAGGATCGGAGTGGTGGCGATGGGATCTGGCCGAGTCCGCGGCACTCCTTTGTTCCCGCCATAAGCAGCTGCAGCTTCTTGCCCATCGCCAGCCCCCGCATTCCCCAGTCTGACCTGCAGCGATGCACGCCTCCGAGAGTCTCGCGAGCAAGGTCTGCGCGGTCAGTGACAGCGGCGCTGACGTCCCATCGATTGCGCTGACTCCCTCTCTCTCCTGCAGCCCGCCCACCCACGCATCTTCAACCTCTCATCCCGCGTCGCCCACAGCATGGCCCACGCCGGCGTGTACGCGCTGCCCGTCGAGCTGCTCGCGAGGATCTTCGAGCTGGGGAGAGAGGATGCGCCCAGCCCCGACCTGCAGCCCCCCGGCGAGCCCACCTTCGAGGTGCTCGTCTCGCACGTCTGCCAGCACTGGCGCGACGTCGCCCTCCGCACGCCGACCCTCTGGACCCTCGTCCACTTCCGCACCACGCCCCACCTCGCCCGCGCCCGCGCGTACCTCTCGCGCAGCGGCAGCCAGCCGCTGCAGATCTTCGTCGACACCTGCGCCAAGGACGAGTACGTCCCCGGCTGGCTGCTCTTCCGCGACGAGTTCCACCCCGTCTTCGACACCGTCGTCCCGCACATCGCCCGCTGGCGCTCGCTCTACCTCAAGGTGCGCGACCTCGCCTGCAAGCGCTCCGCCCGCGACGTCCTCTCCACCTGCGGCGCCGCCCCGCGCCTCGCCTCCCTCACCCTCTGGCACATCGAGGACTGGGGCACCTCCGAGCGCCTCTACACCGCCATCGGCCCGCCCCCCGTCGTCGTCTTCGCCGGCCGCCTCCCCGCCCTGCGCCACGTGCACCTCATCGGCGTCAACCTCCCCTGGTCCCACTCCCCCTTCCTCCGCGGCCTCGCCTCCCTCGAGCTCGCCCTCCACTCCGACGACGTCCGCATCCCCTTCGACCGCTGGCACGCCATGCTCGCCGCCTCCCCCGCCCTCGAGCGCCTCAGCCTCACCTACTCCGGCCCGCGCGCCGCCGCCCCGCCCTGGGGCCCCCCCGCCCGCGTGCGCCTCCCGCGCCTCCGCGAGCTCCGCCTCACCGACCTCGACCCGCCGTACCTGTGCGCCCTCGTGCGCACCCTCGACGCACCCGCCCTGCGCACCCTCCACCTCGAGCTCTCCGACCAGGACTTTACGCCGTTCGTCCGCATGCTCGCACGCCCGCCCCCGCCCTCCGACGGGCCCCTCGACCCGTCCCTTCCCTACGACGACCAGGGGGAGGAGCAAGACGAGGAGCACGAGGAGCACGACGAGGAGGGGCACGCCGACGATGAGGAGGGGGAGGGGCGCGGTGGGGAGGAGAAGGGAGAGGAGGGGCACGGGGGGCGCGGCCCGCTCTTCCCGGCGCTGGAGACCCTCTCGATCGCCGCGCTCGAGTGTACGCTCCCGAGCCTGCGCGCGCTCCTCGCCGGCGCGCCGCGCGTGCGCCACCTCGACGCCGCCTTTGCGCGCATGCCCCCCGGGGCGCTCGAGCTCCTCGCGCGCGACGACGACGACGACGGAGGAGGAGTCGAAGGAGCAGGAGTTCAAGTCGAAGGAGCAGGAGAAGGAGCAGGAGAAGAAGGGAGAGGAAGAGCAGGAGCAGGAAGAAGAAGAGGGCCGCTGCTCCTCCCGGCGCTGACGACCGCCCGGCTCGCGGGCGTGGACGGCGCGGCGCTGCGGCGGCTGATGCGCGCGCGGGGGCGCGCCGTGCGCACGTGGTACGTGCACGAGCGGTGGTGGGACGAGGAGTGCGAGCGGCTCATGGTCGAGTGCGAGCGCGCGGGCGCGGCGCGCGTCGAGTGGTTCGAGGGCGAGGAGGGCGAGGAGGGTGGGCGGGAGGAGGGCGGGGAGGAAGAGGGGCAGGAGGGGGTGTGATGTGTGTACTTATCGTGTATGTATGAATACGTCGTGTTGTTTGTTTCGCGGTTGGAGGTGCTTGCTCTTCCTGAGGCCTGAGGCCTGAGGTGACTGAACGGGCACGGACGAACACTAGTGGACCTTCCTTTTCTGGCGAGGTCACTCGCGAGCACTTATGTTCAGTAACCAAGCTGCGGGGCCGTTTTGGGAGAATAAAAATGTTTTGATGCCGAACGGGCCATAATTATCAATGGTTAAACTGGTCCGGGGAGAGGTATATACTGCGATTTATTTCTGCCTTACCTACCGGGCAGGACGCGGCAGTTGCGGACTGTAGATCGTCAATACAGGTGTGCGGTATGATCACCACACAGCACCGGCAGCAGACGCGCGGAGTTGACAGGTGAGAGGCACGTGCCGCATTTCAAGTTGATCCTTCAAAACGCCAGTACTCGTCCTCTCATTCTCTCAAGTACTCGCACTATCGTTTCCAACATGGGCGTCAGAAAACGGAAAGCTGCAGACGACGACCATTCCGACTGGTCACCCACAGTTCCCGTCCCAGGCTCTTCGTCTAATCCCCACGTCGTCGAAGCACCCGCAAAGCCACCCACCGCGAAGCGGCAAAAGAAGAACGCGGAGAAACGAGGCGCGATCTTCAAGCGGAAGTGCCCCAAGGCCATTTTGGAACGCGTAGCGAGGGTCATGTCCCAGCGGTGCGTGTGTGGCCACGGCAGAGTCGCGACGCCGCTCACCCTTGCGACGCGCAGGTTCTTCATGATCGACCGGAGGAGAGCCGGCGAGGCGTTGCGGGAGGAGTTCAGCGTGCTGGGCTCGACGGGAAACGTGAGCCCCCCACCCACCCGTGCAGCTTGCGCGTCGCGGCGTTGCTGACGACGCGTGTGTTGCAGGTGTATACCGTCGTTATCGGCAAGAAGCCTTCGTGCAGCTGTAAGCCCCGTCCTCTCGGACGCGTATTTTTGCCAACTCGTCTCATTCTCGTCCAGGCCCCGACGCGCAGAAGGGCAACCACTGCAAACACATCGTGCGTGTCCCCCCCCCCCCCCCCCCACCGATCCCGCGCGCCCGTCCTCCTCTCACTGACACACACACACACACACACCCGCCGTAGCTCTTCATTTTTCTCAAAGGTAAACCCGCATCCCCTCGCCGATAGTCTGCACTAACCCTCCCCAGTTCTCCAAGTAACCCAGGCATCGGGCCACTGGTACCAAAAGTGCGTCTCCGTTCACGCCACATGCCCCACGCCACTCACCGGGACCCCCAGAGCCCTCCTGACCTCGGAGCTCGAAGACATCTTCGCGCACGCCCCCCCAGCGCCCACCGCCACCGCGAACGCGCGCATCCGCGAAGCCTACGCGCGCGCCACGGGCAAAGCGCTGCCCACACCCCCGGCGCCCGCCGCCGCCGCAGCAGCAGCAGCAGAGAAGAAGCGCATCCCGGGCCCGGAGGACGACTGCCCGGTGTGCTACGAGAACATGCACGGCGCGGCGCAGGGGACGCTCGCGTTCTGCGAGACGTGCGGGAACGGGCTGCACCGCGAGTGTTTCCAGCAGTGTGCGTAAACCCCCCTCCCCCCCCCCCCCCCCCCCTTCTTTTCTCTCGCAGCGTGTGCGTGCGCGAGACTGATGGCTGTTGTGAATTTTTTGGGTAGGGGCCCGCGCGGCGCGCGGGGGCGTCACCTGTGTGTTCTGCCGCGCCAGGTGGGTCGAGCCCGCTGCCGCCGCCGCGTCCGGGTCGGCCTCGGGCGGGGTGGGCCGCTCGGAGGGATACCTCAACCTCGGGAGTGTGGCGGGCGTCAGCCCGGTGCGGGATACCAGCTCTTGTGCGTGTTTTTTGCGCGGATGGGTGCGATGGGGGTTGGACTGACCCGGGCTGCTTGCAGATTATCATGGCCCGCGCAGGGGGAAGCGGTACTATGGGTACTAGGACACCGAGGTGCGGTGTGGAAGATGGGTGGGGGCGGGGGCAGGATGGACGGTGATCTGCGTTGAGCTGTGGACGAACGCTGGGTGATGTTCGTGCTTTGGTTGAATCGTGGGTTATATTACCCGGTAATGGGTGAATCCGTCCTATTTAGTGCAAACGGCTCTGGCTGCAGTGTTATTATATGTTGGCTCGCTCGCATGGGATGCAGCAGGTGATGCTGAAATGGGACACGTAGGCTACCCACGAGCTGTTCGCCTATTGGCTTGTCAGTTGCTGCCACATTTTATTCTGCGTATATTCCCTTCTTTGTTCCAGGGCAAGAGGGAAATCATAAATCTGCTAACTATGAACGTATGACCTGTCGCACAGCATACGCCACGTTCTGTCTTACGTTGTCCCTGGCCATGGGTTCAAAGTCATCTGATGTCGATATCGCACCGATTCTGCGACTACGTGTATGCAGATCCCTCCCACTGGATACCCTGCATCCGGTCGTCGGACGTGGACGCCTACTCATTGGCAGTGCTGTCGGTCGCTTATCCGAACTATTGACACAGCCCACGCGTCTGAAGTTCCTGCACCTTGCAAGGGTGGAAATACTTGTGACGCGTTGCTTTGAACTCGCGGAGTGCGTCGTCTGTCTCTGGGAGCGTTGTCAATTATCCGTCTGCAGGGCGTGGGCCGCAAAGCGAGTGCAATGCGGCAAATTCGAGAGCCTCTGAACACGTAACCACTCCAATATTATCCAGATTGGGACATCGCATCGTTTTGCAGATTTCATATCCGAGTTCTCGTGGCTGACGAACCGGAGTATCCATGCGTTCATATCGAGTCTTGATTAATGCGGCATCGCCTTGCATGCACACACCGACGTCGCGCGGGGACGTGGATATATCTACGAGCTCGCTTATGCCTTCTCGAGTTCACTGTGCAGCAGCGGGGCTTGATTCTGCATGAAATTCCAGCATCGACAATTTGGTCTAGCTTGTATCACCTTGCGTTTTAATTTCACCTGAGAGAGACGTCTTCCGTTTCCCATTCACCGTCTGTTTCTTGGATATGACGTGTCAGCTGTGGTTCCCGCCTTGATTCGGAATTCATCTCCGGTAGTTCTATCTTGTCAGCTGGTCTGGTATCGCGTCACTGCGCGAGGGGACACCGAGTCACCGCAGTTACACAAAAACTCACCAAATCGACGAAGGGAACATCGAAGTGCAGATGCTCAGTTTAGGGCGCTCTTAAGAATCGCTTGGGATCAAGCAAAAAGGTGCATAGGTGTTTCTGAGATGGTCGGACATGAGCTCAATATTTACCCATTTACAGGTGCATTGGGTAGTGGACGAATGGGCTTAAGATCCCCCCGTGTCCTTGCATTGGACTACTATTCTTGAATGGTGCTTACGTGCAGCTTACTCGCATTTCAAAGCGGTCGGTTTGCGCTGAAGTTGCTGGCCGTCAACCGGGCTCTTCAAGATGCCCGTTGCACTCCTGTGCGGTAATATGTATAGCTTTGACCACTATCGTTATCCCTCTCCAGAACGCGATGCTGGCACATGTCGAGAACACTGACCTCGAGGCAGCACCGCAAATCGCCGACCGCAGTCCAGACGTCCTTCGACAGCACGTACTCCACGCCCTTTCCTTACGCCTCGACGTCCTCCACCGACGAATGACCATCCCTGTCGAAATGCTGCTCGATACGTCCGATTTTGAAGTCATTTCGTCGTGTTCATCCCCGCTTGAAGCATCGCCAACACAGACGATATCGATCCCATCTGCATTTGCATGGATCGACGGAGACGAGTTCTCAAAGGATTTCAGGAGGCTCAATCCGAAGGATCCGTACTCTCAACTTTGGAACAAGTTTTGGGGGAATACTTCTCAGTTCGAGGTCACGGAGGTTCAGGAAGGGGCCGCGGCGGTACCTGCTTCGAACAGAGCTGGGGACTCGCCATCCGCTGCAGAACAGGACGATCGCATCCCGGGCTGTCGTGTCCTCGACATTGGTGTCCCTAACCTCATTCTGAGGCTCTTCGTTCGCGCAGACTACATCCGGCTCTTCAACTGTCTCGAGAAACGCCGTCTTGAGCTCACAGGTGCGAATGGGCCGCCGGGACTTCCGGCAGTCGGGATCCTCATGGGTCACCCGGGCGTCGGTGAGTTCGTCATGTTCGGTTGCGGCACCACCTTGTTCTGAGAGGCGTTTGACATATTCATGAAAGAGCATTTGGACGCTTTATGCCCTGATAAGGCGCCTTGCCGGTCGGAAGGCAACGATCCTTCATCGAGGCAAGGAGAATATCCTTTTCGTGCAAGAAGGTGTTTACGAGTTCTGTGACACCAAATTTTACCGGTACTTCGACGCCAACGTGTGGGCGCTCGTAGATTCGGACATAGCTCCGGATGGGCTTCCGCGCTCCCTCGTGAGGCGCGAAGCGGCACTTTTCGTGGTCTTCGCGACGTTCCCATCCGAGCAACGTTGGGAGTGTGTACTCGAGAGTGCGTCTCAAATTCTGGTTACTATGAACCCGTGGACCAGATGGGAGATCCATCAAGCGTACGTTCTTTGGTATATCTCGCCGTTCTGATAATCTGATATTGACTGGCCTTGTGCAGTGCACTGGCGCAGGGATCCGTCGATCTTAAGAGCGTCGACGAAGCGTTTGATCTTCTCGGTCCCCTTCCAAGGCTATGCGTCGATCTTCCCTTACGCCCGAAGGACTTCGAGCGCTACAAGGCGCATCTCGAGCGCACACTTTCAGGCAGGTCGTCTTGGAATCCCCCATCCTGCTTGATCGAATCCGGTGCGCTGCACGTGGACAAGTCGCTGCCGCTCAATCTGGTAGTGGTCAGCCGTGCTGAACGCAACGATGTGGAGAGCGAGATGAGCCTACCGCTTATTACGCGATATGTCGCCCGTAGGCTTGCTGCCATTTCTGCTTTCAACGGTCATCTTTCTCAGAAAGATGATGTCCAGGCTTACAAGTTCTTTACGACCCTCCCCGATGCGCATTCTCTTGATGCTCTCCTCTGGGATGTTCACGCTAGAAAGGCCCTCAAATTCTCATCTCCGAGCATCTACTTGTCTGAGATGCGCCGACGGGAGAAGAATTCCAGGAGCTTCCGTCTGGACAGCACTACATCCTCATTCAGCCACTGGTTCTCGCTATCGTACAAAGAGCGTTTCTATGTTGATGAGGACCTCAAAGATCTGGAACGCGACACACAATACCTCTCGCTCGATAACGGGCAACAACTATTCCATTCTTTCTGTATTAGGAACGGCTTTCTGTACATTTTCCGACTCACCATGGCGGCGGAGGAACACGTCGACCTTGGACTCCTCCACTTTTTTGCCGGACGTGGGGGAGTGCCTGAGGTTGACAAGTGGCGGTTTGTGTTCATGGTTCCGTACGGTCATCAGATGTCTTGTATCGTACCGCAAGACGAGAACCTGGCGCAGATCGTGTTTTACACGCAACAATACTCTCTCCCTTAGGTTTGATTCGCTGTAATGCTCACATGCTTTCGGTGTAGATAGATCGTGTTGTCGATGTTCTTGTTCGTAGCTACTCTCCACTCGCACTGTATACGTAACATAGTAGGGTGTGTCTGAGATGCACTAGTCAAATATATATAGCATGAACGCAGTCAAGACCATTACTTCCGCGAGAGACGCATCCTCGGGAACACGCGAGTTGACTATCATAGTCAGTGTCACAGCTAGATGCCAGATCGACGATCGTTGCGTGTTGCGCGCGAACAAGTACCGCGCAGACGTCGACACTAGCTAAATCCTGCTCAGTACTTCACCGTGAAGATGGCTGCGCCTGGTGAAGCTGTTGAGTTTCGAACGTGCTTTCCTGGAGTACGTCGTTCGAAGTCTGGATCGCTTGATCCAAGCGAAAAAGTGGCTGGGTGTTTCTGTGCTACATAACTATACGCTGAGCTCAATATTTGGTCATTCACAGCCAGGTGCAGTGGGCAGTTGATGAATGAGCTTCAGATCGCCGTTGTCTTGTCACAATTGCCATGGACTACAATACATCGGGCTAGTGTACGCGTTCCTGAGTCTTCCCCGCGTTTTAAGTTGATGCCGCACATGTCCACATGTTCTTTTCTCACTTGCAGTTCAAAGAGGTCGGTGCTGTCAAGTTGCTTGCCGTTGTTCGTTGCAGTGTCGTCCGAAATCATATTCATGGTTGCCCGTATTTTCATTAACCTTACTCTCATGTGAAGAACACTGACCTCGAGGCAGTGCCGCCAATCGCCGACCGTGATCAGTCGTTCTTCGAAAGCGCTCGAATCATAACCCTGCCTTACGCCTCGAGGTTCTCCAGCGACGAACAAACATTCTTCACTCTGTCGAAATGCTCCCCGATACGTCCGATTTTGAAATCATTTTGTCGGACTCGTCCTCATTGAACACGTCGCCAGCACAGACTCGATTGATATCAATCCCGTCTGCGTTTGCATGGATCGATGCAGAGGAGTTCTCAAAGGATTTCAGGAAGCTCAGTCCAAAGGATCCGTATTCTCAGCTTTGGGATAGGTTTTGGGGGGACGCCTCTCAGTTTGAGGTTACTGAGGTTCAGGAAGGTCCCATGGCGGACGCAGCTCCTTTGAATGGAGCTGAGGACTTGGCATCCACTGCAGAAGAAGAAGATCGCCTTTCTGGCTGTCGTATCCTCGACATTGGTGTTAGGAGCTTCATCCAGAAGCTCTTCATTCGCGCAGATTACATCCGGATTTACGATCGCCTTGAGGACCGCCGCATAGAGCTCACTAGTGCGAATGGTCCTCCGGGGCGTCCGGCGGTGGGCATCGTCACAGGTCACCCTGGTGTTGGTGAGTAGCATCAGTTGGCATAAGACCTTGTTTTCGTCTGGTTCATCGTATCTTCAGGTAAGAGCATCTGGGTGCTGTATGCCTTAACAAGACGCCTTGCCGAACGGAAGCCGACCATTCTGCACCGAGGGATGGAGCACTTCCTCTTCGTGGAGGAAGGCGTGTATGAGTTCACTCAAACGAAATATTACCGGTACTTTCGCGAGGACGTCTGGGCTTTGGTCGATTCGGATATGGTTCCAGAAGGCCTACCACACTCCATCGTGAGGCGGGATGCCGCAGTCTTCGTTGTCTTTGAGACACACCCATCCTCGGAACGCTGGGAGTGCGTACACGGCATCGCATCTCAAATCATCGTTATGATGAACCCCTGGACGAGCTGGGAGATACATCAGGCGTGAGTAGTCCTGTTGTGGGATTATGTTTATTATCAGCTTACAGGCTGGCATGTGCTTAGAGCACTGGCGCAAGGCTCCATTGACCTCAGGAGCGTTGACAAAGCATTTCATCTCTTGGGTCCCCTTCCGAGCCTATGTATCGACCTTCCCTTAAAGCCTCGTGAAATGATGCTTTATGAAGCTCATCTAGAGCGTACAATTTCGTGCAGGTCGTCTTGGAACCCTCCGTCCTGCTTCCTCGAATCTGGTGCTTTGCAGGTGGACAAGTCGCTGCCGCTCAACCTGGTAGTGATCAGCCGTGCTGAACGCAACGATGTGGAGAGTGAGATGAGCTTACCACTTATCACGCCATATGTCGCCCGGCGACTTACCGCCGCTTATGTTTTCCAAGATTCTAGTTTTCGGAAAAATGATATCCACGCTTACAAGTTCTTTACGACCCTCCCCGACTCTCCTGATCCTGATGCTCTTCTCTGCGATGTTTGCGCTAGAAGGTTACTCAAAATATCAACACCGAAGATCTCCATGTTCGAGATGTCTCGTGTGCAAGACAACGATTCATTACCACCTGCGATGCGCAACCTATTGCTCCAAAAAGCGATTTTCCTTTTGGAGGCCAGTCCATGGTATCGCTCTTTGATCGATTGGTCTGCCGTTCCGTACAAAGAGTATTTCTACATCAATGAAGACCTCAAGGATCTGGAACGCGACATCCAGTTCCTTCCCCTCGATAACCGACAGCAATTATTCCATTCCTTCTGCATTAGAAACGGCTTTCTCTACATCTTCCGACTCACCACGGCGGCGGAGGAACACGTTGACCTTGGACTCCTCCGCTTTTTTGCTGGACGTGGGGGAGTGCCTGAGGTTGACAAGTGGCGGTTTGTCTTCCTGATACGGGGGGACGACAAAATGTCTTGCATTGTAACCCAGGATGAGAAGCTTGCACAGATCACGTTTTATACCCACCAATACACTATCCCTGAGAAATGATCCTAGAGACAATGCCTCGACTTCGCTACACAGAGATAGTAATATGTTCTTGTTCAGAGGATACTTTACGCTCCATCTGTAGCAGATAGTCAGCACACCAAGACCGTTGCTTTCGACAAAATATACTGAGTCTAGCAAACCTAGACTGACATTTCGCTTCAAACCTTCAAGCTTCAAGCTTCAAGCTTCAGCTTCAAGTCCGACTATAAACTCGTCCTGGGAAGCGTGCTCACCAACCACAACCAGTGTCATAAATGTCTGCTCGTTCGGATGTGACCAGAATATGTGACATGGAACACCGCAACTCGTTGTCAAAGGTAAGCAGATACGTCCTGCCACAGAATACGATTCGCGACGTCGTCGATTGCGTGCGCTGGATACAAGTGGCCATTCGGTTGCACTTGCGAGAACCTATCACGCCTCCAGCTTTCCAAAACATGCCGGGGCGCCCACACAGTCGGGACGCCGCATGCCGTCTCCTCTGTCGTCCTCATCCTCAGGTACTCAATGACGCCGCGCAAGCAACCCAATCCTGTGCGTACATGGACGCCGACGCGCGGCGCCCCTCCTGCCTCCGCTCGCGGCGCGGATCTCGCGCAAGTCGTCGTGTGCGCGATGCAGCTGCGCTATCTCCAAATCCTCGAGACGTATCTGCCACTCGTGGATGCCTTCGCCATGTGCGAGACCCTCAGGCTAGTCTGGCTCATCAGGTGTTAGCCGCGCGTGTCTGTCATGCTGGAGGAGCTACCCGCTCGAGGTCCTCCTGACATTCGACGCTCAGCCCGTCGCGGGGGCCGCTGCCCTTGTCGCTCGCAGCACGGAGACGCTTCACGTCCTCCAATTGGCGTGGTGTCCGCTGGGCGCGTTCGCGAACCTGACGTGGCTTGCCATTCACACGTTGCAGATGTGCCGGCCTGCGGACATGGGCGTGCTCGGCGTGTTCCCCATGCTGCGCACCCTGACGCTTTGAGATGGGGTTCTGTTCCTGGGCACACCGGGGGCGATGTGAAGAAGGTGTAGCCCGACTTGGATTACGTCGAGGTACATCCGAGGGCGGCCTACCCCAAGGATCTGTCCTATGAGCCGCCTGTCCCTCGCGTACTCCATGATCACCGCGTTCTCCGAGTTCATCGCGTTCATTCAGCAGGCGTTCCCCGTCGTGCTCGCTTGCGCGTCTAACCTGCAGGGGTGCTCGACGTCGACACTGGAGGAGCTCGCAAGTACGGCGCCGCGGCTGTAGTACCATCAGTTTACCTTGCGTCGTGTTGGTGCGCTAGATCCGTACGCATACGACGCCATCGCGGACTGGATGGTGAGCCGATCCCCCACTAGTATATCTTTCGTGCGCTTATGAGTCGGCTTCGCAGGGGCGCATGACTATCCTCCGCGCCCTCCCGCTCGTCGGATCGCTACTTTCGCGCCCTCTACCAGACGGGCTGTAAGAAGAAGCGAAGACGCCACTAACACAGCTACAAAAGCATAGAAAGACTGGGAACGAGCCGCTTACGCACTCGGTAGATGGCACTGGCCATGCGGAGGGTGAAGTGGATGTCCACTCACAGTCCTGTGATGATTCTTGGGAAGGCCATGCGATACCCACCGCAAACGCCTGTCAACTCAAACCATCAGTAAACGGTGTGGACAGTGGGTCACGCTAGGCGCGAACCCGGGAGACAATGACGTGCTAGTTACCTTCTGGGTTCCCGCAGCAGATAAGGCGACAACGTCGCCCGCACACATCTTACTGGCCTTCAAGACATCGGCGTTGATTATTACACGGCGCGCATCGCGTGATATAGCGACAGAGCCGGTCAGTCCCACAGTGAACTAACGGGAGGAAATAGCAGCCATGTAGACCTTTTCGGGGGCAAGATAAGACCAAGAAAGTAGGTCTATCCTCAGGCTTTGGAGACAAAAAACAGTCAGACGAGTGGTTCGTACCACGAGAGTCCGAACATACGTTACTAGGTATAGAAGGAGGCGGGTCCATGACCGGAGTGCCGAGTGATCAATGTTCACCCTGCTTATGACGGATATTCCTGTCAATGCAAACATCATCAGCTGTTAAATGTTCTTATTTACCTGTGTTAGCGTCTGCTTTTGTTATGTTTGAGCAGTGTGTCTTTCCTCTTCGATTCGGACCAAGAGGCATGCACCGGCAAAATCCGAGACACAGGGGGGTCTCCGAGGCCCTTAACCGGAAATTATTTCCACCTAAGAAACTGCTAGTAGGAGGTGAGTGAAGGCTTATTCGTATGCCCATGCCTTACAGTTGAAACCTATGGCAAAGGAAAGCTTGCAACACCTATCGGGGGGTGGTGTTCGGCCGGCGGTAAGGGGGTGGGGTCGGGGTCGGGCGCTTAGTAGGTGTGATGTCGGGTCACAGAGGTAACAAACAAGTGACTTACTTACGTAATCCTTTTTTGTAGCTCCTCTTTATGGCAGCCACCTTCCATATATAGGGCGTGGGAAATTTTCACGGGGGAGGGGGGGCCTCGGAGGTCCTTAACCGGATTTTCTGACCTCGTGTGCGGAATTTGATTTTTGCATGCCTCTTGATTCGGACATGATTCCCCAGAAATAAGCCACGTGCATCGCGAGGATAAGCGCCTTTGTTAGCGCTTGTCCTGCCGTTGTAATTTCTCGCAGGCTTCACAGGTGGCACTTCCGTTTGTTCATGGGGGCTGGTTTGGTTTTCATATTGCCAGAATGCACATAGGATGGTCTACAAACTTATTATTCTTTCTGAGCTTGTTTTTCAGTCAAGTTCTGGCGACCTCGGAACGATTTGACGAAGAGTTGACGTTACGTCCTCTGCGGGATGGAAAGCTGGCCGCTAGATTCTCTTTCACGACATTACTGAAGGGTGCTACTCCAAGAAATCCGGAGAGTCTCGCAAGTGATGACGAATGTACGTTCATGTGCGAAGTCAAATGGAATTGGTGCGAACTGTAAGCACAGCACAGCATTATACTTTATTCCCTCTTGCTCTGGGTCAGATTCTCCGCGAATATGCAGTCACGGAGCTGCATCTGTCGCTGAACGCGGGGAACTGGAACTATGATACATGGGGCTATCCTGACAAGCCCGGTGTGGGTACCGGGGCAGAGCTCTGGGTGTGGATGGGGGATGGTGCTCCCATATCGTGAGTCCAGTCACTTTGTTGTCACGGCGGATAGTGAATTGAATTCGAAATACTGCTCAGTGTTGACGACCGATGGCAAGGTCTGCGTAATGCTCTTGCCGGACTCTTCTGTGCCTCACTGGGTTCACTGGATGAGCAGCGCACCACGTCACCTACTCTATCGTTCCAACCTGAAGGGTCACTACCAGATTGGAAAGCCCCTCACCAGTTACGCCACGCCACGCTACCATCGGAGCATGTCTGCACCGAAAATCTTACACCATTCCTCAAATTGCTCCCTTGCAAATCGCTCTCAGGCATCGCGCGTCTCCTCAATCCCCATCGCCTCTTTGATGCGGACTGGCATGGATTGGGCGTCAACGTCAGGTATCATCAAAATGCCGGTGTGGAAGTGAGACTAACCTTTCAGGCCGTCTTCGATCCCGTCCGGTTATCCCCCAACAAGCGTAGAGGTTAGCATTTCGCCGCTCCTCCCATGTTATCGGCATCATTGATGACTGAGCTGGCTACGCGTGCGCCACTCAGACTGGTCACTCGACTCGATATTTGACCGCACAATTGATAGAGCGTGCCCGGTTGCACACTCAAGTGAGGTCCGAGTGGAGCTACCTGGGGAGAAATTGTACACGCTCTCCCCTGACCCGTCCGTAATTATAGAGGACCTCGCGATATTTGTGGTGAAAGATAGTGCGTTGTGTCTCTGTGACATATCCAGCTTCGTTAGTGGCAGCTGACCTACCGCCTCGTAGCACAGGACGCGCTGGACATCGCAATGGAATGGCCTGGAGAAGCGACGTTTTCCTATCGTGCGTATGAGCAATTTGTTTTCCTGACGAGTTTATACATTAACGACACAACTCCAGCCTTGTTTGCCGCCGCCGAACCTCTCACACATATGTCCGTGCAGCGCACTCTCAAGGGCTCGAGCCAGTCAGACGCCCGGCTCTCGCTCGTGATCACCAACAACCTCCCAGTGCAGGTCCAAACAGGCTATCTCGAGACGATGCCTTGGCTCGCACAGTTCTATCTCCATACCCTTCGCGTTCGCAGCGATGGTGTCTCGCGTGGTACGTGTACTCGGTCAAGGCGGGCGATCGCCGTCGCCCATGCCAATCTCATGCTCGCGTCCATACATTATACAACTGACATGGGACGGACTGCTTCGCAGACGATCTCGTAACGATCATCTCGTACGCTGCACCTGTCCCGCACGCCCGGCCCACCCTCTTCCAAGCTGCACTGACATTGCCGCCGAAGAGTACGTTGGAAGTTACGATGGACGTTTTGAAGCCATTCTTGCGATACACCGAACATCCACCCGATGCACTGCGTGGCTGGGATCTCCCTCCAGCAGTTCTTGGACCATTTTCCTTCGGCAATCTTTCAGATGCAGATTTGAATATTTCTGCCGCTGCGCTGACGACACTGCGACGGCAGCCGAGGCGGATTTACACGTCAACATTACTGGTCGACCTCGCCACGCCAGACTTCAGTATGCCGTACAATGTCATCATCATAAGCTGCACGCTCATCGCGCTGATATTCGGGAGTGTGTTCAATTTGCTGACGCGCAAATTCGTGGTGGTGTCTGTAGAGAACGAGAGCGGTGCCGGGAAGTCGGATCTATCGTAGTTTGTCCTATCTTTGTTGTTGCACTGTACCACTGAGATGTTCTTAATGTACTCAACAGGCAATAGACCGCATGATTGTTTCACTACTGCTATACAGTGGCATTCAGCTAACCTCAGAGTGTCCTGGGCAAGCATTATGCGGATATTATTCAAGCTCGTTGTCGAAACCTTGAGGCTATGTCGACTTTCTGCCAGTTTCTTTCTCGTGGACACCGGCCGTCGTAGAAGAAGGCCAAATATACCAGTCATCAAAGATGTCTATCACGTCTCTTGCAGTGTTCGGCACAAATTGTTGATCACGCGCCTGCAAGACCTATCCCTTCTGGTGACGAGACCAAGACGGCGATAACAAACACTGAGCGATGCCGAGACTGCTTGCGAAAGGTTGGAGACGAAGCATTGCTGTGAGGTGCATAGAAGAGGGGAGAAATTAGTTTCCGACTGTGTTAGTCTACAGACGACATAAAGACCTTCAGGCTTCGGGCCTGATGGAATTCGAGATTTTCCGGGATCCGACGGAAGTGCACCGGTCTCAAACGAGTCCGTGACTGGGATCCCACTGCATGCAACCGCCTCGAGATATCATCCAGGTTTCTATTCTTCGTGAGCTTCAACTGCGCGACCAGACTGTAAATTGGTAGTAGATTACACAACACGGGCGACGACCGAGTACTGCAGACTGAGATATATATGATAGGTAGAGATGTGCGCCGCAACAGCGGCAGGTACTATCTAATGCGAGGGGTAACTACTTACTCAACAGCATGAAGAAAGACAGTGTCCCGGGTAAATACGAAACAATACAGCATAGTGACGAGTGAGTGAGTGTATGTGTGTGTGGGAGCAAGTCCGATACGAAAGTCCGACGTGAGACCCAAAGAAATAAGGCTCGGTTCGAGATGCAAAAATCAGTAAGGAGCGAAAGAGTGAGAAGAGTCGCTACGACCCAGGAGGCAGCTCAGGCTCGGGTCCCATCCATGTCCTGCGATCGCCGTCGCGTGCAAAGCCCCGAGGGCCACTGGGGGTACGCCGTGGCGTCGTCCGCATGCTCCCGACGCTCCCGATACGGTCGATACTGATGACACTCCCAACGCTGCCCGAGCTCGAGTGGCGGCGGCGGCCAGGGTCGATCCGAGCGCCGCGAGCCGCGGTACCGACACCCGCAAAGCTCGACGGGGGTGCATCGACCGCACCGAATTCTGCCATGCTATTCCACTCGGGTGATACGGCGACAGAGTGCGGCCGCGCGAATTGTACGTACGAGTCATTGCGCGTATGTGAGCTGCTGCGACTATGCGAGTAAGCTCGCGTGTGCGCGAGCAGTGGCATAGCGACGCTCGGCTCACCGCTGGGTGTGCGCTCATGCGAGGAGGGCGACGATAGCCGCGAGTGCGTAACAGGCGGACTCGTCAAGGTCGGGGTTGGGGAAGGGGGCCCTCCGAGTAAAAGTGAGCCGCATGAGTGCAGTGTCTGATATTCGGGGGTGTCGGGAAAATATTCGTTCGTGTACTTGAACGGGAACTCCTCCGCATTCGGGCTAAGGTCCTCTGCAGCCGCGAGTGCGATATTGTCCGTATAATGCGAGGGTACATCCTTCCGACGCGTACTCCCGTTGTACGAGGGGGAGCGAAGCGTGGTGTTGGAGGATGTGAGCGTGTCGAGGTCTGCAGCGGATGTAGGTTGCACCGCGATGTAGGGGATCTCAGGCATCGTGTACCCACCATCCTTGCGGTCACCGTCCTCGAAACGGTGGGGAACACCCCGCCATCGTCGTCGCATGATGAGCCAGCGCACGCCAAATAGGATGAAGCAGAGGGCGGCGAAACATACAAGACCGATGAGGACCTCGACCCCGACGGAGAGTTTTTTCGATGAGCCGCCTATGTTCGCCGTCGGTGCGCCATCGAGGGGCTGGTGGTCCACGCGCACCTGGGTGAATTCAGCAAGCGCGATCGTCGGGTTTGTGAGGCCGAGCAGCCCGAGGCTGGGATTAATCTGGTAGCTGGAGGCGGCATTGGTGTCGTTGGTGGGGAAGGTGCCGTGAGCGTCGGGCGTCTCGTACGCCATCACGGTGTACGTGTTGCGTAAGAACGGGACGCCGAGAATCACGTCTGCGACGTATACTTCGGAACTGCCGAGCAAGGCAGCGTTCTGGATCATGCCGAGGCACATGGAGGGGTCGGAGACAAGGTAGGTAAGGTCGAGGGGATGGAGGGGAATTTCTGGCCGGTCGTCGAGGGTGATCGTCATGTTAAGTGGTGTCGTGCATGGTACATAGTCTGCGGTAGGTCAAGCAGTCAGCAGAAGCAGCACTAAAAAGTAAGGAAATAAAATATACATTGTCCGTCGCTAGCGGGAGAAATGCCAATCGCGCCATAGACGCCGCTCGCGATGTCCGGCATCATCAAAATTACAGGCGTGCCAGAGTCGAGTACGGCGGTGGTATACTGCCCACCATTTACCGGCTCACCAAGGGTCACGGGCATAGCCTTACCGTCGACGTACACGGTAATCGCATGCACGTCGGCCTTCCAGAACAGCGGGCCGGTAGTGTCTGTTGAAGAGAGATCAGCATAGATAATCTTGGAAGGGTCGCTCACGAGCACGTCCGGGTGCATCCCGATGCCGAGCACGGAGGGAACCTTGGACGAGCCGGGACGTGCGAGAGCGAGCGAGATGAACGGCGCCGAAGGGCCAAGGGGGGAATTTGACATCCTGAAGAGATTTGACGCAAAGGCGGCACCGTTGGGAGTGTCTAATGGGGAAATGAGCTGCGCGATTTTGGAGTTCTCTGGGAGCGCGAGGCCGAGAATGCCAGTGAATGCAGACTCGAGCGGCTCGTTGTACACGACGGTGGCGGCGGCTGCAGAGGTTATACGATGAGATCCAGTACTTCTACAGGCACAGCAAATTAAGAGGATAGACTCGTCCCGAGGAGGATCTGTCCATAAGGTAAGAACGTACCTAGTGCCTGCGCACTGATGTTGTACCCTCCCACCTTCACACTGTCCCACACAACCGGCCCGCTGACCTCCCCCTCCGCATATGAGATCGTGAAGATTGCTCCCGAAGACTTGGACGAGGACGGGTCGTAAAGGTTCCCACCTGTTTGGCCGCAGGCGGAGGTAGAACAGGAAGATGATGCGATCCACTAGAATTTTACCTTAAGCTAGATAGAGATAATGAAGCGCGAAAGACTCACCAAATCAGATGAACCAGTGTCGACCTGCAGAGACAAATTCTGTTGCTGATGTCCGACGAGAATAGGAACAGTATATACACTGCGAGACGCGCGTCAGCTCTAAAATTGCACAAGAACACGGAGGCGTTGTGGGCGACAAACACCACGGTGCATGATGGTAAATTGAGCAGCAGCACCTGCGAAGGTGGCGAAATCATGGAGAGAAGTTAACTCACGCTTGGTACATGGAGTCTTCGAGCAATTGCAAAGGGACTACGATGCCCGCATTTGCGCCTGATCGCTCGAGGACAGTGTCGCGCTCCTTGCCCTTCCATGCACGCGACTTTGACGCGGATCTGAGAACGCTCATGCAGAGAAGGGTGTGTGGTGGAAGAGTTGGTTCTGACAAGAAACCGAGCGGCCACGGAGAATGGGATAGGAAGGGGATATGAAGGAGAGAAGGACAAACGACAGTGGTCAGGAGGGGAGCATTTGGGTTGTTGGCTGGACAGGCCGAGTCGTAGCAGTAGCGCGTCTGTCCGCGTCTAGCGCCCACCCTCCTTCGTTCCCGCGCAAGTCATCCTTCCTCCGTATGTTTTTTCTCCTCTTCCCTCGATATTTCATGTCGTTTGCTTGTTTCCTAACCGTCCTTGTTCTGTGCTCGAAGTCAACCTTCCGGCACAACTCTGAGCGACAGTTCTTGTCTCGTTTCCCGCGTTTTCTCGTATCGGCTTCGGTTCTCCGGTGGGGCACTCAACAAAGTCCGCGCTTGTCTCTGGGTTTCGTACACGGTCAACGTCGATGTCCCTGGTTGCGCTGCCTGTGTGCTGCGATCTGTTCTGCCATGGCCGCGACAGATGGGCGGGTTCTCGTAACAAACTTGCCTGTCGTCAAACAACCCTCAGCGGAATATGCACCTGCGGTCCTGCACTTGCTTGTCTGTGCGCGTCCGAGGCCTGATCCCGTGGTCGTCCGAGTCATCTCTCGTTACTGTACAAGTCTCGGCGCCTTCGAGGGTTCTCTTGGCAGATGAATCCGGCCCCGATTCACCTCGGAACATTCTACCCTTTGGCGACGATCCTCCTTATCGAATCACATTGATCGTTGCTTCTCTCCGAGAATACAGGACTCGACTTTCGACGCAATGCGTGTTGTTGCTTGCGCAACAAGTTGCGTGCGCCGCGAACGCGACACTGCTCATGCTGTCGTACGAGTGACAATAATATAGGATTTATTACCATCCTGTGAACTAACTTATGGTAGTCGCAACGTCTCCCATTCAACACGCACTACATGGCAATAACGCGACATTTTGATCTCGGGTATGGATAGATTTCTTCATACCTTCGAATTTGGCGGAGACCGGTGACGGTTTGACAAAGTATACCTGCCATCCAGGAATATCTCATGTCGAGCGGGCATAATTGACTGCACAGGAAATTCAGTCATGGTTACCTCGGGCAACCTTCCGGATGCAGCAAAGATGACCTGTAGCATTCATAGTCGGTCAGACCAATGTGTAATGGCCGTGTCACAGTGAACGTGTTCCAAACATGACGTGAGAAAAGTAGGTAAGTTACCCCAATTGAGGTCCACGGCGCGAACGTGCTGTGATGTATGTCTGTGGGGCCTAAGCGATAAGACGCTCCACCCCGCCAGACAAGCAACAGCAGGGAACAAGCGCAGTCTGATCATGTCTGTGTGGCGCACGATGAGGCTTCGTGAAAATACAGTGAGACATATTGATTTCACGGGCTCACCGCGGGGACACGATACGATCTTACTATCGTCATCACCAGAGTTGGACGAAGAAATATCACAAGAGATAGAGGAAGCGGGACGCACCGCAGCCAAATTTCCATTCAGCAAGTGCTAACTGAATGTACGAATCGGTCGGGGAGAGGTTTTGTAGAATATGAGGACCGACGAATACTTAGGGATCGAACGGCGAGAGGGCGAGGTCACTCTTCGCCATGAAAAATTCGCTTCGACTGATGTTTCGCCAGTGGAAGCTTAGTCGGCATGCGCAGATGAGCAGAAATCTACAGGGCTGTCCTTCACAGCTCAACATTCAATCTCGATTGTCGACTTAGAACACGAGAAGAAAGTGTATACTGGTGAAATAGCGGTAGCTGCCATAACAGTGGTAGCACCGACCCAGACAGGAGTTAAACACAATCGAGAAGTTGAGGTTGCGAGAGAGCCAATCATGGACGTACCGAAAGATTACTGTCAAGCAGCCGGCGGATGAATTGGATTCCATCGCCGTCGAAGAACGAGACCGCAGAATTGAATAAGTAGTACGCACCAGCAGTCGGCTACAGCTTAATAGCATTGTGACAGTGGCTTGTGAACGAACCCTACAACCCACCTTCCACACCCGCGGACTGCGAGCAGGACGCACGACTAATGCCGCAAGTTCTCTGTGCCGCTGAGACGGGGTCTAGAGCAGAGCCACGTGGATGTTCGCAAAAAAATAGAGGGCCCGCGGCAAAGCCACTTGCACGGAGAGCTTGTTCCCCTGTTCAACTGGTGATTGCAGTCGGCTGTTGGGATCTAAAACTGGGTAAGAACAACGGAAGCGGACAATTTGAGCATGTGACGCATCGACTTAGCCGGCGACATACCCTCGAGAATGCAAACCAGATACCTTGTAGATGAGCTAGGAAGATGGAGCCGATAGGAATGCAGACAAGCACGCAGACAGACTTTGTCGCCCTATCAAAGCCGCGCCGTCTTTGAATTGGAATCCGAGTCCCATTGCATGCTGCATTCCGGGATAATCGGAAGGTGAGATCACTGCGAGATTTGAGGGACTCGGAGTTCTCATCCGCTGAGGACACACTACTATTGAACGACGTACCATCGTGGGCATCTGCAACGCTGTGGGAATCTCCACGCGATGAAGGTGGCACCCTGAGCTGTGTTGTCGCACGAATATAACGTTTAGCTAGTCAACGTTTCGACTCGAGGAAATGCGCTCGAAGAAACGCCCATCTAAGCGCCCATGATCAGGAGCTTGCACCGAACACCCCTCTCCAGGCCGCTGCGAGCAAGCGTTTCCACCTTCTTGTTTTCTCCATATTCTTTGGCAGCATCTGACACGAGCACCAGCATGACAACTGCACCCGACACCGGTTCTTATAGCACATCCAGAGGGCGGGGCCGTGGACGGGGTCGGGGGCGTGGCGGAAGAGGTCGAGGGCGAGGGAGAGGCGATGTCTCCGATGAAATCTTCGGAGAAACGCAACAACAGAGAACGCCAAAGCCGCGGTTGACTCACTGTCAGTTATGATTTGTCTGGCTCGTAAGGTGTATTCTTGATGTCACCACTTCTACGCGCAGTCTTGGCCCTCCCTATCGTGAGTAACCCGTTTCGTTCCATTCCGAGACTCTAATCATTTGCCCTATTTACAGGGACATCACAGTGGTCTCCGCGATAGTATCTCCACTTTTACAGATGCATTGCTTGCCGCATCGCCGGCTATACCTGGCCTCGACGGATCTATCGTTATTCCCGCGCGCCGGCTGCACTTCACGCTCGGCGTAATGGCGCTCAATGACGCGGATGCAAGCATAGCAGAAGCTGCATCGGCACCGGCGGGTGATTCGCCACCTTCTCCACCACGGTCGCTACCAAAAGCTGTTGCGCTTCTGGAAGAGATTCGGCCCTTGCTCATGAAGATGCTAGAGGGTGAACAGCTGCGAGTCGCGCTCAACAGCGTGGACATCATGACACCGGAGAAGCGTGACCTCGAGCGAGCGCATGTGATGTGGGTTGGACCGACGCCGGGGACCGAGGACTTCAAGAAATTGAAACAAGTGTCCGGTGCGTCGACGGCCGTTATATAATTCTTCTTTTTTGTTCTAGGCTGATGCTGTAGCAGATTTTGTGCACAAGACGTTCAAGGATGCTGGGCTGGTCGTAGACGACAGGCGTCCACTAAAGGTACGCATCGTGCGTAGCTTGTTCGCCTGAATCTCGAGCTCATTATATGCTATAAAGCTCCATTGTACTGTCCTCAATACTGTCTACCGCAAGCCGCGTGTCAAAGTGCGCACTCCATTTTCATACGCGTCCATTCTCGCCTCGGAACCGCTACAAGCTGTCTCGGCGACACCGGTAATGGGTATTGCAACGGCTCAGGCTGGATCACAGTCTCCGATTCGGGGGCCGCGATCGGTAGATTTTGGAGAGTGGGCTGTGGAAGAGGTACAGATATGCGAGATGGGGAGCTGGGGGCCTGAAGGTGAGTATGTGTGTGTCGGGCGGTGTCCTCTCGTGTAAAATTGGAAGCTTTGACTTCCACACTATGTTTGTGAGAACCTTCTTCAGTTTACTCATTTAATTTTTCTGGTTTGCGCTATTGTCGTCTCTCACCAAATAAATATTGTCGTTTGTACTTTCAACGTGACGGAGAGCTATACTTACGGCGTGACGCGACGCGTCTAGTCACGCGTTTCGCGGAGCGAACCGTGGCTGGCAGCCTGAGCCTCCGAGTCATCGTTGGGCCTACACGGTATTTGTCTGCTCTATAACATCCTCCTCTTGCTCGGACATACATCCTGTGGTTGAAGTTGACGAGGTACGCTGCCAGAGATGAGTTTCATTGTTGCATTTACGTGGAACGATTCATGACCTGTTTTCATCGGTCTCGGACAATTCACTATTACAACTCCAAGAATGGCATTCTACAACGTTAGCACAGCTGCTCGCCTCGCCGAGCAAGCCTCTCCCTCGGTCTCCGTCGAAAAGGGCACATATCGTATACGCGTGCCCTCTCCGCAGGCTCCATTAAGGCGCCGGCGGCGTCCGCGCCACACTCCATCTGCGACGATAGAGAAACAGATGGCGCTCTTGGTCATCTTCCTCGTCTGTGCGACCATTACGTGCTTCGGTGCCGCGTACTATCTCTTCATGACGAGGTGGGATGCTCCGGCATTTCCTTCTTCTGTAGTCGACGATTCTGACTCTATTCTTCTCCCTCAAGTCGACGTCATCGGTTCTAACACGTCTTCATTACTAGTTTCTCTACCTGGCGTTAGCGTCGAGTCTGTGCCTGGGTCTGTATCTGAGGTGGAGAAGCCCGTGGGTGGGAGAGTTATTTGGCCTATTTGCCGCACAGCGGTTTCCATAATCAACGCATCGTTTTCGAAAATGGTCTTGTTCTGTCGCGTCTGCTCAATCGTACTCTGCTTGTCCCTCCCGTGCGTCTGTCCAGCAAACCACTCACTTACCAGCCGTTCGATGTGGTTCCCGACCTACTCGTCAATGACACCAAAATCGGCTTCGAGCGCTGTGATCCAGCCGCAAATGGATGATAAATGGGCACAACACTGCGCAGCCTACGCGGAATATACACACACTCCCTGGGACTGGCTCGTCGACCTCACGCCGATCAAGCAAGAACAGCGGCTGCTTCGTCAGTGGAACTTCACGGACGCGTGGCTCTTGGACCATCTGAAGATCGGCGCGAACGACACCTTCGCACTGTGCGACACGAAGCGGACAGACTACAGCTTCCAGGAATTTACGGCCTTCAAGACCACGCTCGGGCGCAAGTACCAGCACCCCCAGCACCTCTCCACCCTCGCGCACCGCCCGGAGCGCCTCCAGCTCGGCACACTCTTTAGCTCATCCCGCCTGCACCGCGATCGCGGGAATGTGCGCCTGTGATCGGCGTTCGCAAGACGATCGCATTCGCGAGCCCACGGCTGATGGACGTGGCGAAGGCCATCCGGGACGAGCTGGGAGGGATGTACTTTGGTGCGCACGCTCGACTCGGGGACAGACTCTTTCCTCGACAGGGGAGAGGCCAGTGTCCGGCTCGTCTGGTGGAAGCTGCTTTAGGCAATGACTTTCACTACTGAAGGGATTTCCGAGCTCGAACGAGTGCTGGTGCTCAACCACATGGAGTCAAGACGACCTCGACGACCTCGACAATCGGGCTCCACCGTATATTCCACCCGACATCCCATCCCTGCGTGTCCCACATCCCTACCTGCATTGTCCAATCCTCCGCGCTCTCCTAAGCTCACCTGCGCAGTTCACCTGCATGCACCAGTGGCCCGCAGGCCGCAGCCGACTGCCCCTACTTCATACGTCACTCTTTCTCGCGACAGATGCGGTCATCCCATGGAATTCGACGCTTCTCGTGCATTCCACACGTACATTCCCATCTACATTCTTCCTCGAGGATTTCTCTGTGCAGACAGGTGCGCTGAACTCGCCCCGATGTGCACGCGACGGCGTGGCGCTGCGGGAGTTTATGCTCTCGTTCCTCGAGGCTATGGTTGCGGGCCGCACGTTGGACGTCATCGGCACGGAGGGATGTACATTCAGCTCGTTTGTAAAGACGTGCTGTGGCGAACGTATGATGGGTGAGAGATCGTGCTGAGAGGGTGATCCGGGTGATCCTTGATATCTTGTTCGATAAATCGTACAGTAGACTATACATACCAATGTAATATAACCCGGCCGGCGAATGTCAAGGTTCACGAAACAGGGTGCCGGGTGCGACGGGGCCCAACTTCCGACAAGGTTATACATGCAAGAATTTTCAGTTTGTCGACGAGAGACATGTATCTCGTCGACATGCCAGTACCTACTGCACGAACTTTGTACAATACATACATAGCGTAGGGAGCATCAGCGGTCATCACGACGTGAAGGCCATTGGCAGTGATGGCTATCAAAGACGCCGTGCTCGTCTACAATCTGTATGTGCGAGATCAGGAAGGGATTCTTCAAAGGGATTGGGGGGTGCATGCCTTCTCGCCATCTGTCGCTCTTTCTCCTCCTCTGCATACACGACATCCGGGTCACGATTCTTGACCTCTGGGAGGAGTAACGTGAACACTGTACAAGCTCGTCAACATCAGGCCCAAAGACCGCGGTGAAATACACGAACCTGCTCCAGCGATACAGCATCCAAAGAAAACTATGCGTGCATCAGTATCAAATAAATGAAGACATGCAGTCACGAAGGGCACACACTCCAGAGTACGGCTGGCGTGCCGATTTTAGTCGTGAGAGCATTGAACGCGAGCGCAGAGACGATGGCGCCCGCCTTGCCGCACGCGGCGGATATGCCGTGCGCAGACGCGCGGAAGCGTGTGGGGAATACCTCAGCTGGGTACATGTACGTGGTTCTGAGTGGCTGGGAGTTAGCACATGGGCTGTCATTGAGGGACTCGATGAACATACGCGTTGGCTCCGAAATTAAAGAAGAACTGGGTGTATGACAATGTTGTTAACATGTAGTTAACTATCTGTTCTCGGTTTTACTCACCTGGAGCAGAGCGAAGTTGACAATGAAGGCGGCGTGGCTCAGCGTATAGAACTTGCCAGCCAAGATACCAACTAGGTAGCTGCTTCAGCGACAGTGCGCGATTATACTCAAGAAGGGGGACTCACGGAATAGTGCGGCAAAGAAGAAACCTTGTATCTGGATCCACTTGCGGCCGAGCTTCTCGATGGTGAGAATGGTTGCATAGTATCCTGCCGTCACGACATCAGCCGCATGGAACTGTGGTGACAGCGAATGTCATACCAGGGACGAACCCAAGGGCAGTGATGATGAGGTTACCGATGCCAATCTTGAAGAGTCGATTCCACGGCGAGCCGGTCTTACCAGCGAAGCCGATCTCCTCGAGCACGACATTTTGGTTCAAGTTGATCCCGTAGAACCTGCAAATCAACGACATGATGGCGATCGTCAGTGGCGATGTCGTAGCGTGATGCGGTGATGGAATCACTTACGCGATGTCGAGAAGGAACCAGCAGACGCACGTTCCAATGAGGATCTTCAGGTGTCGCCACTCCGAGAAATATCGCACAAAGTCTATCAAAACATCACGCATCACATCAATACCAGTGCGCGCTACAGGATCAGAGACACATACTAGTAAAGTGCCCATGTTTGGCTACCCGCTGTGCAGACTGGGCAACTGCAGGTGGTACGACTTCATTCTGAGACTGCACACTTCGTTCGGTGATGCTGTCCTCCGCGCTCGCGTTCTTCTTGAGATCGTCGGTCGACTTGGTCTCGACGTCCACGTTTTTCTGCGATGCCTCGAATCTCTTCGACTCGGGAAGCGTGAGTCGCTGGTAGAGTGTGGCGAATGCGGGGATGAGTGACAACCCAATCAAAATCCGCCATACTGAATGCATCAATCATCACTGATGAATTTCCGTGGATCAAGACGAGGAAGAACGTGCGCTACTCACCGCCGTCGACCTTGCTCGTCTTGCCTTCGACATCCATGACATGTTTGTAGCAAGCGAGCACGACGATTACTGCGACGCTACCTATGAGCGAGCCCCAGCCCTGGTTGGAAAATATGTACGCGAGCAGTGTGCCGCGGCGCCGCAGGTTCGCGCGGTCGCTCGTCACGGAGGCAGACATGGGGTAGTCACCGCCAATGCCTATTCCAAGAATTATACGAAATACCGATAGCCAAATGAGAGAACCAGAGGGAGAGAGGTCGCCTGACACAAATCCATGAATCGCAAGCGGACTGCAGTACACGACATGCGTACCGGTGGGGTCAGAAATGCTCAAGATAGTAGCAAATATGATAAGGATTAGCTCCTTCCCGTCTGCGAAGAACATACGCTTAGTCACACGACCACCAACATATGGCTGCAATGAACTCACAGACAGCTTTTCGGCCAAAGTAGTCTGCACAATAACCTGGGGGAAATATCTTTAGACAAGGCCGAAGACGTGAGATAGTTGGATGCAACGCACCGAAGCCGAACTGGCCAATGACGCTACCTATGTTAGCACTAGCCTTGAGGAAGCCTTGCAAGCCACCGGGAAGAGCTTTGCCGTTGTAGAGACGGTATTGAAGCATAGTAGAGACCGGCTAGGGACAGGATTCATTGGAGACGGTGACAAAGAAAAAAGGATGCGCTCACGTTAATTATAAATAGGTCGTATGCTGCGAGGAAGACGATCAGACATTTCGAGTTCACCTCAGAACAAGCACGAACCATCTAAGAAAAAGCCAACCTAGACAAGACAGCGGTAAGACGGTGGTCGGTAAATACTTGGGGAGAAGGGAGACGTACGCCAGTGATGCTCAAGAGCTTTACCTCGGGGGAGGTGAGGTACCAAGTAGGCCGGTCATCTCCTTCCTTTTCGTACTCTCCGAGAGATCTGACCGTTTCTGAGGGCATGTCCAGCAGCTAGTACTGAAGAAGAGAAAGATTGAAAAATATTAGTGAGGAGACGACACTGAAGGTAGAGAACGTATATACATACCACCGCCCCCAACGCACGTTCGAGGAGGAGCTGAACCGCCACTCTTCTCCACCGTGACAGCATATGGCAGATCTTGTAAACGAGATCTCATCCGAGATCATATCTCGGGATCATCTTTCCTTCCACTTTCAACACTCCCTCGTCGCCCTTGATCAGCATTCAGACGACTCACATCGCCAAGGCCAAACTGAAACCTGATTTCCCGCCGTTAGTCTTTTTTTTTTCAACTTTGGTGCCTCTGCTACAGTGTAGCCTCGCTTCACCTTAACCCGACATAGCCAGACCTCTGCGCCGAAATCCAAAAATGCAGTCGAAAAGTTCGACCTTTTTAGTTAAGTTTTCAGCAGTCTATTTTGTGTCATGTCCATTTGACGGGCATTTGCAGCGTGGCGTCGACCTGACGGGTAGGTTAGGACCTCTATGGATTATCTACTTAAGGTTCTTGCGTGGACTTTAAATGAGCGCGGAAAGTGAGTTATCCAGTTCAACCCTAACTCTGCTGGATGAAATGTTACTGACACATCTCCCACCTATGAGGAGAACTGCCATCTAGCACGTTCGCCTCCTTTCACACGCATCGTGCAGAAATGTTCTCAGTGTCGAACGACTTACCACTACCATTCTCCACGTAGTCCCATGCACAGCTACTCGACGACGGTTTGACTTGCTCGCGTAGCCTTCTTCAGATCTCACCAGCACTCTCGATTCAATATTAGAGGCCATATCCCAGCTTTTGTCCAGGACTTCAAGTATTCCGTAGTACGCACAGCCTGCGTACTGCCATTGTGCCATGGACTTTCGCTCTTTCGATATCCATGCGATGACGACTATCATTAGGCTGCCGCAAGTTTCCTCGATCTCAAGCTCAGAGTTCCTCAGCGGACGTTCGCCGACTAGCAGCCACCTGCGATCATGAAATTACCCTACGAGCTCATTCATATAACCCTCGGCGGCTCCTTCTACCCCAGTCCGCTGCCCAGTTGCCACGACCTCACCCGCTTCCGTTCCACCAACTTTGATCCCACCACTAATTCCTTTTCTTTTACCTGGATGTTATGCATGATATTGTCCCCCTGGGCCGTCGAACTCGCGTGCATCCGTATCCTTGCACGTGTGCCGTCAACCCCAAGGAAATTCCCTATGGGCGCGGACAGGCTGTTTTCTGTGAACGTGACTATCGTTGACGCCCTTAAGGCTCCTTCGACACTCCGCATTGTAATCCTCGGTGGTGCCCTCTCCTGCTCGCAGCCGACTCCGTGCCCCGAGGTCGATACCGGACACGCAGTGCCATCCCCTTGCATGTACCGTGCTGGGACAATCGCACGCGCGCTGTCCTTTCCCTCCTCTCTCGTACCCACTCTGTTGTGTTCTCTTGTTGAGATGTGTCTCTGCTAGTTCACATCTTCGCAGTGCTCCTCCCCACCACGGTCTCCAATCAGCGTTCCGAGACTGAGCCATGAGAGTGCGACTTCGAGACCGACGTTCGGACTTGGATAATATGCCTCCTGCTCATGTTTTCTATGCCCTTCAAGTTTAGTCCCACTCTCCATGTCATCCCCTTCGCACACTTTTCTCCCCTTCTCGACACCGGTGTCTGGCTCGAAGCTCTAGTATATGCGCTCCCCCTGGATAATATATCATGTTGTAGCCTGCGGATGTCGATGCGAGCGAGGCAGCCGAAGTGGATGCGTGCCCGGTGTTTGGGGAGAATTGCCATCGGTTTGATATCTCCTATTTCTGTCACTCAATGTTAGCTACCATTTTTTAAATCGACAACGTTGAATAAGACACTGTATTGTCCGTTACTGTCCGTCCCGTCCTCCAACAGATACACTAATGTAATACCACCGGCTCTCTTTTCCTCGCGTCTTCATATTAACCCTTCTGTTGCATTCCTTTTCTTGTTTATGTGTTACGGACCACGGACGGTAAAGCCTACACGTATCGTATGGTATTATTCTGTTATTTTCATGTTGCGGCAAGTTCTCAGTGGTGGCCTGCGGCTAAAATAATATGGAGAGGAGGTTTCGGTTTTACACGCGTCTTGCATATACGCTACGCGTCGCGTCTATCACGTGTCCCTACGCGGTTGACCTCCTCCAGCATGAGTTCCTCGATAGAAAAGTTCCCGGGCGAGCTCCTCGAAGAAATCCTGAGGGATGCAATCATCATTCCCGACGAACGTTTCCTCGCCTTTCGCACAGCCAGCACCTTTGCCACGTTCGTGCCGTCTACCGCTCCTGGCATCCTTCGCGTCTCCAGGCGTTGGCACCAGATTGGCACACCCTGGCTCTATGAGTCCATCATCCTCCGCACTTCGGCACACGTAGCTCTTGTCTGCCGCGCACTTGCCGCGTTTCCCCTTCTCGCTACGCGAATACGCAGGCTCCGCATCGAGGTCGGTCCTAGTGATTCTCTCAACTTTATCGTGTGGTCTGCAGGTCCCACAATCCACACCATTTACTTGGCAGTGGATCTGCCTGATGACATCTTCCACTCTGCACCTTACCTCTCCGTCGGCAGTGAGTTCTCTCGCGCTCTCCGCCGCAGCAATCCGTCTCGTCTCGTCCTCGACGGGCTCGACTACAGAAACCGTCTGAACACAATAATCCGTCAGACGCTGTCCGAAGTCATCCCCTCATGGTTCAACCTTGTGAGCCACGCAGCTGCATCTCTACCATATATACTATCTCTCATATTGGATGCTCAGGTGCAGGTCGATCTCAACTACCTCTCTATGGCACTCGCCTTAGCGCTACGAGGCGGCCCTTCCGTGCGGCAGATATTCTTACGCCAGAATATCATGTGTAAATTCATACCGATTCTGCGTGCTCTTGCTGGCGGTTCTAGTCTCCAGGTCATCCATTGTCACCATATGCCGAATCTCAACATCCTCGAAAAGATCTCCATTCGATTGCTCGATATCATCCAATTCGGAGATGCGAGGTAATCAAATCTTCGTCACCAATATGCTCTCTCACACCGCTGACATTTGTCTGCACTGTGCAGTGCAGCGACCGTTCTAAAGCGCACCAAGATGTATGCTCTATCTTGCGCGGCGCCTGATCTCCCCGACGAGGTATGGAGCCGGATCCTCGCCTTTGCGATGCACGTGCACCATCCCGATTATGTTGATCTCTCCGTGGACGGGTTCCATCAGAGCGTCCACGAGCACATCAACGCCACCCGCTGCAGCATCGTTCTCGTGTGTCGCAGATTCAATGTGGGCCTTCACACTCTCACTACTGACCAGGTCACTCACGGTCTTTTATTCTCACGATATGATCCAGCGCCTCGGCACTCCCTTCCTCCACGCCTTCCCCATATTGGCAAATTCGAAACTAGTCCAGTGTTACCTCAGGCTCCTCCAAAGGCAGCCTCAGCTTGCACGCTTCATTCGCGCGTTTCCCTGGACAATTGGTAGCATGATTTCTCTGGCATTTGAAGATTTTTTTATCAAGTCAACTGTGATCTCTCTTGTCGCGCTGCTCACTGCACTTGTACACGCAACACCCTATTTCCGTGTCTTTCCACAGCTCGCAGAGGAGTTTGCCGAGGGCGAAAACTCGCCCCTCATATCGGCAGACCAGCTGCTCCTTGATGGTGAAGAAGATGTGTTCATATCTCCGAGTGCCTTTTTGCCGTTCTCGCAGCTGAGGTCTTTAGAGCTCAGTTGCGGGTGCACGAGCTTTGATTCTGGAGATGTCCCTCATGATGCACTGCCTGCGCTCACAACGCTCAAGATATTGAACTGTGGGTCTTCGCTTGTGAAGCTGTTCATCGAGATGCGGTGCGTCGACCAATTTCTTTCATTCTGCCTGTGGCCAGTCTGATTTTAGTTTGAATCTTGCTTATTTGGTGAATTGGGGGTACATATTGCCTTCGGAAATCCTGCAGCCTACCGTCCTTGAGAGAAGTTGAGATCAATGGGACACAAATAGATGTTGTGTATCGCTTCCTCGTCCAGCATGGCTTTGCACTCGAGCGCCTTGCGGCATGTGCGATGCAATACTTGGATGCGTGCCCGACGAACGTGCTGGACCTCTGTCCACACCTCATCGAGTTGACTATTCTGGACGCATACCTCGTGCGTTCTATCTCCTTTCTTCCTCTACCACGGTTGGCAATTAAATATGCACAATACCTCATGCGGCCACCTCTCGGCTTCATTGCCGACGCGGCACCCCATACTACACTCAAGCGCATCTCCCTTTGCAGCATGTACGTTTTTTATCCCTTTTCTTGCAGGCCACTGCTCCCTGTCCCAACTACCTACTGACTCAACCAAATGACGGCAGTGGCTATAAGCATTTCCCCGTGCACGAGTTAATGCAGCTATGCAGCAGAATTGTGCCTCACCCGCTCATGGCGCTTGAGGAAATTGCCACTCCGCTGACCTATTTTCTGCCGCGCAATGAGTGAGTAACCCGTCCAACACCCTATCTGATTCGGCTTTTGGTAGCGGTGTTGATGTTTTTTGATACGTGGTGCAGGGTGGAGCTAAATGACCACCACTTGCGGGAGTGTGCGCGGCACATGCTGGAGCATGGCATCGCATTTGTAGACCACGATGGAAATAGATGGACGAGGGTGTGAGGATATGTCAGCGTTGAATGGCTATGGTGTGTTCTTGCATTCGATAAGTTTGTCCATGTCAAGTGATCTCTACCTGGTGAGATAATGCCAATTTTGTGAATGAAGGGCCAGGCTGATCAACTACAGCCAAATTCCGAGTTGAATATTCCATTCGTTGTATCGATGCGGACTCATCAGATCCAGAAGAAATGGATGAATTTAATTGAACGACTCGGGGATGCCATCAATACCTGCGCAACCAAATAACTCTGAATGCATATACTCATGGTATTAACTCTGCAGACAGCTACGTGTTCTCGCACCTCCCTTCCCGCCCGAATCTCCGCAATGAGGTTTAAAACTCTTGCTGCCCTTCTCTACAGTTCGTTAGCATTTCGGACTGTCACCGTGCTCGGGCTAGGCGCAGCCAGGAGCCTGCCGCACACAGATATCACTTACCCCGACTACGACGCGATCATCGTCTGCAGTAGCCTGAACTGCACCGAGCTCTGCGACGCCGTCTCAATGGGCAGTCTCAATACGTGCTATAACGTATCTTCCATCAACTACCTCAGAGAGTACGAGTCCATCATGACGTACATCTGCCCTGGCTGCAACTACGCTTTCCCGATCTACATGGCCACCGCTGGGTGCACGGGTACGCCAGTGCAGCTCGAGCTGAATGTGTGTTATAACACTTCGTACGGCGGTGAATTCGAGTATTATCAGACATATTGTATCTCGGGGTGAATGTGAGCGAATTTACTGTGCGCGTCAAGGTGGGCCCTCTAACAATTTTTGTGTATAAAGAGCGGCAGAGTTCTGGAGCCTCGTGAGCCGCGGAATGCTGTGTCGGTGCTGGTGCATAGGATTCGCATAGATTCACAATTAATCCAACTATTTTCAATTGCAGCTACACTTCGCGGATGATGAAGACATCGCCAATGTTGATATTCCTTTCCTCTCACTCTTCTCAGCTTCAGAACAGGGATGTACAACCCTTTCTCCAATGTCACCGTGATGGCTGTTTTACTTAGTATCTCCAATGTGTACATTCAATCCTTCAGAATCCCTTATGCATTGGCGCATCTCCTCTGCCTCTTTCTTCCCTTCTTGCTGAGTTCTGATCTATCGTGTGCTTCACAAATCCTTATTCACATCATTTGATGTCCTTAGATGTGTCCTACTATCGGTGTGCATTCCAGACGCCATCAACTAATTGCGTGGGTTGAATGCATGGAAGGCTCCTCTCACAATCGAGAATTACCAAAACTACGTAATGCAGGTCCACGTCGATGCGGACATGAAACCATCGAACCATTCTCAGTGTGTCTCCTCATTGCAATATACAAAGCTTGGATTTCCACAGCCCGTGAAACCGAGTGCGCTCGGTGCATGCATACCGAGAGCACAGCTCGTGAATTCACATCCCTGATCGGTAGGCCGTGCATGTACACACACCAAGTCCGATTTCTGCAGTGAGACAGATATGAATGACAAGAGGTGGGTTTACTGGTAGTCCCACAAAGCTGGATTTCCTGAAGGAAAGCACTAGCCTTAAGAAGTGAGATTCGTTTATATTATGTCACAGCGAGATATCCATCTCCACTATCTATGTAGCCCCCAACTGGGAACGAAGGAGGGAGGAAAATGGTCATGCGGTTTGCACACCGGCTTACCAGAAGATGCAGATGTTTTACCTCTGTGTTCCGCTTGCGGCTCGTCCCCTGGAATACTCTGTAGTACGGCAGACAATGCGGGCATACTTTTGGGTGTTGGCGCCCTGCCGACCCATGCACGGAACAGGCGATTGAGTACAGCATCCGCGTGGGGCAACCGGCCAGTAACGATGGCCGATATCTTCTGCTCGAGCGCGGGGAGGATGCCGCTGTCAAGGCAGTTGTCACAGAAGAACTCGACTTGTGTCTCCAACAGTTCCGGATACCTGTTCGCGCACATTGTAAGTTCAATACAAGCGCATCAACTATAAAAGGTATGATGAGAGCGACAAACCAGGAAGTGAATTGTGAAAATAGCTCATCTAGATTCATCCGGAGATCATTGGCAGCCAGGATCTTGAGCGCATCCATACCAAGCTAAGAGTGTCAATTTATCCCATGTTCGTTCTCGTGAGGCGACAACAGAGAACTCACATTATCGGCGAGACGGTACATGGACTTGGGCGAACCGTATGCTCGTCTCCGGGTTTTTGGAACAACCTCTCTGCGCAACGCAAGGCGTGACCGTGGTGGGTCCAACGGTGACAAGAGTGAGTTTCCAGTTTGCCCCGCTGTCCAAGTCAGTGCGGCTAAACATGGCCAGTTGCTTTCTACATAACGATGGAACATTGACCTTATAGTACCATGAAGATGCAGATCTCGCCGTCGCAAGTTTATCCTGACTAGTAATCACATCCTCACAGAAGCAGACGATGGGGATGCTTATGAATGGGGCCCGGGGAACAGAAGATAGCATGTCTCAATCCATTATTCTTTACGAACGCGGTAGAGGACCGCGAGGATTGGCCTTTGTCAAAGCACTTGAATGTCCGACTCGAGGATATCTAGGGTGAAAATCTAAAGTTACAACAATGAGAAATGACTTCTTCCGAGTCTGCCTCGTACACTGTCCTCAGCTCTTCCCAGACAGACCCAACCACTCATCCATTTTCTCCCAGACTACCCGCTGCTCATCCCTCCACTCCGCCGTTTTCTCCTCCACGCACTCTTGACAAAGGCCCTCTGCATGCCAGTCAAGTTTGATGATCGTCTCCAGTGTCTCAAGCGGGCGACAGAGGCCGTTGCTCTCAAGCGCGGGTTGGATCACGAGCGGCATCCACGCCTCCGCGAACACGTCTGTACACGCCATGTGGTGCGCGGTCGCCACGGTAAAGAGGATGGGTGTGAAATGGGCAATGAGCTCGTTCAGCAGCGCCTTGCACTGATCCGCCAGAGCGGGGGAGAGGTTTGGCCGTGGATCCCCCGAGCCAGAGTCTACGCCTATGATGCCTGGTGTCGAAGCGCCATCCGGGTCGTCGTGCTCCAGATTGGAGTTGGTAGCCAAGCTGTAAAATAGCGCCTTCTGGATCTGCCAGGAGTTAGATCGCGCTGAGACCCAGTTGTCGGAATGAGACTCACGGAATGCAAGTTATGCTCGACTGCTAGCGTGAGCGCTACATCTGGATCAGGCGGATGAACAAACGCCTCAGGTCCACTTGGCAGCATGCCCTCGAGCCGTCTCCGTGCAAGCTCGTGAATTGCAGGGAAGTCTAGCTGCCGCTTGGACGTTGCGCGCAGGACGGCAGCGACGCGAGGGAACGGCGCATCCGTATCCAATGGTCTACAGTAGAAAGCGGTCAACTGAAAGTGGGAGTCGGTACAGCCAGGATGACGATAAAGAAAGACTCACATGTCGTGGTAAAGGTGCTCGAGCAGCGCCTCCAGGTCGGCGCTCTGTACGCCTAGCTCGTCCGGAATGTGCACGATGGGACATCCATCGATATCTTCTACCGTCTGTACCCCATCGGACAGCGAGGACAGAACAATGGAATGGCGGACGAGGAGGGTGCGATGCACCTTGAAGAGATCGTTCTGCGTCCGAATCACAAGCGACCCGTCATCCAGCCAGTACTTTGCATGAGGGCGCGGCGAGGACATCGTCGCTGGAGTAGCCACTGCAGCGGTCGATGCACAGTCATTTGCCATGTAAAGAGAGCCTGCGGAGGTTAATGCAGGCAATGAACGGAGGATTCGGCTCCAGAAGCTTGCACTCATGGAAGATCAGTGCACACCACCACAACTTGCAACTGGGAAACTTGCGCCTAGCTAGCGCCACTGTGTGCACACTATATGGAAACACGGAAAAAAATGATATTGGGGTGCGTATCAGAGAGCGAGTGCTTGGACGTAAAATACTAGCGAACACATAGTGTACATACAGTGAGAGTTATTTATAACCCAGATAATTATCAGAGACGAAGTAATACTGAAATGCGCAGACGCCAACCGTGGAGATCTGGAATTCGAAGGCGAGTAAACGTTGAAAGAAGGTGAAATCGCTAGACTAAAGTATCCAAGGTCGTCCCGGAAACAATCGACTTACCCGCGCTGGTACTCACCAAGGCTGAATATGACTGGACTCTTAGAGAGATTCTCTCGTACGACATCTGCGTCAACTCATCAGTGAACAGTCGCGGGCTATCAGTGGGGTTGCACCGACATTCAGGGCATCAGACAAGACTCCATCGCCAAGGGTTGATGAACTAAGGGTGAGTATACACCACGTACACATTCGCGACGAACCTTCGATAATCATTCTGCGCGCGTATCAAGATAGTGTAGCAGAGAAAACGACCGACCGTACAGAGTAAGTTATAGCGACGAGACGAAGAAGCTATGGGAACGAAGAGGACAGCCAAAAAAAGACGTCGTACCGCATGTTGAACTGAACTCTCCCTCCTCTCCCTTCGCAGCGCGATAAACGAGTATGAGCACACGGGACCGGAACGGAAGACATATGATAGATGGACGGACTGGTGAGTCTCCATGTGCCCCGCAACGAGCCGTCTCGTCGCACCTGCCCTTCTGCTGAAATGCCCGTCCCCTACAGAAATCAATGAAGGCGAAGTCCATTACAAGAAATCTTCTGCGCGGGCTCTTTTCTTACCCCTGGCCTCCTCCTGCCCAGGCACGGCATGAGAATCACCAGACTTAGACAGCCCCTTCGGGAAATAATACTTGCGCTCCGAAGCGCGTTTTTCCTCCTGCAACAGGTGAGCAACTATATAAACATGAATGACGTGAAACCTTGCTCACTGGAGCGAAGTTTGCATCTGACCACTTAAGAACGGTCGCTTTCTTGAACGGAGGATTAGTCTGCGCTAAGGACGGATGTGGGAGTGTCAAAGGGGGCGGAGTGGTAGATACCGGTTGTGGCACCGCAGCCGGGGTCGCAACAGCGGGCAGAGCAGATACACCCGAGACGCGAAGCAGAGGAGGAGGGGAAACCGACGACCCAGGGGCTACGGGAGTTACTGGCATGGTAGGCGGAGTCGCGCCACTGGGTGGGAATGAAGGAACAACACCAGGCGGCAGGAAAGATGGAGGTGGGAAAGGCGGACGCATGCCGTGAGGGAAGGGTGCCGGGGGCATTCCAGGAGGGAACATGCCTGGGGGAGGGGAACCCGCGAACGGTGGCATCGAGAATCCCGGTGGAGGAGGACTGGGAGGAGATCAGAGTACTGATCGCCTACAAACAAAAGACTACTTACCCGGGAGGCATGCCCGGCATCCCAGGCATTGGGAACGGGGGAAGCTGTCCTGGGAAACCAGGCGGTATCGCACCAGGGACAAAAGGGGGCGCACCTAGGGGCATCATTGAAGGCATTCCTGGCGGCGAGGCTGATGGAGGTGGCATAACCGGGGCTGGCGGTGTAGCATACGCTTGCGGAGCACCATATACGGCGCCTGAAACGCCTTCCGGGGTCGCAGGGGCAGCAGTGGTGTCAGATCCTCCCATGAGCGCCTTGTGCGCTTGAAGCTGCACCCTCAACTCCTCCTCCGAGAGAGGACGGTTGTCAATTTTGGGCCGCTTGGACTGAGGTTGGCTGATGGTTCCTGGATTAAGACCTAGCTCTATTTCCTTACGTCGTTTGTAATCTGCAACGTCAGGCGCAGGTATACCCTCCATGCCGAAGATTTCGACTTCGTACCCATCCCTTCCAGGAAGAGCATTCTCGATGCGGGGAAGGCTACCACAAGTCAGTGACTACTGAGGGGCGCACACAAAGCCACTCACTTTTCGGGTTCAAGCTTGTGGACTTGCTGTATGTGCACTGCCAATCCACCCGCGGTGTTCAGACGCCGAGGACATAGATTGCATTTGAAGTGCTTAGCCTTCTGATGCTGCATTAGAACTTCGTGGCGTCAGCTTCTCCCTTTCGCGCTGTACCAGACAGTGGGCGTACCCTTTTCATCCTCGAACTCCCGCTCACAGTACCAACACCATGGCCGAATAATCTAGAAAGAGAAGAAGTATGAGCTAAAACATGCGCAGAACTGCGTTTTTACCTGTTTGCTCTTCTTCTTCGCCATGTCGAGGTTGGGGGTATGGTGGTGAGTTTGTGTGAGAAAGTTTGGTATCAGCGACGGCCGACAGCAGTCGGCATCCTTCGCCGCCGGAGCGGAATATCAATCTGCGGCCCGGGTGGCTGTGCCTGGAGTGGCACCATAACCTGCTGTTTACCGCTTCCTGCGTCGCGTCCAGGAACAAATGGCGTGGAGAACTCTAACAGACTCCTATAGCGGTGGGCTTAGAACATAAAAGCACAAAATCGACGTGAAATTTGGCACTTCATCATACCGAGAATCTTCTATTCAGCACTGCCAGCCGCTATGATTGGAGACTCACTTCCGGAATACATCTTCATCCAACTTTCCATCTTCTTTCTCCGTCTTGTCGCACCTCTCAGCATCCTCTATACCCTCGCCAGCTGGTATTCTGGACAACTTCTATTTTCCCCGTGGCTGGGATACTACTCACTCACTGAAGCCGCTTTCTATCTTTGCGTGTACCTGCCGAGGAATGTGTACTTACAGAAGGTGGGTTTTCGAGCCAACGACTGTTCCGTCTGGTGTTATGCGCATCCCGTGAAGTCGCATCTTTGCATTTCTCGCTGAATCAGAGGATTCAGCGACCAGGAAGCTAGCTATTTCTGCGGCATTACAGGGAACAAAGCACACTGTCCCGTCTGAGACGAAATACAGCTGAAGTATTTTCGGTCACTGTTTGCCTCGGATGCGTGTTTGCGGTGGATTTTCTGGCGTCTTGGTGGTCGGGCGTTTGCATTTGTCTGTGAGGGTTGACATTTTTTAACTTTGCTCATTGCCTCCATGTAGACTGTCGAACGACCCCCTCTGCTACCTCGATCGGAGCGCGAGGCACTCTTCACCAAGTGCTTCTCCTCCGTACGGGACACGGACATGGCTACAGGCTGGTTCTACTCTGTCCCGATATCCGCTATCAAACGGGACAATATGATAGAATGGTTATGTTGGGCGCTCTTCGGCACCCGCAGGGACGGCCTGCTGAAAGAGTGGGAAGAGGAAATTGAAGGATACCTAGCGAAAATAGAGAATTTCCAGGGTCACAAGTATGAATCCGGGTGGAACAATGCAGTTCAGTGCATGAAGGTCTCGCTAGATCCGGTTGTCTCGTTGCATCGACCCCTCCTCTGGTATCTTGTGAGTCGATGCACATTATACCATGCGTGATATATTTCTAAATCAAGCGGGGCAGATTGTCGCAGTCGTTGATACTTATACAGGACTACTCTTGACCTTCGCTGGCTTCCGACACTTTGGCAATACCAAATCACTGTGCTGCTTCCCTCCTAGATTGGCCGCCTTGTGCTCACAGCGTTCCCCGGATCCTGATATTGTGTACTGGTACCGCCCACATCGCTCCAAGACGAAGTTGCCAATACTCTTCCTTCATGGCATCGGAGTTCGTGCTTCCAATTCCGTTCCTCTCATTTTCCAAATTGACATGGCGTACCAGATTGGTCTTTGGCCCTACTGTGCCTTCCTCAACGACATCATCGCGGCTGATCCGGATGTGGGCATTATCGCCATCGAGAACCTCTGCATCAGTATGCGGATCTACGAAGCCCCACTAACTCGGGACGCCATGCTCGCCGCGATCACGCGTATACTTGACTTCCACAACGTCACGCGCGTTGTCGTGGCAGCGCACTCCTATGGCACCATCCCCGCAGCGCACCTCCTGCGCGACCGGGTGCTCAGCACCCGCATCGCGGCGTCGCTCCTCGTCGACCCAATACCCTTCCTCCTCCACCTCCCCGCCGTCGCGTACAACTTCGTCTACCGCAAGCCGCGCACGGCTAACGAGTTGCAGCTTTGGTATTTCGCGAGCCGCGACCCGGACATCTCGCGTACACTGGCGCGGCATTTCTTCTGGTCCCAGAATCTGTTGTGGAAGGAGGATCTGGATGGCAGACGGGTAGGTGTTGTGCTAAGCGGACGGGACCAGGTTGTCGATACGAGAAAGGTGCGGAAGTACCTGACTGGCCAGGACGATTTGCAGTTCAGGTGGCGCGATCACACGCTGGAGGTGCTGTACTATCCCGACATTGACCACGCTCAGGTTTTTGACACCAAAGAGCGGCGGAAACCAATGATTGATATCATATCCAGGTTTGTGAAGACTAACGCTCACTCCTAGACACAGGACTCGTAGACTCGATATCCATGCCACAGTCACATTTTTGACTCTTATGACTTGTACTTATATCTGTAATCTCCAAGCGCACTTTCTCAAGAGACGCGCATGTATATACATGATACCAATGTCAGGGACCCACGTTAGACAGTAGAATGATAGATAGCAATACAACAACAGTGTCCTAGACGCGTACACATATGGAACAAAGGGCAGTGAGATTTCAGAAATCACCGGACGCAGGCGCAGACCTGTCAGTAATCACCTTCCAATCAAGCCATCCTGGTCTTCTTCCTCGTATGCCCACTACCAGCGGCACCTCCACTGAGACTCGCAAAGCTAGCCACGCTCCCTGCTCTTCCTGAATGAGAGTGTGAATGACTGAGCTGCTGAGACAGGTGTGCGTGGCCTTGTGCCTGCACCTGCGAAATCGGCGCCTGGGCCATTGAATTGGCCGCAGGAAGGGGTAGCATAGAGGCCGCCTCATCCTGTGTGATGCGCCGTTGCGGGGGTAGCTCCCTCGGGGGAAGTGATTGGAACGCGCTACGACAACGAATATTATCAGCATGCGTCGGGACCATCCAATAAAAGACACAGCTCAAATTCTGAAGGTAAGACGACAAGAGCCTCGTCGTTTATGCGGGTAGGTGTCTCGACGCATCGACGCGAACGCATTTCGCTCGGAACCATGCATTCTATGATGTCATGAATGGTATCAAGATACCCACTTTTTGGTCGGCAAAGGGTCTTCTTGAAACCATTTGTGTTGGAGAGCTTCTTTCGCAGTGAGGCGACGGTCCGGATCGTATGCAAACAGCTGGCGTAGGAGATCATGGGCTCCCTGAGATCTTATGCGTCCTTGGCACCATTCAAGTAAATGATTAGAAAATCTGCAGAACACCTCAGTACGCAAAAGAGTCGTAGCGATGCGCGCTCACACATCGAGACGTTTCATATTCTGATACTCAGGTAAGTCCTTCAGACCAGGCCATTCTTTCTCTAAGATATGTAGTGAACCAGTCTAGTCGTGTTGAGACAGAGTGCCACAAATGACACGAACCATCTGGTGTGCCCAATACCTCGAAGATCCGGAGAAGCTGGTCCTTCTGGAATGGCACATTTTTCTTCGAGTCTAACTTCGCCTCCTCACCTTTAAATATCGGTCGCAGGCTGGCAAGTTCCGCCATGACGCATCCGACAGCCCAGATATCGATTGATTTGTTATAATGTTTTGCACCGAGCAGTAGCTCAGGTGCACGATACCATATCGTCACAACGACCTTATCTCCAGCAAATAGTGGCTGAAGGGGCTGATGAGTCAGTCTGGCCAATCCAAGGTCCCCGATCTTGACGACACCAGAGGAAGTAATGAGGATATTTGCGGGCTTGAGGTCACGGTGAATGATATGTGCTTCGTGAAGATACAGCAATCCATTGAGAAGTTGATATGTCAGCGACTTTAGAACTGGCAAGGTTATACCCGATCGAAGGGTCTGCGAATGATGGTGGATGACTTGCTATACAAGTAGAGGGCTCAATAGCGCGTGAAAAAGGTAGTGGAATGAGCGCACTAGGAAGTCATGTTCCGTATACTCAAATACCATGTAAATAGACTTGTCTTCCAGTATGACCTCTTTCAATGAAACGACATTCTCATGGGATATCTCCCTATTGAGCTGTGGTACATAAATTAGAGAGGGAACAACGAGCGGAGGGTCAACAACATCGCTTACCGCGATTTCCCTTATTGCACTCTGGCTGATACCGGTGTAGGTAATAACGTCGCCTTCCTTGTCCGGCTTGAATTTTTTGATGGCATGAATTCGTCCGTCACTTTCCTTGCTTTGCGCCTTGTACACCCTCCCGTACGTTCCTGATGAGATGAAGCCTAGGATGGAGTATTTATCGGTGACACGCCGTCGAGCAGCCTCTCGCTTCGCACGGTATATGAGCATTGGGTCGCTAACAAGCACATTCGGAGACCATTCCTCAAGCATGGTGTTGTAGTTAATAAGTTATTGGTGGGCTTCCGAGGAGCTCGAAGGATATCTCGGTGAGTTTGGCTGTGCCCGAGTCACGTGCAGAGGTGAGTGACGACCGTCCGGCGTCCGTCTGCCCAGTACTACTGCAGCGTGTCTACGCGACGCGCCTTCGTCCACATTTGCAAGCCTTTGATCTTCAGATCATTTCCTATCATGTCCCATTCGCAGGAGAGCTTCATGTTTACGGTGGGGAAGCTAGGTTCGTAAATTAATCGATTATGAAGGTGCGCGAAGTAACGTCAACTTGCAGATGCTGGGATGGCTGTAAGCTTCAAGTTGCACATCGATAGACTGCATTGAAAATACACCGCAAAATAGATTCTGCTCGGAGAACGTGCACATCTCATCGAATTCCCTTCCTTGTTGCTGCCACCCGGCGCAACTACAGGATCTATTGTCAACATTTCTGTGACACAGAACATCAAGGAAGAGAAGAAGCGAGATGCGGAATTTTGGAATCTGCAAAATGATATTCTCTCTATATACGGCACGACGTCTCCGGAGCATCCCAAGTTAGAAGTGAGTGCTTCGCTTTTCTACTACATTTGTGACTGGACTTGGTCCAGGTTCGGAACGTTACTCAAACCTCCGTTACGCTCGAATGGCCGCAACTCCAACTCGCCACGGCTAAGCTACGCTCACTGGATATCTACCGTAATCGCCAACGTCTTGCCGCTATTCCTTCGCCGCTCACAAACACATCCACGAAATTGTCCGGCTTACAACTCGACACCGAATATACCTTCCAGCTTATTCTGCGCACCACGGCAGGCACATTCCCATCGAATCTCCTCCGCCTTCGCACGCACATGATGACTGACACATCCGGCATCTCCGTGTGCTTCGGAAACGTGCAGGATGCCGTGCTACTGGAGAATGCGAAGATGGCCTTACGGGAGATGGGGGCAAAATGGAGTGACAAGATACAAATCGATACCACTCACTTCGTGTGTACAACGCCCGCGGCTACACCCGACGGTTCACAGGCAACAGGTGGCATAACGACTGCTCCAGGCGTAGAGTACCAGAAAGCGCTCCAACTCAGTATACCCGTCGTCCAGCCGCACTGGATTCTTGCCTGCCATACGGAAAAAAAGTGCGTACTCGGTCCATGCTCTTCCTCTTCTTTCTCTCACAAGTGTGCAGGATGATGCCCATACATTCATACTACCTCGGCAAGGAGATCGGTTCAAAGACATCATTCTCCCGCCACCAGTCAATGTCGCAAGCGAATTTGTCCTCGCCTTCGCGGGACTCTGTATCACCCACGAAACATGCCGTGAGTCGCCAATCGATGCCACCGCAGCAGCGCCCAACGCCAACTTCGCCAACCTCGAGCTTCGTTCACCAGTCCGCAAAGCGCGGCACGCCCGAGTCCCCGGCGTTCGCGCCGATGCCGGAGGAGCAAGGTGAGGAGTCGTTCGAGGGGCAACAGCACGAAGTTCGGCGCCCAACGCATGTGCGCACGGGCACGATGAGCAAGAACTTCCGCTTTCCGTCGTCTGCCCCGCACGAAGCAGGGTCTCTACCTGCTAACCCGCTCCCCCCTGCTTCAGCGTCTCCGCCGAAGGATGACGCGCCCACGCCGGCACCTTTGGTCGCACCGGCCCCTGCGCAAGCGGTAGACGTGGAGGATGCCGGTCTTGCTGCAGTGGGCGTGGTTGGCCCGTCGAGTGTCGAAGTCCCGCCCCCACCTCCGGTAGATAAGGAGCCGATGAGCAGCCAATCTGTGGATGACGAAGTTGGAGAGACGGAGGAGATATCGTTGAATTAGTTATTCACCCTCGTTGCTTTTAGGAGTCTCTATTTATTGCCCTCTTACTTCTCCTCCTGCATCCTAATGGTACATCCACAAACCGATGAATAAATCGTAACGTCGGGTGAACCAGAGATATATATTACGGCGGATTGTAAGTGCGACTGATGTATTAAAAGGAGATCCATAACAACTGGAAGGCAGCAAAACGATCGAGCTAGAGGTCAAACCGACACGAGAAACCATTAATACGCAAGGTCCACACACTTCCCCTCCCACTTGTCCCACTCGGCCAGGGCGCCTTCGACGATAAAATGAGCGACGTCCTGTCGCGAGATCGTATACCCTCCGAGATCATGCTCTGCCGCCTTATAGGGTGGCTTATCGTCCTTCTGCCTATCCCCCTTGCACGACTCTCCCATAAGCAAGGCCGGGCGCAGCACCACAACGTGCTTCAATTCGCCCTCCGCGGGGAGGCCGGGCAGACTAGTCCAGTCTGCACTAAGGATTGCTGCGCGAGGCTCCTGGTCTATCCACGGTCGCCTGGCACAGTACGCGAGCACGCGTTCGAGGCCGAGTTTGTCCTTGTGCGGGCCATCCAGGAAGAATCCGTAGAGCGGCTTCAGCACGAAGGGGAGGTTGCCGTGCGAGGCGCGCGTGATGCCTGTGGACGACACGGCGATAATACGGGGCTGCGTGGCCGGGGCGCGCTGCTCCACAGGGATAGTGCAAAGGACGTTGAGCAGCGTATGCGTGCAGATGTTCGGCGGGTCGAGCAAGAAGCCCTTCGAGAAGCTGAAATGCGGGATCCCACCTGCGGGAAGTAAGTGTCTGGATAGGGGGGTCGGGACGGCATGCGTACCGATGGTAAATAACAGCGTGTCGACGTTCTGTCCGCCTTCGCGGGCTGTCTCCCAGCCGTGTTGCACGTCTGCAACGTTCAGCGCGTCTCCCTTGACAATGCGCGCCTTGCCTGATGTGACATATTTCTGGATAAGCTCGTCGTCGTCGAAGACTGCAGGGTTGCGCATGAGGAATGTCACGGTTGCCCCTTTACCTATTCAGCAGATCAGACGCATTCTGAACGGAAAGTAAACAACTAACGGAGCAGCCTGACAGCAGAATAGTACCCAATGTTCTTCGAGGCTCCAAGGGCGTAGACGTTCATGGTGGTTGACTTGAATGAAAGAAGGGGTAAGCGGGACGTGTACTAGTTAGTAGTCGATCGATCTGCGAGAACTGATTTTATACTGCCATCCTGAGTGCTAACGATCACTTTCGTAACATATGTCATAGCGCCAACGGATAGCACAGCCCTGTGATCTGGATGTCAACACTGCGCTACTGCGAGAGAACTGCGGGGACGACGCGGCTGTACATGCCGCCCATGGACGCGCACACCTGTCGGAGAAATTCACCACTGCTAGCAGCTACGCTCGGGACTGCGCTCATGATAATGCCGGTTCGCAATTTCATGAACGAATGTTCAGCGCCACGGCAAGCAAGAAGGGTCAAGAGAGAGTCACGACGTACATCGTACCTCAGATACTAGCTAGCTGACCGCGATACCGGATAACGTACGTGAGCTCCACAAAGTTGACAAGTCCGCCTTCCAGGTCTACGTCAGCGATGGCATTGCTGGAAGAAATGACGAAGCAGTGTTCTACTTTCCGTCTGTTCAAAACACACTGACGGGACAAATTATACAGATATACGCCATGCAGTGCACGCATTTCTCTTGGCATGCGCCCAGCGGGCGCGGACTTTCGACATTTCCGACACCACATTCGTGCCTGATCAGACGTTCTATTCAGCGCGTACTAAGGCAAGCTTTCCTAATGATGTGACTCCTTCGCAATCTGTGCCGCGTAGGGGTTACGAGGATCCTTTGCATACGTCTCCGCTGCGGAAGGCAGTATCGTCAGTCATGCATACATACGTGGCTGCCACGCAGGCAGAGAACACTCACACTTCACACCCGCATCCTGCGCCAGCGACACCAGGTAGAACGTAATGGATCCGGCCGCGATGAAAGGCCACAAGGGCCGGGCAACCTAGAGAGCGATGGTGGGTTAGCGGACGCAGACATTACGGTGAGAAGAACATGCAGGAGTTGGCCACTTGCGAAGACCCAGGAAGCTCATGGTAATGTACTGGACAAGTCAAAGACGCTCAGTATACGGGAAACCTCCGCCAGTTCGATGGGGCAGTGAGCGCACCTCTGAATATGGTGTCGGTGTCGAAGAAACTGGTGCGGTTGGGCAAGAGGCGGTCTGCGATAACAACCGTATTATCGGGGTTTCAACAGCAGAGTAAGAAGCTTCTGTCTTTCTTACTCTCTTACAAATTACGTAGAAGCCTTCCGGGGACATCCGGCTTCGGTTCCCGCGAGATCTTAGGCCAGATCGGATGCACCAAAGGCCTCCTCCCGTGCGAGATCTCCTTGCAATGTACTTGGACACCAAGAGGAATGTTACTTAGGATACTTGGGTAGATTTTGGTACTTTTTGAACCCCCATGAGCGCTCAGGATGTTGCCCAAGAAATTTGGACTTTGAGTGGGTTTCACACCTTTCCAGCCCTCAGAAACCGTCCAGTTGAAGCCGGTCTCTGATGATTTTATAAGAATAGCTCACATAGTACAACTGCATGTAGAAAAAAACTCTGAGGCAAAATGTGCAAAAATGAATGAGAAAAAGCTAAATGACTCAAGGAGTGATAGTGCCTCCGAGTCAGGGACCGGTAGATGACCGTAACTCAACTAAACAGTCCGTATATTTGAGGACCGCGACACAACCATAGTCTATGGAAAATTTGCCGCAACGCCAATCAACCCTAAACGTACTTATGAGTGTGATCTTACAACACTCTTAAGAGGTCGAGAGCATGTATGAGCATATAGTATGCACATTGCACGAGGAACAATGAGGTGGGCTGATCCATGTCCTCCACCTCCGAAGGAGAATGCACTTCCCGCATCCAGAACGGGCCTAGAGGAAAGTGTTCGTGTTTGTGTTGTGCCACGAAAATTCGCGGAATCACATCATGGGGTGTGGTAGTCCAAATGCCCAATACGCCAAATGTTGATCTGATTCCACCAACTTGGACAAGCTACTTATAAGATCGCACAAATGTAGGTGTTCAACATCATCTTTGTTGTGCGCAGGCGGAAAGCAGGACCGAACGGTGAGACGCACCTCCAAATGGCATCACCATGTCCTCCTGAATTCTATTGAGCGGACCGTCAGATTGTGGATAGCTCGACAACGAGACACAAACTCACAAAATGCCACTGTATCTGGTTGTCAGACGTTACTCTGATCCAACCGACAATCGTCGCCATATCATTGACCTCCCCGGCGATCGCGATGATGGGACGACCAGGACGATCTGGCTCTGGCTGTGTGCCGATGACACGCAACTTGACATTGACGGTGCGGAAGACAAGCGGAAGACAGCGGAAGACATCGTTGAAGCGGATCGTCATCAGACATCTGGCAATGCTCGCTGAACCTCGTCTCGTCGGGAAAACTATCATAACTTACGTTTGTGTTGTTGTAAACTGCAGACAAGTCAGTAAAGGAACCTCATGTATGAAAGATGGCAGCCTACGGAGAAGGACATGGTAGTCATAAAAACAGAAAGAACACACCCAAAGACCTGCCACTCTGGCCCGATCCTGCTCATGGTCGAGGTCTAGATGATGTGGGATGATACTCTGGCAATCAGGCAGACTCATTGGGAAGATCGTGAGCACGGAGGCATCCGACCCCGATCTCCACTCCGGCTCCGCCAGGACAACGTGCATGGACATGACATGGCGGATCGCCTGTAGATGTACCCAATTCACTCGTCTGCTGCCATCCATCATGAACGGATCGAAATCATCCTCGTACTTGTAGTGCCGCATGGCATATACATGCTGCTTCCTGCTCTGACTGTAATAGTCGGCACTAGTGAGACCAAAGTACGTGTGGAGGCGCGCACGAAGTTGCTTCTCTTCTTCAGAAATTTCCCAATGTTCTTCAACCAGATAATTGCCTCCGCGCAACAGAGCAGCCACCCACGCAAGATTTAGGGCGAGATCGTCGCCGAAGACACTCGGAGCCGCCGGGAGGTTACAGACAATATCAAGGGGAGTGTAAACGACTGTGCATCTTTCCTCTTCGTGACAATGACCTGGATGGCAGATAATTGTCCTGGCTCTGATGGTCCGCTGGAGCTTCGCTATCCAGTTAACCTCCGGTATCGGGTGCCCCAGCTCGTTCAAGCATCGCCGTCGGTCGTCTAACGGTTGCAATAGATATAACCTGCGCCAGTGAAGTCATAGATGATTGAATGCAAATCAGAGCAGGTTTGAGCGAGAGAGCCGATAAAGAGGGGATCGAGTTCAAGCAGGATCTGCTCTATGACCTCTGATGGTAAATCCAGTGAAGTTGGCATCGCCTTACACGCTGTATTCGTCTCTGACTAGGTAATAACTGTTTATTAGGTTGAGCCCATGTAGGATGCGACACGCACCGCCATGACTTGTTTCTGTCAATATGTATCAGGAACCAATGAAGACTTCTCTCTGAGGAAAGTCAGAATAAACCGAGCCAGATAACGCCTCTAATTTTAATGGAGAGAACATACCGGACAGAGAACGTATACCGTGAGTGGGACTGCCAGCCGGTGTCTAAGACGACGGGCTCGTCTACTGAATGGAATTTCTAATAATATTAATTTGACCATAAGTGACGAAAACTACTATCCCTCAAGTCACGCCGTTTGGCATGTCGGCGTGACAAAATCGTGACAATGCGTGATTTTCCGCCGAAAACAGAATTCAGTCAATGTTCCACCGTCCGCCGTCATTCACGTTCGCAAAAGTTTGAGATAAGCCAGTACAGACATATATCAAGAAGGTAAGCAGTGGGACTGGAGACGGGCGAGATATGCTGAGGTGCCGATGTGACCGTAGGCTTATAATAAAGATAATTTCAAAATACCTATACATCAGCAAAACCCAACTTTTTCTTACAGAGCTATTTTGACTTTTCGGTCTTACAACCCTTATTTAAGGCAATAAGTCTTCAAATAAGTGTCCATAAGTCTGATTTCAGACACTCATGTAATATGCATTAGGCCCCTTTTTGACCTTATACCCTTAAATAAGGATCATAAGTCCATTTAAGTCATTTAAGTACCCTTTTAAGTAAAAGTTGGGTTTTGCTGATGTAGGCTAAGTTAGCCTATAGGTATTTTGAAATTATCTTTACTATAGATACACGATAAATCCGGGCAGATTATTGCCGCGGTTCTCGCTAATTGACATGCACGCTTGTCGTTGACGTTCGTTGGGCTCTGTGTACACAGTTCTGAACGAGATCTGAGGTCTTAAAACCTCCACGCGTCCCTATTATATGGTACTCTCAAAGCAAAACTCACAACGGCAGTGACCAACCTTCGAACATCTTGACTTTGGGCAGGTGTAGCCACAGGACTTTGAATCTTTGGCACCTCGCTGTGCTCGGTAACTATGACGGCGCAACCTGTAGCAGCAGCTCCAGCAGTGAGTCTGCACCATAGCATACCATACGTGTTGGTCTAATATCGATAAAGTGGAAGTTCTCGTTCTTCGATGCCGCACCAGTGAAGGATGTCCATGACCTGGGAAGCTCTCCTGAAATATTCAGGGTGCGCCGTGCTTAGTAACTTGTTGAGTTTGACCAACACGCATGCGCAGAAAGCCCCAGAGATCTCTGCGGTTATTTCGACCACTGTAGGCTCCCTCGTTGCAGACATCCATGGAAGCGTGTACCAGCTCAACCGTGACTTTGAGACCACGAGGAGTTGGCTAGCGCACACCGGCGGACGCGTGACGCACATGGCCGAGCGGAAGAGCATTCTCATCACGCTAGGTGAGGAGGACTCGGCGCGCCATCCATTCCTGAAGGTATGGGATCTCGAGAATGCGGATAAGACTGGTGCGCCCACCCTCCTGCGCTCTACGAAAGTTCAGAGTGGTAACCGCCCTCATCCCGTAAGGCGACATACTTGACCAGAGTACACTTTTCTCATATACCTGCAGGTGTCTACCATAGCGCTTTCGGCTGCTCTTTCATTTCTGGCAATTGGTCTAGGTGACGGGACTGTACTACTCTACCGTCATCTCGACCAATCCATTTTCTCTGGATCAACCTCACTCACCTCCCTCCCGAAACCGCGCGTCATCCACGAGTCGCCCGCGGAACCTATTACGGGGCTCGGGTTTAAGGAGCCAGACGAGGACAACCCGAATGTGTACCTCTTCATCGTCACCACGAACCACGTGCTCACATACCAGGCATCGGGAAAGGGCAGCGGAAGTGCGCCAGCGGTAGTGGACGAGGTCGGGTGTGGGCTTGGCTGCGCGACGATGGACTGGCGCGCCAAGAACATGGTCGTGGCAAGGGATGAGGCCATCTATGTCTGCGGTATTGAAGGGCGCGGGGCGTGCTATGCATATGAAGGTGAGTTCGCGCTCCGCATAGCAACCTCGAGCTGACCCAGTACCAGGATCGAAGTCGCTGGTTCATACACACCTAAACTACATGGTCATCGTCACGCCACCATTCGTACCCACTGCGTCTGCTGCTTCTGGGACTGTACGGGATTTTGTCGCGAAAAGCAGCGCGGGAAGTGTTCCTAAGGCAGACATCACAAAAGTCACTATCTTCGATCTGGAGAACCACTTCGTGGCATACTCTGGAACGTTCACCGAAGGAGTGCGTGCAGTGATTTCAGCATGGAAGAAGATCTATGTACTCTCGAATGACGGGAAGGTGCGCATTCTTTCCATATGCGTGCAATTCAGTACCTAGATCTTCACTATAGCTTTCGTGCCTTGAGGAAATTCCGACATCTGCGAAGTTGGATATGCTCTACCGCAAGTCGCTGTACCATCTGGCGCTGAATCTTGCGGAGACGCAGCACCTGGACCAGGCGAGCGTCGCGGACATACACCGGCAATTCGGCGACCATCTATATACGAAGGGCGACTATGACGGCGCGATGCAACAATTCGTCAAGACGATCGGGAACGTCCAGCCGAGCTACGTCATCCGTAAGGTCGGTCTCGTCTCTTGCCTTCTATTCCGCGACTCACCTTCACCGATTGGTGTATACAGTTCCTGGATGCCCAGCGAATACACAACCTCGTAACGTACCTGCAGGAGCTGCATGCTCTTGGACTTGCGAACTCAGACCACACCACCCTGTTGTTGAACACATACACGAAGCTCAAAGACGTCTCGCGCCTAGACAGCTTCATCAAGCGCGAGGCACGCCGAGCTTCGGATGGTGGGAAGGACGAACTTCCGTTCGATCTCGATACCGCTATTCGGGTATGCCGTCAGGCGGGCTACTTCGAACACGCATCATATCTGGCGAAGAAGTATGAACGCCACGAGGATTATCTGCGGATACAAATTGAAGACGCAGGGAATTACAAGGATGCGCTCATGTATCTCCGACGACTCGGCACGGAAGCGGTGCGTAGGCTGCATGTGATCTTCATCGTAGTGTTTAGTCTCATGGTAGTCGCAGGCAGAAGCGAATCTGGCACGGTACGGCCGGGCCATGCTGGATAGTCTCCCCGAAGAGACTACCCAGCTCCTCATGGACATCTGCACGAGCCTCGCTCCACTTTCCATAGAGGCAGAAGAGCAACAATCCCCTGCAACTCGCCAGCCCAGTGCAGCTGCTCCCTCGTATCTCTCATATCTTGCCATAAATCGTGGCGCACCATCCGCCTCCTCTGAGACCGCCGTTCCGTCGTCAGCCTCCATGACCACTGTAAGACCGGGTGACCCAATCCCTCCCTCTCGGCGGGACTCGCTGCACGACGTGTCGCGAGTGTCCACGCCACCGCCGGGAACACCAACAACCGCAACGCCCGCAAAAGCACGCGCAACGAGCGTCAAACGACCGTCCCCTAAGCTCTATTTTGCGCATTTTGTCGACCACAGGGACCACTTCGTGCGATTCCTTGAGACCGTCGCGTTGCGCCGGTGGGGCCAGAGTACTGACGCGCCAGAGGTCGCGGTGGAGGCCGACCCAGATGCGGACGAGCAGGCGGAGAAGCGCGACCAGACCGCAGTGTGGAACACATTGCTTGAACTGTACCTTGAGCAAGCGGACGCAAACGCCGAGGCGGAGTCGGGTGGCGGGAAGGTACTGAGTGTGTTGCAAAGTACAGTGCCGTACGATCCTACGCACGCGCTCATACTTTGCTCCACGCGCTCGTTCACGCCCGGGCTCGTACTCCTGTGGGAGCGGATGGGCATGCACGAAGACGTATTGCGGTTCTGGATGGAGCGCGCTCGCGAGGGCGCCCCGGGGGCATCGGCAGAGGTTGTGCACCGTCTCGACACGTATGGCGAGGCACGGCCACAGCTGTATGCGCTCGTGCTACGCTTCCTGACGTCCACACAAGAGCTGCTTGCTGCGCACTCCGCGGACGTCCAGCGGATATTGCGACATGTGGACGAGGCGCACATCATGCACCCGCTCGGCGTTGTACAGGTGCTGAGCAGGAACGGCGTGACAAGCGTCGGGCTTGTGAAGCAGTGGCTGATCGAGCGTATCACACAAGGGCGGGACGAGGTCCAAATGGTATGTTATCTTATTGTAAACTCGTGTTGTGAGATAGCGGCGTGATGACATGGTATGATACAGGACCAGCAACTCATTAGCTCGTACAGATCAGAGACACAGGCAAAGCTGAAACAGGTCGAGGAGCTTTCAGACCCAGACCGGCCTCGCGTCTTCCATGTTACCCAATGTTCCGCATGCGGCGGGCAGCTCGACCTTCCGAGCGTGCACTTTATGTGCAACCATAGCTATCACCAACGGTTCGTGTGTCCAGTCCATCTCAACCCTGGCGATCCTGATTATATATCTCAGGTGTCTCCCTGAGCAAGACACTGAATGTCCGAATTGTGCACGGGCGCATGCACTGGTGCGCGAGATTCGCCGTAACAACGCGCGCCTCGCTGGCCAGCACGAGCTGTTCCTTTCAGAAGTGCGCGAGGGTGGATTCGCTTCGCTAGCCGCCGGATTTGCTCGGGGTTCAATGAACGTGGCGGCGTTGGATGATGTGGATGCTCTGGCATAGCAGCTGTATATTGCCATAATACCTTCCAGATATATTTTTCGTGTTTTCCTCTGGTTCTGGCTCGTTCTCATATCCATGCATGTGGGAATCCTCTTCATCAGCTAGAAAGACACAGTTTTTCGAGTTCCAGTTGCGCACGCGCACTTTGACGTGCCGAATAAGGAGCGCCGAGTGGTTGGAGCTTCCAGGAAACCCAAATATTGGGTTAAGGTTTCTCTGTGTCTACTTTCTCCTTATACGGCAAGTTCCTACCCAAATGCAGTAAGTACTTCGCGTCCGTCCTGCTGAAAGCGCCTACGTCATCATGCTTCACTTACTTCATCTACGTTCTAAACGAGCGAAACAGAGAGGGCGGAAACGGTGGGGGCAGTTCAATTTGGGGATCTCAGATCTCAGCATCTGTATATAAGGTGGTCATCCCGCCTTCGAAGGGCCCTCCATCTTTCCCCCCTTCTTCCATCATCCAACAGCTAATTGAATGCGCCTATAACCGTCGTGCGGCTCAACGCTTCTCAGTTCTACTCAGGAATAAATCTATATGATTTTCCCTATCATGCAGCCTGCTTCACTCCTTCCGACACGAGCGATATCAGCGGACGGGCATAGTAACATATTTATTCCTCATATGTATTGGACAGACTACTGTACTTGGTAATGGGGCAAGCTTCTGGATCGTCCCAGAATTATGGAATACGGTGAGCAGTATCATTCGAGTCAAACGACCCTGCGTCACTGCGATTGAGTAACCAAGGGGAACTGGTGGCGCGCATACAAGGGATGATTTCAATCGCAGACTCGAGAACAGTGCTCATAGTCGCATATCGAAATTTCAACGGTCATGAATTCTTTTGTGCACCATTTTGCATACTTACTCTCTCCGGAACGGTTGGCAGGATTCGTACGATGAATTTTACAAGCGGCACGTCATGCAGGCACGCCAACGCGTCACTTCCTAGACAGACACCTGCCGTTGTAGCCATTGTTGGTTGGACCTACTCGTACGGCATATCGACGTCATTGCGCTGCCCAAGCCCAGCTGACACTAGCACGATCCCTCACCTCGTTGCCCGCATATCGGGCCAAGCAGTCCAGACATGGTTCGGAGATGCCACAGTGTGACTGGCGGTCATAGAGAGGCTACATCGGAGTCCTAATCGACGAGTGGAGTCACCGCACTTGGCATTTGTCTACGCGTCACTGTGGACCTTACGCGGGAGAAAGGTTAGCAAGCATACAGCGTGGGCCCAGGTACGGTAGTGTGTTGGTATTGGGTGTGGAGCGGCATATGACCGACACTGCTGGCGAACAGGGATCCGAATTCCGGAAGGGCCCAATGGGTGCACGATGCATAGCGGTTCGCGGCATGAACGTTCATCCGGGCTGCTGGGATGGCCATGAGGCTTGCTGCCGCTCGATGACAGACGCGTGCAAGTTCCGGAGCTGGTTGAGATAGACTAGGACGTTAAGGGAAGAACGTTCAAGCGGGAGACCGGTACGTCCTCCGGTTGTGCAATTGTTGAGGGGATATGTACTGAAATACGAAAGGCCATGAGCGATATTCTGGGGACTTCGTTGACTTCAAGTACAGCATCGCGCTCTGCTCGCTGGAAGAGGGGAAGGCACTCTCCCGCTACCGAACGGAGTCGAATACGACACAGAGTGAAGCGGGCGAAAGCGCTTCGATACCTCAAAACATCCAACACCCTGCGCTCACCTGACCAACATGAGCAAATTGAAGAACAAACGTCACAGAGCAATCGGTCATTCTGCAATGAATGACGTCTCGGCAACTGGAAAGAAGACGGAGAGATCTGCTCACTGGCACGATCCGTCCATTCCGTTCGACCCCAGTTATGTAGCCAATCGCCATCCAAGGTGCTGCTGGCCCTCGGTGGACACTCCGGGTATGCTTGATTACGAGCCAGATTGTCGCGAGGCGTACCACCGCGCTGCGAGCTGCCGCCGGCTAGCGGCCTGATAACAGGTCATTGCTTGTAGTTCGCTCTGACATCGTGAGTAGTCAGGGGCCGTCCTCGAAGTTGATGCTGATGAAGGTGTGCTGCATGATACGTCAGATGGTGGTAGACATAGACAGAGGTATGACGGGGTGGTACGACGCACCTGCTCCGGATGTCGATACAGCACACAAGGACAAGCCAATCGCATACGCTATCGGACGGTCCAGAGCCACGAAGCGCGGGGGCTGGATTGCGCGAGACTCTGAATAGTTACCTCCGCAAATCACCATCGAGGGTAGAAGTCCTGGGCAATCGGGCGGTTCCGTAGACCGTCAGATCGAGGCGATCCCGACGCAGATTGCAGTGACGTTGTGCCTTGGTACTGTAGGGTCTTTGGTGAGTCTATCTCTATCACTTCTTGGTGTGGGGAAAATGAACGCATCGGGATTGGCTTGCGGAGAAGGTGATCCAGGCTGCTTGCTTGATTTCGGGCGCTGAAGTCGATGTGGAGCTAGAACGCGCGCCGAAATGCTTCCATGAGCAAATCATCAGTTGTGTTCAGCATCCCTCCGAGGTGAAAGGCTTGAATCTGAATGGTACGGTTCGACCGCGAGCTTCAATATTCAATCATGGTGAATGCACTCCTTGCAGCGTCGGAAATCGTACTCACCTGATACGCGGGCATAGGGACCAATGGGAGGAATGCATTTCGTCCGCTACGCTCTCCGCGGGTCCGCATCGCCACAGCGTCGAGTCTAGACCAGGCCGCCGCGCATTTTGCGGAGGTGCAAGTGTGTCGAACTACAAATTGAAAAGCCGAGGTGTTCCGGCACCGACTAGTCTAGACCGCCTCGACGCCTCGAGACAGGTATGGTGAGATCGGGGGAACTGGTATTGCTCCTATTCGAGGTGCGCAGAGTTGATGAAGACGGTGAGGAGGAATGGAGACGAGGACTTCGTTCGCAGATCAGGCCTCAGGTGCCGGTCTCATTGGGGTGAGGCGCGCGCCGTTGGAGTGAATTTCCGTCGAGAGGTGTTGGATTCAACTGCGACCCACGAGTGCCTGAGTGGGCGAGAACGTTTCTCGAGGTAATTTTGAGGGTCTAGACCGCGACCCAATCGGGAATTCAACGCTCTCGCGATGCCTGGAGCAGCGGTTGCGCGGTCTAGACCGGAGTGCGGTACGTGTCTGAAAGAGGCTGCAAAATGGAGAGAAATTGCAGAGGGATAGAAGAGGGATCGAGGAAGAGTAGAAGGCGGAGCGCGAGGAGGAGCGGTGGAGACGAAAGGGAGAAAAAAAAGCGGGGAGGAAGGAGCGAAAGCGGCAGGAGGGCCCGGGAGTCCGGCGGGGAAAGGCCGAAAACGGTCGGCGGGAGACGGCGGGGAATTTGGATACATATTAGAGGGAGCGACTGGTGTGACCGTCTAGCCTCCCTCTCCTAGATCGCCATGGAGCAGCCTGGTCAATATTCTGCTCAGCGCCAGCTTTTCCCGTCCCAGCAGCTGCCCCCGCCGTCGCAGCTCGGGCTCGCATCTTTCTCAAGAACAAACACCCTTCCGCCCATCTCCTCGAATGCGAGGTACCCTCCCCCGACATACCCCCATCCCTCTCTCTCCTCCTCCGCGCCCCAACTCCCATCCTTCCCGTCCCCCTCGTCCTCCCAGATCCCCTGGAACACACACCGAACACCTTCCTCTCGCGACGAGCTCTCCCCCTCCCTCAGACAGCCTGATCCCCGATCTTCACACCGCATGGACCGAGAGCCCCAGACAGTCGCGCCCCCGCCCCCGGAGCAGAATCACGTCAAGCACGAGGGCGAGGACGGCATGCCCTCGACCAGTGACTTTGTCAAGAAGCTTTACAAGTGAGTGATCGCATTCTGCGCACTCCGCCTGCGCTGACGACCCCGCACCAGAATGCTCGAAGACACCTCCTTCCACGATGTCGTATCCTGGGGTCCACAGGGCGACTGCTTCGTGGTCAAGGACATGAACGAGTTCACAAAGTCGATCCTGCCCCGCATGTTTAAGCATTCCAACTTCGCCAGCTTCGTGCGGCAGTTGAACAAGTATGACTTTCACAAGGTGCGTCCCTGCTCGCCCCGTGCGTGCGCCGGCGGCTTATGCGCATGCTCATTCCTCGTTTCGCGCCCGCTGATGGCTTCGATAGGTCAAAAACACGGATGATAATCAGTTCGGAGAACACGTGCGTCGCGCGCATAAGTCTGCTGCCTCAGTGCAGCTGCTGACGGCGAGTTTGCTTGAATCGTGACAGAGTTGGACATTCCGACATCCTGACTTCCGCGCCGATCGCCGCGATGCGCTCGAGAACATCAAGCGCAAGGTGCCCGCAGCGCGCAAGTCGACCGGCGGCCGAAATGGCGCGTCACCGAGTCCTACTGCGAGTTCAGCCACCGTCGAGGCGTTGCAAGCGCAAATAGAGCGCATGGCAAACGACCAGGACGAGATGGCGGTACACATCCGTAACCTCGAGGAGAACTACCAGAACGTTCTCGGAGAGATGGTCAACTTCCAGAGAAACATGGCACAACAGGACGGTCTTATGCAGAACTTAATACAGTATTTCTTGCAATTGGAGAATGGTGGGGGCCTTCCCTCCTCGTCGTAGCAAATACAAATGGCTAATGTGGATTCTGTCTTTTGTTTTCGGCGCCTCCTCTGTTCTCCATGTTTTTCTTGCCATTGCCATGCATTAATGCATTCCCCCATCTAATCCATCCATGCGTTCATTTCGTTCTGTTTCGCTGCGCGCGTTCTAGGCAAAGTTAAAGCAGAAGAGCTGTCAAATCCGGGTCAGCCTGGATTCACAGATGGAAATCCGTTCCTCCCCGCGCAAGAGGCTCAACGCATGATGGGCGCTTATCCGGATGGAGACATCGCCAGGGCCTCGCTCGCACAAATGAACGAGATCTCGCGTCGCGCAGAAGTCGCAGGGATGTCCTTCGCGACCACTTCGGGGGGCGCGGCCCCGCGCGGTCCAGGCCGGCCTTCTTCCAGCGCGTCGAGAATTATAGCCGCCGCCGCGGGCCTCGTCCCAGGCGGTGCATCCTCAGATGGCACTCCCATCCGCCCCATGAGCCGTCAAGATGTACTCGCGCGCATGGAGGAACTGCAGCGGGCCCGGCCTGCCTCCTCGCAAGGCCAGATCACGGCCCAGTCCATGTCGCAGTCCCTCTCCCAACCACAGGCCTCCTCCTCGTCCTCCTCCTTACAGATGCAGCCCACACCAGGAGGCGAGCAGCAGGACTTCGACGCGGACAGCTTCCTCATGCCCGGCGGGGACTACGGGCTCTCGCAGGGGAACCTCAGCCACGAGGGCCTGCAGATCTTTACCGTCGGGCACCTCATGCCCCGGTCCGCGCTCGACGACGACAACGGGAACTGGTCGTTCGACGGAAACGCGCTCAATGGCGTCGTTATGCCCACCCCCCAAGGTATGGGAGGCGATCCCGAGCAGGAGGGCGAGAGCGACCAGCAGCCGTTCATACCTCCGTCCGCGCCCGCAGCGGGCTTCCCCAGCGGCAGCACAGCGGGCCCCAGCAACGCTGTTGCGTCGACATCAAGACCGGCCAGTGCGCAGACGCTGCGAGTACGTCGCTCGGCGTATGTCCCTGGGTGGGCCGTCCCGCCTCGTGTGCTCCTCGTGGATGATGACGCCGTGAGTCGTCGACTGTCCAGTAAGTTCTTGCAAGTGTTCGGGTGCACGATCGATGTTGCGGTTGACGGTGTCGGCGCTGTGAACAAGATGAACCTCGAGAAATATGATCTCGTGCTCATGGTGTGTTCCCCTATCCCCCCTTTGCCTCTCTCCCCTTTTCTGACTTTTGCTCACAGGACATAGTCATGCCCAAGTTGGACGGTGTGTCCGCGACGTCGCTGATCCGCCAGTTCGACCACATGACGCCGATCATCTCGATGACGAGCAACTCGAAGCCGAATGAGGTCATCAAGTACTACTCCTCAGGGATGAACGACATCCTCCCCAAGCCGTTCACAAAAGACGGCTTGTTCGACATGCTCGAGGTGTGCTCTCCTTCCCCTCGTTCCACCTGCCGTTCATTAAATTCGCTACGCAGAAACACCTGATGCACCTCAAGGTGATCCAGACGATGTCCAAAGTACCGCGGTCGGTCGGGATCCCGCCGCTCTCGGACAGCAACTTCGACCAGGCGCTGAGTGTTGCGAGCCCGTTCGCCATCCCGTCGGGCGAGGACGACGGGAAGATCAACCCTCTGGCAGGCATGGGTCTCACGGACGAGCAGTACAGCCTGATCCTGCAGAACCTCGTCAACGGCGAGTCATTCATGGGCATCGGCCCGCTCGAGGGCGCCGGCGGCGATAAGCGACCACTGGACGACGCGCCTGACGGCCGGGACGGCAAGCGGAGCCGCTTTGAGGTCGTCGAGTAAGCGTGTGATCTCAAACTCGGTGTCGGTGTTGGCCAGCAACTGTTTCGCGGCGTTTCTGTGTCTCGTCCGTTCATTTTGTTCGTCCTCGCTTTGATGGTGCTACATCTTTCTTTCCGCTAAGTTAATTCCTTCGCTTTTTGTAGACTTTTTTCGCGATTACATGATATGCTCACCCTCGCAACGCCCTTCCCAAGCTTGTACTATAATTGTACGATGTACACAGACACGGGTACCGAGAATGAATACATGACGCATGATACACCTCGCTGCGCGTCCATCGAATGTTCTCCGTGTCCACCGTAAGGTCAGATGGCACTGCGCAGGTGACTAGCAAAGAAAGTGCATTATACGCACATCTAGAATATAGGCGGGAATGCTGCCGGGAGGATAACCTACGACTAGCTCGCAGACGGCGAAGACGGAGACGGCGCGAACCAGACTTTCCACTGGTAGTCGAGTATGATCGGCACGAAGTCGCGCAAGCCAAAGTCGGGCCAGTACACCTCGCTGAACTGCAGCTGCGTGCCTTCGCAGCACTGATCGCGAATCAGCGTCGGTGAGAGCTATAAACTGCACCGGAAGCGCACCTGCCAGAGGAAAAAATCGCTCAGCCGCCGCACGCCGCTGGTGCGCACGAGAATGTCCAGGGGCGGGCTGCCGACCGCGGAGGTCATAAGCCGCGACTCGATGTCGTCTTCGGTGATCTCGCTTCGGAGGGAGTTATAAGTGCACGAGGGCGCTTGAGAAGTGGTTTGCGTACCTGGGGACGGGATCCTGCTTGAGCGCGTCCTGGATGGCGGAGTGCACGGCAGTCGCGATGTCGTCGCGCGCCCCGTAGGGCATGCATAGGTTGAGAATGGCTCTAGGGTGAGCGAGAGGTTAGCATGTGATGAAGCCCATATGATAGACCTATCGAAAACGACGGCTGGTAGAACGCGTTGCGGATGAGGTCTGCAAGGTCTTGGTAATTTACACGTACCTGGTATTATGACGAGTCGCTTCCTCCGCCTGTTTAACCGCTACCTGCACTCGCTCCGGGAGCATCTCCTTCCTGCCGAGCACGTTGAGTCGGACACCGTACTCGTCCAGTAATTGCCTGGCACGCAGTCAGCATAGCGAACCGAGACAGGCGAACCGACGCACCCATGCTGGCAGAGCTCCAGCAGTTTGTTTTCCGCAAGGTCCATCAGCGCGTCCACCTCCTCCGGCGAGCGCTTGAAGTTCTCGATCGCAAACGCATACGCCGACACGCAGCGGATGTTCAGCCGTAAACACACTTTGAGCACCTGAACAGACACTATCAGCCTAGCATGTCAACAACCACAACCAAAACGCACCCTCCGCAGCGCTTGGAAACCTTCCGAGTGTCCTTCGCGGACGTATTTTCCGTGCTTCCGCGCGTACCGTCGGTTGCCGTCCATAACGAAGGCAACATGTTGTGGGATGGGGCCTGCGGCGAGGATGGCGAGGACAACATCTTCTGCAGCGCTGTACGCCTTCGCGGCGAGCCACCTGCAGCAGCTCGAAATAAGGCGTAGTAACATACCGTGAGAATGCTGTGCGCAAAACTGAATCTGAGATCTTGTAGCACACGTTGCTCGAAAAGGATAAGCGGAAGGAACGAAGCCCGACAACGATGCATTGACAGAATGACCGCAAGGTATAATAGATACATCCAAAAGTTCAGGTCGGGACGTGAATAGATGTATCTGTCCTAGGCTAGCACGGTATCATCACACAAAACCCGGGAAGGGAGAAAATCAGGCGGGACATAAATAGATGTACTTGTCCTAAGCCTGGCACGGTATCATCACACAAAACCCGGGAAGAGAGAAAATCAGGCGCATCACTCCGTGTAAGCAGGAGGGGGCACCTCAGGCACCTCTTCAGCGACACCAGTGCCGAGACGTTCCTTGGTTGGGTGAATTGGAGTCGCCGGCCGGCTGGCCTGCACAGGTACGACCCTGCCGGCGTCTTGATGCACGATGGGCGTGTGCACCATCTCGGAGACTGGAGTGCGCCCACCAGACGGCCCCGCTGCAGAGCTGGAATTCGATGGCCGCGCAATTATAAGCGGGGCCACGCGCGGCACCGGCGAAACTATCTTGCGAGTCTTCTCCTGGGAAGCGCCGCCCGTGCGGGAACTCGCACTGCCGTCGTCTTGCTGGGACACTGCGGACGGCGCACCTGCGGACTGCTGCACAAGGTGCAGAGGAGGGGTCGCGTTGCGCCTGCGCATGCTCGGTAAGGACGACGTGGTGCCGCGCGGAGACGAAGTCGGCACAGCGAAATAGTTGCCGATGCCTTTATTCAGCCCGCCGCCGCCGTACGGTGTGGTCTCTTCGGCATTACCTAGGGGCGATACATTTGCGAGGCCGCCGTAGGTGTATGGGTGTGCTTCGCCATCAATGTCGAGCGTCTTTTCACGATTCCTCCGCGCGTGCACGACTTGTGGGGAAATTACCTCGTCCTCAGCTGCGAAAGGGTCCGTATTGCGTCTCTGGCGACGTCTGTGACAGTGTGAGTATGACCTAATTGGGGAAAGAATGCACATACACGCAGAAAAATGCCAATAGGAGGAGAATGGCGAGGGCAACGGCGCCTCCTGCGATGCCACCCACGATCGCTCCAGTGTTCGACGAACTGCCGCTCGTCGGAGTCGGAGAGCTCGCCAAAGTAGTGATGACAGTGGACGTCTCCGTCATCTGGCTCACAACCACTGAACCTCCAGGAAGCGTCGAAGACGACTGATAGACGATGGTGGTCGGAACGGCCGTCGTGATCACCGAGTTGATCGAAGAACTACTCGAAGATGAGGATGAGGACTGCTGATTGGAGGATACCGACGTAGGAGTGGGAGTGGGAGGTGACGAAGGTGCCATAGAAGGTGCCGGTGCGAACGAGGACACAGAAGAGCTAGTGCCGGATTTATTGCATGTTGTTCCGTATAGCGTCGCAGTGGGGCTGCTCTGTGTTACGGGTATCGTGAGCACGATTGGAACCTGCACAGTACTGTCTCCACCTCCTGTGTACCACAATGAGAACCTTGAACCTGCTAACGACGTAATGACGAAAGCTCGCCTCTGATTGTGCTCACAATCGAGCTGGTAACGCAGCCGGTTACGGTTACATTTCCACTTGCAGAAACGACACACGAGTCCGTTACAATGGTAGTCACCGAGGGGGAAACAGAGGTGCCACTATTGCTGAAGGAGGTGGATACGCTATTCACCACTGTAGACCCAAACTGCGTCGCAGTGGGCGTCGAAAAGCAGGTAGACATGGTATGAATGTCGAAGAAAGCCTGCCTCGAAGCGGCGAGAGAAAAGAGCGACCGCCATGCGGCAGCTTGCTTTTCAGAGTAGGGGTACAGGGGTCTGCCTTGGGGGGCCCATCGTCAGGGGAGCCTCGTGAGCGCCTCGTTCAGCCAACGTTGAGCGTGCAAATTGGGACTAGCACATGCCCAGCGTTCATAGCAAGAAACAGCCCAAGAATATAGTTCCAGCTGCTTTATAAAGTTGTTTGTTCATTCAGTGAAACGAGTAGTCTTCGCATGAATCTGCCAGTGGAACAGCTCTTGTGTTTACGTAACAGTTTGAACGATGTCACATTTTCCTGAAGTAGAAACCGGTCTCCCGTATGTTTTTCTCTGTCCTGCGATCCAAGTCCTTTCAACCATTACGAAGAATTTCTTTCAGAGCTTTCATTCACAAGCCGCCATTGACAAAGAGAATGGCTGATTCCAGTTCCCGCATTCGCCTCGAATCTGATTCCGCGGACCAGCCTGAGGATACGCGCCCGGAGAAGAAACCTCGCCTTGACATAGCCTCGGACGGTGGTAAAGGCAAGAAATTAGCAGTGAGTTTTTAAATTCCAAGTTTCCTTGAACAAGAATCTGATGACATTTGTTCAGTCAAAGCACGGGAAACAAGGCGCGAAGAAGCGCAAAGCCAGGAAACATGCACTTCCAGAGCCTTATTCTCCAGATGATGTTGTCGTCAGAGATGTTGCGGCTATCCTAGGACAAGAAGCGATAAATAAGGCCGTGGAAGATGCCACGGATTGGGATGCACCTTTCGAGCAGAAGGAGGAGCTTGAATTGGCCGTGTCGGGACTGTCGTCTTCCGGTGTGTACTTCCGTATATTAATGTACAGTCTCATCGTTCGCGTTGCGCACGCCTATATCTGCTCAGTTATGCACAGAGCGCACGTTTTTTCGTCGGCAGTAAAATGTGCAGCTCGTATGGTGCGCCCCATGTATTTATGATGAAAATTGATCGGGCTTCAAACGTGTCTACTCTTTGACTTGTATGCGTTACCAAACACTATCCTCACGAACGAAATGACTCAGGCGAATCTTTGTCTGTCGCCCCTTCTTCCCGCCGACCGTGGGTAGTCGTCACTCCGTTCGCTCTACCGGGTGAGACGATTCGCGTGCGAGTGTACAGGCATGCTCGCTTGCATTCATATGCCGACCTCCTGGAGGTTGTCACTCCAAATCCGGAGTTGAGGGACATGAGCAGAGTGCACTGCAAGTACTTCGGGAAGTGTTCGGGATGTCAGTATCAGGTATGTTTCACCTTGCTCCAACCTCTTGCTCCCCCCGCTTAACATTGTTCTTCCTGTGTAGATGCTGTCGTACGACACGCAGCTCGATCTCAAGCGAACAGTCGTCGTAAAGGCATACCAGAACTTTTCCGGTAAGCTCCACTGGGAACAGTTGAAGAATCTTACGAATGTTAATTTAGAGCTACCGCCATCTGCTATCCCGCCAATACTGTCTACTATGCCATCCCCATTACAATATGGATACCGTACCAAGATCACACCGCATTTCGATGCGCCTCCAAAGAAATTGCAGAACAACCCGCCATCTGCTCCGACCGGCACAGCGGATAAACCAGACTGGCTCAACATAGGCTTCAATCGGATAGGGACCCGACATGTCATGGATATCGAGGAGTGTCCAATCGCAACACCCACGTTGAATGAAGCACTAATTCCGCTTCGTGAAGCTATTTCGAAGTGCGTACTGTGACCCGCGCATAATACTTCATGATGACCAGGTGCTTGTGAACAGAAATGCCTACACATACAAAAAGGGCGTATCACTACTCCTGCGAGACTCGCTGGAGATCCCCACGCATCATGCAGACTCTCCTGGTGCATCTTCTGTTCCCGTATCCATGGACTGCACGCCACCAGCCACTGCTTCAAATGATCCTTCCACGGAAAAACATATCTGCGTCACAGACCACAAGGCGACGGTGCGGGAACGAGTCGGCGACAAACTCTTCGAGTATGTTGCAGGTTCGTTCTTCCAGAACAACAACTCCGTGCTGCTCCCCTTAACGAGCTATGTTCGTGACGCCATCTTTCCTGTGGACAAACCACCATCGATACCAGACAACCGACCAACGCACCTCGTCGACGCCTACTGCGGCAGCGGGCTGTTTGCCATCACCCTCGCTCCTCACTTCGAAACGGTTTCCGGGATCGAGCTCTCCGCTGATTCCATCCGCTGTGCGACGAAGAATGCCGAGATCAACAGTCTCTCCCACAAGTGCACGTTTCGTGCAGGCGATGCCGCGGACATCTTCGCGACCGTGCAGGAGTTCCCCCGTGACCGGAGCGTTCTCATCATTGATCCCCCGCGCAAGGGCACCGACGAGAAGTTCGTTGAACAGCTGCTCCGCTTCGGTTGTGCCACTGTTGTGTATGTCAGCTGCAACGTGCACACGCAGGCGCGAGATGTGGGAATGATACTTCGCAAGTCTGAGGAGATGGGTGCGCCGAAGTACGTGTTGGAAACCCTGAGAGGGTTTGACTTATTCCCGCAGACTGCCCATGTAGAGTCGGTCGCTGTATTGCGACGGATTTGACCAATGAAACAATTTGCTCTAGCTTCCTTGTCACAATTGCAGTTGAGCCTGCAAGCCCTACCGACCGACACCCGGCATTATTTGTACTACCTCCTCGAAATAACTCGACGCTGCGTGAGCTGATGGGCCAAACCACAAGCCAAGTGCCACCTTTTGCTCCGGATCCACCTCCAAGCCTGTCCTCGGATGAGGGGTTCGCAGAAGCGCTTGCCTCATGTCCAGCCACTTCACATAATACCACACCAGGAGCCACGATGCCAGTTCCCATGCAACCTTATCGGTGGGATTTGTCTCCCACTGGCCATAAATCTCTGGGAACCGGTCCATCTTGACGTTGCAGCGCTAATAATCGTCGGTCTCCCATTCACCCAGTATGCGTTCGTGTTCTACATTTCCACTGCGGCGTAGGAGCACGTAAAGGAGAACCCAGATGAAAGATTCTAGATCGTGGCGATAGAGATGTGTGACTTTCCCCTCGTAGGCCTCTTTGGGCAGCAGATCTATTGCCATGAACGGGAGAGTGCCGGCATCGTCCCCTTGCGAGGTCGTGTGGTCCTCAGCAGTCCGGCGACGGCGAGACCGAAGTCATTCAGCACTCCATGCTTTGTAGATGGATCACACATCAAACTCGAGGGGCTAACGTTCCGGTGTTCGATTCCATTCGACCACAGACGGAAGTGGCCTATGGGTACATTAGTCCCATGTGCGAAAAAAGGTGAAATTCTGGACGTACAAGAACACAGTCCCTCCATGCGTGGATAAGTTGTTCGTCCTGCAGTAACATGGTGGGCTCAAGCTTGCATACCAACAACCCACGAAGAACACGAAGATTACTTCGGTCATGTGTGGGTTGTTCTATGATTGCAAGGATTTTCTGATCTGGCTGGTTGAATAACCTATGTCACGGAGCCAAGAAGGATTCTTTGTCGCCAGCATGGTAAGGAATTCCCGTACTTTCTGATACAGGTTTGGCTGGTAACTGAGAACTTGCAGGGTCCTCGATGACTCCCCAGTCTTTCAACTCGAAGTGCTAAAAGGCGGCCAGGAGAACCAAGAAGTGTGGAAGGTCTTACACGAGAATTGATGTCAGATGAATGAATGATACTTTGCCTATCATACCACCAGACCGAGGCTACATCATCTGGTATATCTTTGTCACAAATTGTAATCTCAGAGTGGACCTAATGTACCAATGATGGTGAGGTTGATGGCATGTGTCGAATAATGGCAGATCGGCAGAGTCTACATTTCATGTTTTCTCTTTTTTAAATCCAGCCATTCGGAACAAGCCTGATACCGTACACTTAGTTGTCAGATTGACGGACATGTTCGTGAATCCACATGAGTTGACAGTTGAGTTATGGTCAAAGTCCAATGTGAAAGACAGAGATTTTTCCGTACAAGAACACTGTATCGCCTCATAGATTTAATTTTACATTCATGCGTCTGAATTTCTGGGAGGAAGGAAAATCTGACCATTCAAGAGCATACTCCAGCAGTGACAACCCATGCTTATAGGTAATGTTAGCCCAAGACCAAGAGATGTTACCACTTGAATAGCAGGTGGCAGAAAGAGAAACAAGAATTATGCTAAGTTTTTGGAATGACAGTCCGAAATATCATGGGCACCACGAACTACATGTGGATAGCTGCAGTGGAACATGACTGCCATTGCTGATGCCCAGTGAAAATTCTGTATTGCAAGATCAAGTAAGAATGAATCACAGTGAATAAGTCCACATTATATAACATTTCATTGAAGCACATCAGAGCTGCTCAAAACCTGAAGTAACTGTGTTGCTCAATTGCATGTTGAGTGCAAGTTCAATCATCAACTCAATTGTTTGGAGTCATGTACCTGGACCCAGCGACTTGCAGTTCTGTCACATTAAATGCATCAGACACATCGGACACATTAGAACTTCTTAGTATTGAAATCACCAGTAGCACAGTAGATGTTTTAATCAGGAATAAGCACATTTGACCTCAAGAGATGAGTGAGGATGGGGCAATCATGTAAGAAATACAAACATGAAAGCACAGCATAAGTACTTAATCAATAAACTCTAATTCTCTTCAGTTTGCAAGCTTACTCAATACTCAGAAATTCCAACACACTTCTTTGAGTGAAGCAAGCCGATAAAATGACTCACTCCTGAAGCAGAGCACCCTCTGAAATCTTCACCTCAACCAACCTCAACAACTTAACAGCATCCAATCCACCAGTCAAAATTCTTCCCAATCTCTGACATTTAGCCTGAGAATTTAGGCATTAGTGGAGCATTATCCCAAGAGCTTACCATTATTAATGTTTTGAATGTTTGCAAAGACACGTTGTGCTGCATAAAATTAACCTCGTGATGACCATTAGAGAATGAATGCTCCATGTCAGTTGAAAAGGCTTTACAAGATCAAATCATAGTGTTGGAATTACTGCCCTAGTTTAAGTAGTGAATGTGTGTGACTCACCTGGGGCTGAACAGAAGTTGGCATCCATAGTAGTGAGATTAGGTGTATGATTCTCTGCTTCGTACCAGTACTCTATGATGTCACTAATAAGCTGCAGGATAGAAAGTGGGACAATGGGGTCCTCGAGGTATGTATAGATACTATTGAGAGGTCAGATGAGCTTAATGGCAGCTGGTGTCAGCTGTTCACTATCATGCTAAATAAAGGGTAAGAATGAAGTATTAGGTTAGCATGTAGTGAATGTACTTGAAATGAGGCTATCATGGTGGGTGCAGGGGCAATAACAGTTATTGATTTTGGCTTGTAAGTCTCTTTTCAATGCTTGATTATGTTATGTGACAGTGAAATATGAGCATCAAGTTGAGTTGTCATGAGACAAGATCTTAGTCTAAAATACAAGTCTGTTCAAGAGACACTTTGGGCAATGTTCTCGCACTAAAGGTTGATCAGAGTTCATCCTTATGACTCACAGTAGCTGTCTGCTACTAACAATTGATCTTAGTCAAAGGTAAGTGAAAAGCTGATTTAATGATAACCAGGTCGAGATGGGAATCTAGCTCGACAAGGTCGACTACTTATACAAAAGGTATCTGCAGTAATACTAGGTCATCCATTGGCTAACTAAGGTGAAATGTATCTGTGCGAGGCAAAGGTGAGAAAGTAATAAGCATGAGAAAGCTGAGTAATATCGTGAGAGATAATCAGTACTAATAGAGATAACAAGTCATGTATCAGAATGAGGTAAAGATAAGGTATACATGCACATCTTGCATGCATGATAAGAAAAAGGTCTGGAGTTGGATCCAGTGTAACCCTAGACTAGGAGTTTTAGCTATCTGGATAGAGAATTGGAGGTTGTGCTCCAATGAGTCACGTGATAGATCATGTGGCCTGGTAAAGTAAAGAGAATGAAAAAAAGAAAAAGAAAAGATGTGCCATAACTGAGGAGCATTGTAACATTAGCTTCCATCTAGCATTTCTTGTTCCACAAGAAATATTGTAGTCTTCATCATCATCGAGGGCAGTCTCGAACATAATGATCACCTCCACATCTGTAGTATGTTTGCTGGTCAGTTCGTGATCCTTGTTCATGCGTACATCTATCACAGTAGAGATAACTGTGATATGAAGATGTCAATGCAAGTGAGAAGGAGGGTTGTAATAGTGAGGATCAACTAGTAGGTACATGTGAATGAGGAGGACAAGGTCGAACAGGAATTAGTTTTGACGATGAGTGAGGAGTGGATGCAGATATTGCATTACTGGCATATCCAAAGATGTGTCCGATATCTTCATCTCTATGCTCCCTCCAGATCTCCTGCACTGTATGGGTGACTATACTGTGCATCAAAGACCAGACTTGGTCAACTCTGATTTGAGCTCTGCTTGTCCTTTCTTCTGCTGAGATGAGCTCTTGGTCATATGCATCCACTCGACCATTTCTAATGCTCGCTGCATAGAAACCACCACTTGTTGATTTTGCAGGTGATTCTGTAGGGCAACAAGAATGTCTGTAAAGTCAACGGGAATGCAGATGGCTGAAATCAGATGTGTGGCAAATTCTTGTTCATTCGATGCATGACTGAGTTTAATTGAAGGTGAGGGTGATGAAGCATGAATAAAGGGTGTCTGTGTTTGGGGAGGTACTCTATTGACAAGTGTACACAGAAGTATTCATAATTGTGGAAGTGACTTCAGCAAGTATGTTGTTGACAAGAGCATTAATAGCAAAAGTAGGCATTGATGATACATTTTCTTCTCCTCCTTTTATATCTTTCAGTTATTAAGGGGATCACAGCTATCTGTGATATGAAATAGAATGTCGTGAATGTGAGTGACAATCAAATAAATGAAAATTCATTGGGCAATAAAGAGTATTTCCACAGAGATAGGAACTGTCTGATCAGTTTCAAGTATTATTCTGATCACCTCAGCTGTTAGTGTGTGGGTTGTCTTGTGTGAAAAGCGTGTGCTTGATGAATCATCTGATAAGAATTTGGTGAATAATCCAAAGAAAAGTGAGGATAGTGCAGTGGAGAATGATTAGAAAGGTGATGAGAAAGGCCATTGTGGTAGTCATTTCAGTTTCCTTTTCCTCTACTGGATTCCTCTGGTTCTTTTATATGCACTGAGGATTTGCTTGGCATTTTGTAGGTTGTGGATAGATTCTCATGAGTTCTCTGCTAATGAATATCCTTTCCACTTGACTAAGTACCTCAGACAACCTCAGTACATCTTGTGATTCAGAATGACTTCAACTTCATACTCTTCTTTATTATTAATAATATCAGGTGGTGAGTTTACAATAAGAGGATAGAAGGGCAGTGTGGAATACAGAATGAACTCACCAGGTCTTTGGGAGTTTGAGATGATAGTTGGCTAATTTGATGACTTCAACAATTTTGAATGGCCCTTCACACTTAGGTGCTATCTTGCACAAGGCATAGTTGACCTTCAGATTCCTCAAATCTAGCCAAACCTTCTGTCCTAGTGTAAACTTTTGTGATTTTTGTCTGACTCGGTCCGCCATTTGTTATTGGGCTAACTCATGCATGGCTAATGCTTCTAGCCTTGTCTTCTGCAACATGTCAAGCCTGGATTCAACTGATAGAATGTTCATAATTAGAAATATGAAAGAGAGTCCACATGGTTTATATCTCATCATGATGCAGAATGAGCTCATCTTTTATGCTGAGTGTTCTCTCATGTTATGACAAAACTCAAGATCTGGCAGATAATCGGCCCAAGTTTCAGAATTATTTTTGCAATAGAGTCGAAGATAGATTTTCAGCTTCTGGTTAATTCATTTTGTTTCTTCATTCATCTGAGAGTGATAAGCTGTGCTCAGTGATGATCTAATCTGGAGTAGTCAATTTAACTCAGGACTTGAGATTGTTTACTGCTAATGCTATCAATAACTGCATAGCCATCTTGAAGTAGATGTGTGTCTCAAGACAATATAGGTCTGAGTTCTAGCACATTGGTACATGCTGATTAAGAGTTATTTTGTTCCTTTTGAGCTGATCATCAAGCAGAATAGCTATCTTGAACTTCTTGCTCAGTGTTTCTGGTGAATTATGAACCCTCTTTGCAAGACCAGCAACCTGTATAGTGTTAATGGTGTGCTACAAAAGTATAGCATGTAATTACAGACTTTGAGAAATATTCTGAGTGCTTCTTTGAACCTCTGTCACTAATAATTACATCTTTGCATATTATTTTACCGATCGCTCAATCATGCAATGTCTTAATAACTTGCTGATCATGAACAGCCTATTTATTGTCCTCAAGCTTATCTTCTTTATCTTCAAGTGCTTGTGTGAGTTTATCCTCTTCAGATGAAAGCATGTCACCATCTTCAAGAACACTCTGCTCATCATGATCAATAATAGCTTGATTTCTCTTGTGCTTGGTCCCCACAGCTATAATGATTGTCTTCTTGCATTTGTACTACTTAAAAAAGAAGGACATGATAATCTGCAAGCAAAGTGTATGATAAGCAAGGTGGTATGCACAATGCAGCTCCTTGTCCTCTCTTGCCAGTCTCAACAATGGCCCTTATATGCAGCATGCACAGTACACTCATAGGTGTAGCCAGCACTCTTGTAGCCACATGTTAGGAGTGAGCCTAATGGTGGTGAAGAGATGTTTAGCATGCTGAGGTGAGAATCATATCCATGAAGTGGTCTTGCATTTTGGAGATATCACAAGGTGCTACACAACAAACCTTACTCTGACACTAATTAGAAGCTGGTTATCGAAGGAGAGAATACTACAAGCCCGAATGCTACTTCCAACTCCTTAACTATGATCTGCAGCTGTCTCAAAGTATCATTTGCCAACTCGCATCTATTGATGATTCCATGCATGACATCGTACAGTCCGTGGGCTGCATTATGCAATGTTTCAACCTGAAGGTGCAAGGTTCCTGATGGTAATAAAAACTAATGAACACGATTCCAGAAAAATAGGAATAGGATGACTGTGCACCAATGTCAGAAAAACCATCTGGCGGATGACCCAAACCAAAGTCCTTGTGAACAGTGGGATCATCATACAGAATATGAGCAGTCAAACTATGAGGAATGGTAGCAGAAAGATGGTCAGCAATTTGAGGAATCATCCTATGACCGTCTTTTATCGTGCGAGCCATCGCAAGATGTATTTTCACTTGGGTGAGGACAGGAATATCACACAGAAGGAGTAGGATGATCCCTATGCTGGCCACTTCAGACTGGGCCTGAATTATGAATATCTGAGGAATTTGTGACGATTGGGCAGCAAAGAAAAATATACTTGCAGAAGGCTCACCAGCAGGACATACATCTGGACTGTTCATGCTTTCCACAGAATCGGATCAATGGGCTCAATAAAAACCTCAATGTGAAGAAGAGCTTCCATGAGGATGTATTTGTGAAGGATAATGCTGGCATCCATGAATGAGTTCAGAATGGAAGATGCCTCCAAGGTGAGCAAATCCTTATTAAGTGCTCAGACAGATTCAGTGATAGAAGATCCCTCAGAATGAGTAGGACCATGAGTGAATGGGATTGCAAGATATGGCATGATGGGCAGTAATTCAGCAAAGTAATTGTTAAGCAGATGTGGACAGTATCAGAAGGGCAGAAAAAGGGTCAGAACCAGTTTAAGTATAATGACAGGGGAAAAGGTCAGGTAGAACTCATTATCCTGGAAGGTATACTTGCAAAAGCCTCATTCATATTCCCATTTAGTGTCTAGCATGAGTATTTTATGGGTCTGACAAGGTATACCCACCCTCATACCCATGGAAAACCCATATCCATCACATGGGTATGAGTTTTATGTGAGTTGGGTATGGGTCAGCTATAGGTCTGTATAGGTGGAGACCCATCATGAGTATTCCATGGGTTGCAGTGTGGGAGTCATAGTACAATAGCAGTAGGCAAGTCTTTGTGCCATTATCTGCCATGCTATTGGAGTGATGAGATGGGTCTTCTGAGCTGTGTGTGATACCAGGTTTGAATTATCTAATAGAGGTACTGTACAGTTATGTCACTATCACACTTCTGAAACCCTATATTTATAACAAACTCATAAGATGGCCCATGGGTTTTCATAAGTTACTCACTACTGACCCACACCCATACCCATAGATACCCATACTTACAACCCATGTGAGTTGGTGATACTCATGCCATACACTATTTTCATCCCATCCGGTTAGTGCATCTTTAGGCAGTCTTGCATTTGTGCATTTTTCTGGGCAGTCTTGCATTTTTGCATTTCTGCATTTTTCTTAGAGCAGTGCGATTTTACTCTAATGTATTTTTAGCGATTACTATGACTACAAAGACTTTTCTAGCTATGCTTTCGGGCTACCCACCTCATACTTCTGGAATAGACTCCTCCCCTTTATTGCATCTCAGACTCTATGTGAACTTGATTTCGTTTATACTCCATTTTTTTGGCTTGCGACAGAACAATCTCATCAGCGGATGCACCATAAGCATTAGAAAGATGCCCATGTGGTCCAGATATTGTGCAATCACATAGAGTTTGCTGAAAATGGACCAATGTAAGGGTATGATAGTAAGCTTGAAGGTGAATAGTGAGCTGAGTGTGAATACTAAACAGCTGCTTATCTTTACAACTAAACTACATATGTGAGGGCAGCATTGTACATAATAAAGAATGCTGCAAAAGTGAGGTAAGAGAAGTGCAGCTTCTGATGCAGTCATGTGGTATTATTCATGCAGAGCATGTGAATCTTGCAGATATTATTAGTGCGATGTATCAATACTTTGATACAAAGCTTATGAAGGTTTTCAGACTGAAATATTTCGTACAGTCAGCTAGCACCTTTGCAAGGTACTTCCCTGTATAGCTTTCCATTAACCTGTATAGTCATATGAGTCTGCAGCTAACTATAGCCATGCTTGCTTGGTACATACTAAATGAATTTCAATATTGCCCAATGAATCTTGCCAGCATCATACCAGGTGATGATAATCCAAAGATATAACACCACGATCGGCACTGTTCATTCATTGATGGCTAGATGAATTAAGCAATTTCAGTTCTGAAAGCAAAAGGCTTAGAACTATCACCAAGATATCATAGACATATACTACATATCTTGAAGTAATCCTAAACACTCAAATATCTCCAAATAGAGATAGTTCACATTTATCAAAACTAATGCAGAGCAGGGGTAAGGGTAACCTGGAGGAGTTAGGGGTAAGAGTACCAGAGGGTAAGGGTATGGGTATAGATGGGCTGACCCTTCATACTCGTCAGGTACCCGTGACCTTAGATAGGTCTCAGAGTCTTCCTGAGATCTTCTTGATTCTTTTTGTACAGCTCCATCTCATAACCTTATTTTATAAACTGGATACTACAAACAGAAGTACTTAAAAAGGGCAGAAGAGCCCAGACACATGGACACATCAACATCATAGTTAAGTGATATGCAACTCAATCAGATGATGCTTCTCGCAAAAAAAAGCATATTGAACATGAAGATCCTGTCATGGCTCCACTGATGTGCAACTGCTGTGCACACATCGACGATGTTGAAGATGAAGGGGAGGTGCCAAATAGACATGCAGGTTTGGATGATGATGTCGTGGAGGTCGACACGACAAAGAAGACACCTGAAGAACTGCTTTGTGAGTAACACACACTGGTCAATATAAACACGACTCACCCCATTATAACAGGTGAGGCCCAATAAGATTGGACCTCCCCTGTATATGCATTCTATAAGCCCAAGGTAACAATTGAAGTTGACAAAAAATCGGTGCACTTGCGCACATCTTCCATTGCGTGAACTGTGGGTGTAAAACCAAGATATCAAGGTGGACAGACAATGGAGATAAAATGTTAACCAGGAATCTGCGAAAGCAGGTTCAGATATGCTGGGGGGAGGAAGCCCTGACAGCAGCAGGTGTGATGAAAACTGTGGATGATGCACAGCCAGCTGTGAAGAAATTCATGCGGTCAGATTCTATAACTGCATTGTTCGAGCATAAAGAAAAAGGGAAAATGACTTACAGCATGCAACAGCACACTCGCACAGAGTCTCAGTGAGCTGAACTTGACGTGACATCATGGTGATGAGACTTGCTGACCTTCCTGCACCAGTGCAGAGATCATGTGTTGAATGTCCGAAAGCTTGTGCCCCTTCATGATTGTCGAGGACCGTGGATTTCAAACATTAATGAAGACCGGGTGGCCAGAATATTAGATCCCCTCAAGGTGGACAGTGGCTCAGAATGTACATAAGGTCTTCATGCATTGTTGCATGAGAGTTGCCAAGTTGCTACAGGTCAGCCTATGTCTTAACCCGTACGAGCACATACTAAACTCACCTGCAGGAGTTTGATGGCAAGTTGAACTTTGCCACAGACACATGGATGTTGCCCAACAACAAACTGTTAGTGGCATTCACAGTCCACCTTCACCATGAGGATGTCCCACTTTGAATGGTGCTTGATGTCGTCAAAATCGTGGATTCACACAATAGCGTCAATCTTGTAGCCGCATTCGCAAAGATGGTGGAGGTTCAAGATTGCTATCAAGGTTAGTTAGTTGCCCTCTTAGTGTGACAATTTTGAATTACTTACCTTGTGAGCAGCTCCTTAGCGTCATGATAAACAATGCATCCTCGAACGACACAATAATTGATGAGCTCGCAGAGTTGCTTGAAGGTTTTTAGGGGAAGGCGAACCAGTCACGCTGCTTTGACCATGTTGTAAACCTTGTGGCAAAGTTCCTCCTGCATCAATTTGATGTGCTGAAAGGCAAGGCTGATGAGGTGCTCAATGATGCCAAGGAGGCACTGCATGACCTGGCCAAGGATCTGGACATGGATGTCCCCGAGGGTGATGATGATGAAGGAGAATGTGCAGAAGGACTGAAGGATGAGCGAGAAGGCTTGTCACCTGAGGAGATTGAGGATCTTGAAGAAAGTGTGCGACCTGTGAAACTCATACTTATAAAGGTAAGTCAATGTAGACTCTACTCCAAACACTCACCTGCTGAACAGCTGGTTGCAGCTGCGCAAGATCACATGTGCGATCATCTGCTCATCCATGAAGCTTCTCCTTGTGTGGTTGAAGATCATTACCACATTCAAGATGGCCAAAAACAAGATCCTGCGAGATGTCATGACTAGATAGAATTTGACGTTCAAGATGTTGGAGTTCACACTAGAATACAGAAGGCTAATCAATGTGATAACTGAGGACAGGTCGACAGAGCTGAGGAAGTTTGAAATGAGCAACGAAGAATGGGAGATAGCAGGCCAACTGTATGACATTCTTAGAGTGAGTCACACATCACCTGGCCTGTCACCTGCTCATCACCTTTGCACTGGCAGATCTTCAATAATGCCACATTGTACTTTTCACGCTCGATGCCCTCGTTGCCCATGATCATTCCGGCTATGAACATCATCAATGAGCACTTGACAGACCACTCTCTCGATGAACAATATCTCCCTTGCATCCGCATCACGATTGGTCTGACAAAGAAGACCCTCAACTGCTACTACAATGAGATGAACCAGTTGAATGTCTATCGGATCACCATAGGTGAGTGCTGCAACCTCTGAATTTCATACTAACTACAATGTTTTTATAGTGCTATATCCATCTCATAAGCTGGCATACTTCAAGAATGCTGGGTGGAAGCAAGAATGAATCAACACAGTCCAGGAGGTCGTGTGCAAGGAATATGAACACACATACACTCACTGCAAATGCCATGATTCTGACATTACAGACATCATACTCACACTGAAGGTAAGTACACCACGGAAACCTCCCAATGTTGATTCAATATCACGACCAGTCTGTCTGAATGCTCAAGGGACCCGGAGTGTTTAATGAATAAGAGAGGTTCTCTCGACCTTGGAACTGCAGAATTAACAATGGTCATTCGACACAGAGCTTGAATGAATGTCGAGGTCAAGGTTTGCATGATGTAGCATGATTTCTTAGCTCAAGCATCTGGCCAAGCTTGACTCAATGTATTGGTTGAGCTTGTGCAGCCATTTAGTGGGTCTTTGTATAATATTCTAATTGTCCATTGTATAAGCTTTACAAAGGATATTAGAGACCACTTATCCTATCACGTCAGAGCATTGCAGTCACTGCCACATACAGTAGCCATTTCATACAAATATTCTTCAGCCACTAATGAATTGCTTTTTACAAGGTCTACCGGTACTGCTGCACCACTGCATGCTCCGATAGCTCCCCTAGGGCACTCAAGAATTTCCGGTGGACCAGACTCTGTCAACATGCCTAGCTCAATCTTTAGTATGCAGTATGACATTAGTGACAGTGTATATCATGAGTGAATGAACTACGCACTATTTGCACCCACAGACCCACATTCCTACTCCCAGCAGCAGTCATTGGTGATGGTGGTGGCAGGTCATGTAGTACGTATGAGCAAAACAATATTGGTGACACTGAGTACCATTGCCCTTCTTGCGGAACTTTAATATCAGGTCTGCCACTGACAGTGGCCCAGTACAGAAGACATGAAATTAGCAGTTCATAAAAGCACGTGCGAAAGATCACTTACTCTGTATACCAGTTTACTGGCTTCATCGTTCAATCTCAAAGTAGGCAGGGAAGGGCGCAGCTGTAGTGTCATAGGTTATCATGGTGTGCCACCGAGGAAATATATCAAAATTAGACTGCTAAGCCTACATGGCCACTCACCTCAGAATACTGTGTATCTAATCTATATCTTGTGTACTTGTTCACCGACGAGCATTTGATAATGACTGAGCACATTAATGGTGAGTTGCATCAATAAATGTCTTGTATGAACTGCTCAAGGCATGTGGCCACCACTGGTGGATGCATGCTATTGCACGAGTGCTTTCAGTGAACCTTGAAGAGCACAGTGTCAGACAGCAACTGAAGATGAACATCAACAGAAGGGAACAGCCAAGTCAGGACACAATCTAAGATGTGCACGTAGTTCAAGTCCAAGATGTCAAGCACTCGTTGCAGTTGACCGCTGTTCATATTCACAAGTAGTTGAGTCTCCAATTTTGCAGAAGTCTCGCACTGAGTGACAGCTTGAGTTCGTCTTAGGCTTAGAAGTCAAGCTATTGTGGACATCAATGAAAAATATCGCAGTGACAGCTGCACCAAGGTCGAGCGAAGCTCACGGCCTAGTCTCTAAACAATATTGAAGCAAATTATTGTTGCAACAACTTATGCGATATTGGAACTACAACGAGTCTAGAAATATATTACAGGGCTGACCCACGAGCTCTCCCAAACATCTGAGCTCAAGCTGTAAGCACTGCTCGAGCTGTCTATCGTGACGGCATCAACTTGGTTTTGCGGTGTAGTATAGGTGCTTACCTGTGTCATTCATGCTCACCTATGTCAAATGGCACAGCCATCAGCAAACATGTTTGACAACCTGCTTAGCCAGAATCTCTTAAAGACTGTAGATGAGTGCGACAAACTGACCCGCTATCTCAGCACTGACACTGAGAACATCAAGGATGCACTGGCATGGTAGTATGCGCGTTGCAAGAAATTTCCTCATCTCGCCTGTATGGCGATGAATTACCTCATGATTCTCGGTGCGACTCACTTCGTCTGTCCTCTGAGCCACATATACTAACCATTCATTTGCAGCCATATTCGTCGACATTGAACGCCTTTTTAGCAAGGGCAGGATTCTGCTGCCACACATTCACAATGGGTTGTCAGCACAGTCTGTGTGCACTCTGCTATGTCTTGCGGAGTGGAGTCAACTGGGTTTTGTATGTGACATAAATATCTTGGCTGTGACTTTGGGCCCAGAGGGTGAAGGGCAGAATGACAGTCTCGGAGATGGGTGGGATAACATCATTACGCCAGAGTAAATACACTTATAATACTTTCTATATGCTGATGACCCACGAGTACACCCATGAGGGTACACTACCCCTTAGTACCCTTACCCTTACCCGTACCCCTCAGTGAGGGTATGGTACCCTCATGAGTAAGAGTATGGGTATGCGTGAAAATACTCGGGGGTTTACTCCTGCTCTGCACTAGTCAAAACTGTTGATACATGTAGAATCAGTATTTCAGAGTGAAAAAGTTTAACCTCCATTTGATAGTACTTGTCTATGACCATGTTATATAGCTGGTGGCTTATTGTATATCACAATATACTGATGTTGCAGTGTGCAGATTTACTATATATGAGGGTGATAAATAAGATCAAGTCTCCTGCAATGCTGCAAGCACGATTATATTATTTAGCTGCAAGTTTAAGATTAGTTGTACTGTTGCTCATCTTGGCACATTCTCGCTCATGGGGCAGATGACACTGGGTGCATTTTCCCGTAATCTGGTCCAATTATTGTAAGGTTAACCTTAAAATAGAGTGAATTTGATTTGTGTAAGTAGTGTCACATATTTGAAACATATTGAAAACAACTTTATAATAAGTGGTGGCTTATTATCTGAGATTATTGGAGAGCATATCCAAAATATCTTTCACATACTGTCTCAAATAGATTTTGAAAAGTGCTCCGATATCTGACACTGATTACTTCATATTTACTCAAATATACTGGTCACATTTTCTTGTAAACTGGTTCAATTATTGTAATACTATTCTTAGAATAGAGTGAGCTTGATTTGTGTAAGCAGTGTCACTTATTTCAAACATGTTAAAAATAACTTTACCATGAATGATGGCTTATTATACTGAAATTATTATAGACCCATCTAAAATTTCTTTCAAATATTGTTTCAAATAGATTTCTCAAAGTTCTCTAATATCTGACACTGATTAGTCTACACTTATTATAAATGAGTTTCATATAAACCATGTTATAAAGTCAAACATTACTGAATTCTGTCTTTATAATATCTGTCAGATGTATGATGTCAAGTCTTCTTCATATACAATAAAGTTATTAAAACTAATCATTATAGTTTGTATACAATGATCTAAGAAAAAAAAATATATAAACTGGAGTATTATGCAGAATTTAGTTAAAATATACTTAAAATTTATTTTAAACAATTTTACCATATAATTTCAAACATCTTGTGGTATAATTAACACAGATCAAGTTGGTTTACTGCACGTTTATTTGAAAGTAATTTGAAAAAGTAAGAATAAACACAGTTTAAAATTAAAGTTAATGAGATTTTAACGAGATGAGATTTTAATACATTATAGTGATATATAGTACTGTACAGTTCAATGCAGTGATATGTTGCACTATAGAGTACAATGCAGTGATAAGTTGTACTATATAGTTTAATATAGTAGTGTATCATGCTAAATAGTACACCGAAGCAATGTGCAGTCCATTACAGTATATTATAGTGGCATGTAGTGCTAAATAGTATACTAGAGTGACATACAGTATTAGATAAGTATATTACAGTAACTAATACTATAATGTAGTGTATTACTGTACTAAAATACTACATTAGATTAACTAAGAGCAACTAACATTACAATACAGCGAAGGGAAAAGGGAAAAGTGAAGGTCAAAGACTTATTGATTTACAACATAACCATCCCACTATCCTATTGTACTTAAATCTTCTGTCAGCTTTACCATATTGCTCATACCTTCTGCCTGTGCGAATGACCCAGATTTCTGTCCCCTTCATAATGCCAACATGATATCATTAATATGTTTGACATTGCAGGTGTGTAAAAGAAGTGAATTACAAGTATAAAAAATTCAAGCATCAACATCAACTGTCTCCCAAATTTGTATGGAGTTGCTAATACCTGGCTTACTAGTCCCTGTAACAATGCTATATCTTACTTCCTGACAATGCTCATATACCTAATCAATCAATTTTAGTATCTGACCAGCCTTTGGATAACATCCACCTACTGCAATAGCTTGTACTATGCATGGCTCTAAAAACAGAGTGTGACATTAATCAAACAATACAACTATATAACAAGACTGACCTCCATATCTCAAAGTTCCCATATGCTCACCAGTATCAACCCTCCACCATCTCACCTTATCCACTGAAGTACCACCAACCAGTCCAGAACCACCATGTATAAAGACGATAGGCAATACTAGCCCTATATTCTCAAGAGGTACCTGAAACTGAAGGCCTTTCTGTCCTGATGGTATCTTATACAGTGTGAATCCATGAGTTATATCATTGACTGCAAGTAGTTTGTTATCAGGAGATATGCTGCATGATCCACTAGACATTCATGAATTCCTGCAAAAGTCTCACAGTGGACAATGTGTGATCGACTTACCAAAATGGCAGACGCAGTGACCACAGAACTAAGAATGACCCTGAGTTCAGAGCCAGCCAGCTTCAATACAATGTATTCAAGTCAAGGACTAAGAAAACATAGGCAATTGCACTTACACTACCCCATGGTGAAGGTAGGATACCACCAGATGATTATTGGAAGGTGATGTCGAGAGCCAATGAAGAGAAGTTACTCGAATTGGTGCCTCCGAACGAAACTCAGCGGTGAAAAGGATAGCACCTGGATCATCCACAATGCCTTCTAGCTTCCACTGAGAGTCTGCTTTCCTTAGTAAGTGGACAATAACTTGTCAGCAAAAATTGCGCACATGTATCTTTCCAGAACCATACTTTCACAACACTGAGAGCAGCACTCGCAAGTTGTGCATTGGTTTGAGAGTTAATGGCAAGAGACTCAA